ACCATAAACAAACCCACCCAACCACACTCCCCTACCCCCACCCTTCTCCCCTTTCACAAAAACCATATTAACTCACCCATAACATTTACCCCCCCATTTCCAAACACACCCATCCCCCCCCATAACCCTACCACATCCACCTATCTAACCCCCTCTCACCCATATACTCTCATCACTTTCATTCTCAATTAACAATTAACACCCCCCACATCATCAAACATAATCTCCCACCAATTCACTTCAACAATCAATCAAAACCCCCCCCTATCAAATCATATATACCCATACTCTTTCCCACTAATAACACCCCTCACCAATCCAATTGTATACCCCATACCCTTAGGCACTCTTATCCCAACCCCCAATTTTACATAATCCCCTTCCCCCTCCACATTCCAACCTTCATAATCACTGCCCCCCCACATACCAATCACCACCCTACCACAACTCACCCCTCACGTCCCCATTCCTCTTTTCATCCCCCCACCCCCACAAACACCCTCTGTCCCCAACATTCCCTTTATCTTACATAACCACACCTGCCCTAGTCCTCGCCAGTTCCTTTTTCAAATCCTTCCAAAACCTCACTTTCCACTTCCCTCAAAATTGGAAAGAACTCCCTGTTTTTATTGTAACATACCATGCACCACAAAACTGCTCCCCCCTTAAAACCCATCTTCCAATGAACACTAGTATTGTAGATGAGTGATGAGATAGAGTGTGTAGATCCCAAACAGGTTTCACTCATCGAGAATAGCTACTCAAGTCTGATCTGTGGAGTTTTGTGAGTACCAAAGACAACCCAGCTGACGAGGCATCAAGAGGGATGCTCTTGATCAGCAACAGCAGATGGATTCATGGCCCTCAGTTTTGAAGGAGCTCAAGGATAAGTGGCCAAGTTGGATTAAACCACATCCTATCCCGCAGGATGACCGGAAGTGAAAAAGGATGTGTTTGTTAATGAACTGTGGAAGGGGCCAAAAAGTCCTACCATGTTCTTCCTCACACTCTTTTCATGTTGGATTTAAAATGAAAAAGAATTGGGTTTGGCTTTTTAAAGATGAAAGGGTTTTTAAAAGGTATCTAAAAGGAATGGGTTTCATATTTTATCAATGATAAAAACAAAGAGCAAAATTGTGGCACAATGATGGAGCAGTTCAAAAGCTCAATTTAAAGGACAACTATTTAACATGGTGAAGATTGACTGATGCAGAGCACTGCCATCATTCAGTCGAGCCGCATCACAAGTTTTCAAAAGCTGAAATTTGTCAATATAAGGAAATTTAAACAATCTCTAAAGTCAGAAACTTGTTTCAGGCTGGATCAGAGCTGGACAATGGAGTGATCAGAGTGGGTGGTCCGGCTCCATAAAGACAGCTCTCCCAATGGAGCAAGCATCCTGATATTTGGAGTAAGGATTGGCATGTCTCATCATTGTCTGCGCTATATTCACCATCCAGCTTGGCCATGCAGGAAGAAATCAAATGCTGTCCAGACGGGTCAAACTACTGGATAGTTTAGGCAACTTGCTGCAAGGGAAAGGTTCTGTCAGATTGTGTCAATGCAGAAGAAACAGAGGAAAGTTAAAGGAACAAAAAATGTCAGATTTGCCCTTGGAACGAGTGATGCCAAATAAAGCTCATTTACAGATGTTGGAGTAGACTATTTTGGCCCCATTCATGTAAAAAGAGGCAGGAGCTACTCAAAAAGATATGGAGTAATTTTTACTTGCCTGACCACGCCGTGCTGTCCATTTGAAGTTGCATACACATGGTGCTGGACTCCTGCATTAACGCTGTTGAGGAGATTTGTGTGCAGACGTGGACCAGGTTTATCTCCTCTGTCATGTCTGATAATGGCACAAATTTTGTTGGAGACTATTAAAGAGCTTCAAAGAAAGCTTGTACTTTAAACCAGGACAAAAACCAAAGGACTTTGGTGCAGAGGGATTGGATTTGCATTTTAATACCCTGCATGCTCTTCACAGCAAGGAGGTTGTCTGGGTAGCAGCTTGATTCGTTCAGTCAAAAATGTGCTTACTTGTCCTCAAGCAGCAGTTGTGGACGATGAAGGTCCTCCAGACAGTTTTATGTGAAGCGGAGGCCATTATTGAATGACAAGTACCTCTCACTCAATATCTGAGGATCCAGAGATCTGGAGGCTCTCACACCCAAACTCTTTTCTTGACATGAAAGGGAAAGCCAGTCTTGCCAACTGGGACTTTCCAAAAACAAGACATGTATCTGAAGAAAGATGGAGAACAAGTACAATTCATGATGGAATATTCTGAAAAGATGGACTTTCTGAGTATTTGCCCCATGGGAGGGCCCCAGGGAGGAAAGCATAAGTGGTCAGGGCAGAAGAAATTCTCTGTTGAGGAGACAGTTTTGGTTGCTGATGGCCACTGCCTCTAGAGAATGCTGGCTGATGGAAGTGTCCTGGCAAGCAACATGACTCAAAAGGCTAGTTCGTACTGTGCAGCTCATGACCAAAACCAGTGTGTTGGAATGACCAGTGACCAAGCTCTGCCTGCTGTTGGAAGCGGATTCGGGGACTCCTGACCGAAGTTTCGATCTTTCTCTTCTCTCTTCATCTTGCTCTATCTTTGTTTATTTCAGGTTTAAGAAGGAAAACTCACTTAAGGCAAATACCTTACACATAGATACACTGACATGGTAGAATAGCTCCTTAGTGCAGTTGTAATTGATGATTTTATGCACAATTAGGAGTGGTGTGTAGGAGATATTTGCTTGATTGTTTTTATTTTATTTGGCGGTTTTGTCTATGTTTTTCAATTTTTAGTATTTTTGCTGAGGTGAGTATTTTGTTTTTGGTAATTTAGATTAAGTTTTTGATAGATTTTTTAGGGTTCACGTTCAGTTTGTAGTTTTTTTTTTTTTTTGGTTTAGTGGCACTGGGGTTTAAGGGGGCAGTACAGGGGGGCCTTCATGCACTGGGTGGGCTATGGTTTTTTACACAGTTCTGGGAGACGGCAGCATTTTTGTGTTGATTTTGCCTGAATCTTGATCGAATAAACCCTTTTGAACCTTTACATTTTTTGGAATGGACAATTGTTTATTTTTTGTACTGCGTAAAACATTACCCATGGTGCTATTCTAGTGATTATTTGAGTTCTTGTTCTTAAGTTTTGGTTACATTTGGTTTGATAGTCTCATTTTTTGACAAAATAGTCACGTACACTTAGTTCGGCTCCTCTTTCTTGATTCAAGAAAAAATAAGAAAAATCTTAAAATATAGAAAAAAGATGAATTGAATTCAATGTTGTTTCACTTCAATGTATATGTGTATCGTCCAAAACCCAGCAGAGGTTGTCGAGGAGGATTTTTCTCTAGTCTTCATAACTTTTTCTTACTAATAAAACACAATATGTACTTGTTCATACACAAGTTGTTATAGTTGGATCAATTCCATAGTGTTTGATGTTGCACAAACCAAATTACATCAGATTAATCCAACATTTCAAACATTGTGTCAAGTCGACACAATTATTTCTGTAGAAACGCATCTGTTTTGGGTGGGAAATTATGTCCATAATTTATTTACTTCTCATTTAACATTTTTTTGAGTGTAGAATCATACAGGTCGACACAGGAAATGCAATATAACAAACACATGGAGTCCATATAAGGGAGCAGGACGTCCACTGTACCAGAAATTCCTTGAATGTCCCAGATCATCAACTGTCCGTTGACGGTCAGCACTATGTGATCATTTACGGAACGGGATCGGAAGCAGGAGTACAAAACTTCCTATTCATGCCTAAACTTAACCAGCCATTCCCATAAAATAACCCCAACCCCCCGTATCCCTAACCTTAACCATCTTAATCTTAAGGCGCTATACCCGTTTCTGCAATGTTTGAATGTTTAGCACCGCCCCCCCAGCTCGCTCACAGGCTTCTCATTTCCCCTACGCTCTCATAACACGGAGCCACCTAGTTTTATTTGCGATCTGATACGTATGCTAACAATAGCATTAGCGCAACTTGTAAGCTGTACAACAATCACTGATTAAATGGCACTAAAGCAACACACTGCTAACACAATATATAAGTAAAAGAATACCATTAGTTTCGCGTCCGAATGTATTAATTTAAACATTAGAATATATTCTAATATTTAATTATAATTTATTATACAGCTCCTCACAGCAGCAGCACTCCATTGACTTGAATGCAATTCTTTCGATAATTTTTTCTTGATAACAGAACTCTCAAACCAATAATGACCGAAGCCCCAATGCAATCTCTGTTTGTAATTCAGGTGTGTAAAATACTGCCATTACTCTGCAAGTACAACAAGCTATCAGCGCTGCACTGCACACTTGTCTGTGTAGAGAAGCTAGCGGAGCTAGCCACGCTCAATAAACAAATACATATCTATCAATCAACACCATTAAACGTCAATCAGACAATACAGTATACATATACATCCTTAACACAAATACACGGACGATTTCAGAATTTGCTGTCAACGTTTTCATGACAAAAATACTGTTTTAAAGTGACAGCAAGCGATCGCGAAAAACCCGGAAGTTACCATGAAACAGCTAGCTAGCTTAGCTGTTACCTGCCTAGCACGTCCTGGTGAAACCTTCGGGAGCTAACTATTTTATTTGCAGTCATTAAATACATTTCGAATTGTAAGGGCTGTCTAATATTTGTTCGAATATATATATATATATATTTTTTTTTAATTTTAGAATTATATTCGAATTTTGACGTCGAAGCCCTGGTGTTAGCAGCGCTGTAGGGGCTAGAGGACGCAGGCTGTTCACTGCTTGTTCTGTGAGCGGAGGAGAACGAGCGGCCCGCTCAGACTCTACTCAGCACTTTTCACTGCCTGAATTTCATACACAGTGGAATCAATGACCTCAAGTTTTCTATTAAATGATGTATTATGATACAACTTGTATGTAGTAAAAAGCATTTTTATGAACTACTTAGAAAAAAAATCGGGTATAGCTTCTTTAATACAAACATGGCCACAGAACACACCAGACTGTTTGCTTCATTTCTTCCAGTGCTGTCAGGGTGGAGGCAACAAGAACCACCTGGCCTGGCAACGCGGGACTCGTGTCCGCTGGACTTTGTGGCTCTGAACCGTAACGCGGCGAAATCTGGTGTCACCACGGCCAAAGAGCTGCACCGCTACCGAGCCCTGAGGCCGCCCTCCGCGTCCCAGCCAATCAGGAGGAAGCAGCAGAAGAGCCAGCCAAAAAGCCAGCCGAAGAGCCAGCCGAGTACGGACAACACCTACGGGGTCAAGAGCAGGTCAGAGAAAGACAGAAGACAATCAGTCCTGTGAGGATACAGACAGGTTGCGGTCGATTCTGACTTATTCAAAGATAGGGCAGCGCTAAAATATGTATTTAGATTTGAGACAAATATTGATATTTTTAAAGTAGATACAATATTGTCTCTTTAATGTTGTGATAGCATTTTTTGTATGTATTTGCATCATATCTATGTATTTATTTATTGACATTTGATGACATTTCAGGTGGTTATGTATTGTTAGTCAAATCCAGCAGGACCACAAAATCAGGAGCACAAAGCCTTTATTTTTACCAAATTGTAAAATTATATTATGTTGCATCACACTCAAAGACCTGGTGTGTGATGCAATAAGATTATAATTGACTTCTAGGGCAGAACCACTATTGGATGTTATACTAGTTTTAGTAGAGTAGTGACAAAAAGTTGAAGAAAATGTTTTAAAATTCACAGGAAGTAAAGCTGATGTCCAAAATGGAATCCCTCCAGCTGCCATGTAATCAAATTCACTGACAATTATTGCACAAGTTTAAACGTTCATTAAAATTTCAAGTGAGAACAGGCTCGACTTCACAATAAAAAACTATTTAAGCTAATTGTGAAATCATGATCATGCAAAAATGTATCTTGCAGCATGAGGTTAATGAAAAATAGAAAAAAACTAGATGCAGTTTTAACGGTGCAAAAAGAAAAGACTCTGCTTTGGAGATAGGTTTTCCACATAAGAGCTCAGAAAAAAGGCTGAAAAAGCTGCAATTCAAAAAAGTCTTTAATGAATGTTAATATTGTATGAATATAAAGGAACTTCTCTCTTTTATTTGCTGTTTGACTTCAGAGCCGATCCTCCCATGGAGCTGCTCCTGGCCCACGAGTACGGACACGACTGGATCACAGAGCAACGGCAGAAGATCCAGACTGAGAGCCAGAGACGGAGCGCGACATGGGTCTGGACCAGGACTGAATCAGGACCAAACAAGGACTGACGCAGGACTCTAAAACAACTGAACCAAGGACTGAAGCAGGACTTTATAACCAAGACTGAACCGTCTGAGGCCTGATGAATATTTGTATTCCAAACAGCGTCCCATCGTTGACACCAGGACGACTCTGCTGCGGAAAACCCAGATTCTGCCTCAGAACCAGACTCAGCCCTTACCCAGGATGAGCAGATACAGCAAGGTCATAACCCTTTATTCAAGTCATTTTAGATCATCTACATCTAGATCATCATTTGTTACACAATTTCACATTATATTGTACAGTGTCAACCAGCTGATAAATTATGGAGACTAAAGCATCCAAACTAACATCCATAACTGAAGTCATAACATGTTAACATTCATTTAAAAAGTTATAAATGTGTGTGTCTTCAGGTGGGAGCTGCTCTGGACACATTTAGAGACCCCGACTCCAGGAGCCGGGCTCTGAAGGCCCTGAAGAGGGACGCGGGTCAGTAACTGGACTAGACCTGGATCCACCCACATCTACACCAGAAGAATCTGACTAAACCACTTTTGAGATCAAGGCCAGTGTTCCTGATTATGACCTACGTTTATCATGGGATGTACTTTGAAAAGTAAAACGCCTTTATTAAGCAAATGTAGAGACTTCAGTCACGTTTGATACCAAATAACATTTAATTTAACCAAGAGTCATGGATGGACACTCAGTATGTATTTACAGTGTTACGCATTCATTTAAAAAATGTAATTAAAACTTATTTGGAGAGGTGCATGTTGTGTTATTTTCTGTCAAACAGCACCATCTGCTGGTCATTAAACTTATCTGGACTCATTTTAGTTTCTTTATACTTGGCTTGTTATGGGAACAATCCATTCTTTACCTTTAGCATTTTGACATCTGAGGAAGCTCAAGTTGTATGTTTTTAAGAAAGTATAATGTGTTTGCTCAAATGGCATTGGAAGGATGGGTCAAATGCGGCGGCCAAATATCCCCCAAGGAACAACAAAGTAACTTAACCAACCCCTTCAAAAGCATATCCAAAAATACATACAGTGCCTTGCGAAAGTATTCGGCCCCCTTGAACCTTTCAACATTTCGCCATATTTCAGGCTTCAAACATAAAGATATAAAATTTTAATTTTTCGTCATGAATCAACAAGTGGGACACAATCGTGAAGTGGAATGAAATTTGTTGGATAATTTAAACTTTTTTAACAAATAAAAAACTGAAAAGTGGGGCGTGCAATATTATTCGGCCCCTTTGCTTTCAGTGCAGCAAACTCAGTCCAGAAGTTCAGTGAGGATCTTTGAATGATCCAATGTTGTCCTAAATGACTGATGATGATAAATAGAATGCACCTGTGTGTAATCAAATCTCCGTATTAATGCACCTGCTCTTTCATAGTCTCAGGGTTCTGTTTAAAGCGCAGAGAGAACCATGAAGACAAAGGAACACACCAGGCAGGTCCGAGATACTGTTGTGGAGAAGTTTAAAGCCGGATTTGGATACAAAAAGATTTCCCAAGCTTTAAACGTCTCAAGGAGCACTGTGCAAGCAATTATATTGAAATGGAAGGAGTATCAGACCACTGCAAATCTACCAAGACCCGGCTGTCCCTCCAAACTTTCATCTCAAACAAGGAGAAGACTGATCAGAGATGCAGCCAAGAGGCCCATGATCACTCTGGATGAACTGCAGATAACTACAGCTGAGGTGGGGATGGTGTGTTCAGGGTGATGAGCTGTGTTACTTTTACGCCAAACATATCGTTTTGCATTGTGGCCAAAAAGTTTGATTTTGGTTTCATCTGACCAGAGCACCTTCTTCCACATGTTTGGTGTGTCTCCCAGGTGGCTTGTGGCAAACTTTAAACGAGACTTTTTATGGATATCTTTGAGAAATGGCTTTCTTCTTGCCACTCTTCCATAAAGGCCAGATTTGTGCAGTGCACGACTGATTGTTGTCCTATGGACAGACTCTCCCACCTCAGCTGTAGTTATCTGCAGTTCATCCAGAGTGATCATGGGCCTCTTGGCTGCATCTCTGATCAGTCTTCTCCTTGTTTGAGATGAAAGTTTGGAGGGACAGCCGGGTCTTGGTAGATTTGCAGTGGTCTGATACTCCTTCCATTTCAATATAATTGCTTGCACAGTGCTCCTTGAGACGTTTAAAGCTTGGGAAATCTTTTTGTATCCAAATCCGGCTTTAAACTTCTCCACAACAGTATCTCGGACCTGCCTGGTGTGTTCCTTTGTCTTCATGGTTCTCTCTGCGCTTTAAACAGAACCCTGAGACTATGAAAGAGCAGGTGCATTTATACGGAGACTTGATTACACACAGGTGCATTCTATTTATCATCATCAGTCATTTAGGACAACATTGGATCATTCAAAGATCCTCACTGAACTTCTGGACTGAGTTTGCTGCACTGAAAGCAAAGGGGCTGAATAATATTGCACGCCCCACTTTTCAGTTTTTTATTTGTTAAAAAAGTTTAAATTATCCAACAAATTTCATTTCACTTCACGATTGTGTCCCACTTGTTCTTGATTCATGACGAACAATAAAAATTTTATATCTTTATGTTTGAAGACTGAAATGTGGCAAAATGTTGAAAGGTTCAAGGGGGCCGAATACTTTCGCAAGGCACTGTACACGTTAAACTAGTGAGAGGAACAAGTGACGTTTTCATGCAGCAGACTTGGTATTTATACTCGGGACCAAATCATTTTGACCAGGGACAGTGTCAAAGCTTGGTGTGTTGTTGGGACCCGCATCGTCTTTTGACCACATGGAGAAGGAAAATGGTAAAACATACATTAGGGGTCAAAACACACTTCCAAGTTTCAAATGAAGTCTTCTCTGATGGCCTTGGAACCCTGAAGTCACTACAGTACATATCTCCAACAAGCACTTTAGAAAGGACAAAAAAACTTTTGAGGGTAAGAAAAACTTATCCAGTCACTTTTTTTTGGTTCATTTTGTGTTTTTATTAAAAAAAACTTTTCTACGTTTCAGTGAAGCAAATAAAAAACGTCACGAACAACACGAAGAGGTGGAATGGTGTCTACAACAGTTCAGCCGCGCGCGCACTCACACACACAGGGTCTCAGAGGAGCACCACCAGAAGCCAGTCCCACCACCGGTCCAAGTCCGAGTCCAGTCCCCTCCTGGTCCTTCTGCAGAAAACATCCTCTCCGTCATATGAACCATCCCTAAACCAATAGGATTCTTTTTTCCTCTACCTGTCCATTGAAAACAAACTCGTTACATGAGCGCTTTTTACCTTCTATTTAGGGCTGCGCAATATTGGAGGATGTTGCGATATGCAAACCGGCTCCAGAACCAATATTACTGAAATCTTTTAATATCCCTTTGAACAATAATTTGACGTTACATTTTTGCGTTTCAAGCTAGCGCAACGCAGCAATCAAGCAAAAAAATAGATTGGAATGGGGAAAGGTAATCACTTATTTTGTTTTAAGATAAAAAACAAAGCAAAAAGTTAATTATTACGTTAAGTATTTTGATATTAAAAGGGTACCATTCAGTTTTTGGTACATTTACAACATTAATCACATTTTACTTTTTTGTGGGGGAATTTGGTCAATACAACGAAATGACCAAGCAGCTTATTATGGTGCTTTTTTACAACGTATTTCTATGAGAGTTCTGCACGGCTGCTTCAAACATGGCAGGTCTCCATAGTAACAACCGTTTGACATTACATCTAAAGCTGTATATCATAGGTTGAAAACAGAACAACACATGTGGGGGAAAAAAGTCTAGGATATAAAAAACGTAGATTATAAATAAAAATACTACTTCACATAAAAGACTTTTCCCTTTCTTAGGCAAAATAAATCAGTTTGTAGGACCGACACCAGGGAATAAAACAACTTCTGTGCGTAACTTCAAACAAAATAAACTAGCCTTAATATGCTAGTAAAACTCAGTCCTTGTACAAAAAAGACACAACCCAACATGAGCTTAAGTTAGGATTTGATATTGAAATTCCTTAATAAAAATTGCCTTTAAAAAAATCCTACAATGTTGATTATTGCGTTGGCCGACACTGCGATAACGATATTGTTTGCGATATATTGTGCAGCCCTACTCCTATTTTAAAACTCTGTACATAATAAGACAATTACTTATTTTTTGTCAAACAACAAAAGTTTTACATAATTAGTGAAATGTAACCGTTACTCTTTTTTTTTTTTTTCTCTTCGTTTGATATTTATGATTCACACAGTTTTAAAAGTCCGTAAGCGTTTACCATCCACGACTATATATTTGGAAGATAAAACAAATCGCACGTTTTCGACACCATTCAAACCCAGGGGTAAAGATATGTTTACAATTGAGTCACGAGTCCAGTCCCAAGTGCTAAGAGAGTGAGTCCGGTCCAGTTTTTTCGGTGGTGGTTAGGTGAGTCCGGTCCGGTCCGGGTTTCAGGTGGTGGTTTTGTGAGACCCGTCAGTCCTGGTCTCTCAGGTCTACTCGTCATCGTCCTCTTCATCGTCCTCGTCCTCCCCCTCGTCATCGTCCTCTTCCTCTGGACCCGGAGCTGAAGAGCTGGGATTTCTGGCCAAAGTGCCTCCGCCGCGATACGCCACCATATCCTGAGAAGCCAACCAAATATTGTTGTAAAAGAGGAGAACGTAACAAGGAGCTGTTCGGTCTGTTACTACAGTTTTGTTAAATCACTGATGGATAAAACATAATTCATTTAGGGCTCAATATTTATCTATCTAACTTTTCTTTGCCAATGGATTTTCATCAATTCATACATCAATCAAGTTCATACAAAGCACATACTTTTTAAATAAACTGAAATTTACTGGGATTATTCTGCTGTTTTGTTTTGTGTGAGTTGTATCTAATTTTATCATCAAGTCTGTTCATAGTTTGACAAAAAAATAATAAAAAAATATCACATTTTGCCAATGTGATTTGATTTATAATCTGATTAAAAAGTAGGATTTGTTTAGTCTGCATAAAACAAACTACCAGTGATACATTTGTAGAAAGTCTACTACAAATTTGAGAAAAAGTCATATTGAAGAATTTCTCTTCAATATGACTTTCTGAGGAGTGCTTTTCTAAGTGCTTCAAGAATTGCTACCACTGACATTTTCACATATGAACTGGTTTTATCCTTATTTTGGCTTCGTTCAAGAGAAAATCTAGAAGAAGCTGTCCATAAATCCTTATTAAAAGTGATTGAGTGTTGTGTCACAAGTGCATTTTCCTCAAAGCCATGGCCCTCCTAAAACATCCCATGAAGAGGGTTTCATGGATTTCATTACAATAATTAATAACTAGAAATGGTACAATGGCTGAAGCCATTGTGAGTGGAAGAAGAAGAAGAAGAAGGTGTTGTATGGGGAGTAATCGGTTGTACTGGTCCAATGTAAGTCAATGGGAAAAAGTGCGTGTACTTTTGTAAATATCTGAAAGTGCAAAAGGTGGAAGTGTGAAAAATAATAGCAAATAATGAGACGGTGAAGCCGGTCGTAACGGTGTATAATTTTTTTGAATTTGGTGAAAGCGTTGAAGAGTTGAAAAGTGCCAAAATCTGGCGGAAGCCGTAAGAAGAAGAAAGCAAGAGAATATAGTGGCTGCATAGTCTATGCAGCCACTCAATTAGTAAAACAGATAGTGGGTTTAGTAAATCACATTCTGAGAGGATGTTATTGAGCGACGCCGCTTTAGCAGAGTCCCAGTCAAAAATCAGACTTAACGTTGGTGGTGCAATTGTGAAAGTGAGAACGCCTCAAGACTCCTAATCCAGTTCAGAACTCCGTAAACCCATTAAAGACGACTCTAATCCTGTTAATCATCTTAACCTTGCTCTGAACTCAAACCACAGGAGTCCAAATGAAGACTGGAGGACAATAGACCTTGTTGCATCTTCTCAGTATTCCTGCATTGAACAGTGACGTCTCTGCTGTTTGGACCTCAGCTTTTGTTTGGGGATTTTAACATATACTTTTCTACAGACCATCCTTATCCTAAAAACCAGTTAAGGTGAAATTAGTCAAGACATATAAACACATGCGACCAATTTCAGATGTGGCCTTTGGTTCTTACCCGGTCGTATTTCTCCCGGAGTTTCTGGGCTTTTTCTTCGTATGGCTGCTTGTCGTTCTGACCCAGTTTGGACCACATCTCTCCCAGTTTCTTGGCGCAGTCTCCGATGGACAGACCTGGGTACTGCTGCTTCACTGTGGGTCTGTACTCGCCGCAGAACACGAAGAATGCAGACCTGGAAGAAGAAGCACAGGGGTTAGGGAAGACCAGGGAGGAGCTGCGCTGGTCCAGGCTTATGGACATAGTTTGACTTTGTTGAGAACAGAACAGACACTAGTGATGGTGATAGCGAGTTTACAGTAGACCCTAGACTGCACATCAATACAACACGCCACCAGGCTGTACACCCCACTTTGACAAAAGAAATAAGACACGTGGTTTATAGTAGATGTCCACACTAGGGCTGGGCAATAAATCGAATTTAGGCAATTAATCGGAATGTGAAAAATGTGAAAATTGTGAAATTGATTGAAGGATATTGTGAGAGTTCCAGCAGCACATGAATTATACTTGCAATATCAGCACAGTCTGTACTGACTTTTATAATATGTATTGGGGGAAACAAATAAAAAATTGTTTTGAAACTTGTCGGTGACTAAAAATCGAAATCGTCCAAAGCAGGAAATAAAATGAGTTTATTTTTTGCCATGTCGCCCCAACCCTCGTCCACACACCTGCTGGCAAAGAACAGGGGTCATTTAGACATGTCCCATTCACCAATGTTCATTTTGTGGCATTAAACACAGAATGTTCAAATAAACGCTGCTAATCCAGGTAATAACGACTGGTTTTGTGCACGTCCTGTTCTAATTAACAACAATAAGGGGGTCTTATTTGATCCAGAACAGTATGGGCGAGTACTTTTCATATAATCAAATGTTAAAGTATACAAGATATGCAACTCGGTAACAATAACTTCAAACATATACTCCAGCCACAGTGCATGTGCCTGAGGATGCACTAAAAACCATAAAGCTACTCTCAGTGGGACTAGATATTTCCCCTTCTCTAGAGCACGGTCATAAGGTCTCTACTAATATGAAAAAGCATCTGTCCTTTTTTGCATGTTTTTTTACACTTACAAACGTACCAAGTCCTTATACTCGACAGGAGGGGGGACAAAGGTGGGCTAATTTGTACTGAAAAAAATGATTCTTTTTCAATTATTTTGTCCACACTACTCAAATTTATATAATATCTGTATAATACATATGTATTTTACCCTGACGTTAAGTTAGAAATTAATTTAATATGTTGTTTATTTTGTATAGTGGAGATAAAATTACACAACGTGGAATCAAACTGGTATCAGTGTTTCCAGGACCTATGACCCCAAATGATAGTAATATTTAGGGCTGTGGAAAAAGATAATTCATGTGAGGGTTTATGGTGTTTGACTTAAATAATCTATGTACAATTTAAATTCTCAGATAGCAACTACCTAGCAACCAAAGACACAATTAGGATTTTCTATCCGAAGCCCTGGGGTAGAAGGCTTAAATTGTTTGGTTATTAGAAGGGATATCAAAATAAAAGCACCAGGATCAAGTAGAGCATGGATGGATTTGTAGGCCCAATACAAGTGTGACATGAACGGTTGCAGCAGCGATGTCAGACATGGGACCCGGAGCAAGTTGGAGCCAAAACTTTGTCCATGAGCACTACCCAATTGGGCTCCATTGAGCTAGGGGGTTAGCATTGTCTCTAATTATATATATATATATATATATATATATATATACATATATATAACATTACAGTTTATGATTTAGGCGCAGTACTCACGGGGGTCTCTTGGGTGCGTTGGGGTCTTTTCTTTTGCGTCCTCTTTTGCCAAAACCTTTGGGGGGGATGTAGTCCTTCATTTCTCGGTTGTATCTGGCTTTGTCGGTTTTGGCCATGTCTTCAAACACCTTCTTATCGTTGGGAGTCAGGGACTGGAAGAAAAGAGAGAATTGTGAAATGTATTATTATACATTTGTTTTTGTTAGATACTTCAGCTTAAGGACAACTTTTAAGGACAATGTGATACAGAGCTTACGTACTGCACAGATTCTATGACCCAAAATTCAAGTATTTTATAATTGATAAATTCATGCTTTAAAGACCACTCTTGTGAAAACCAATCACCTCACAGCCCACAGCGCCAGATATAGACTCACACATCTCTTTACACAAAATAAATGCTGTTTATTTTGATGAAGATTAAGACAGCACATTCTGGTCAGATTTGTTCTCAGGACTTTACAAGACTCTTTCTTTTGGGGAAAACAGTATGTATTATATACCCCAGCTTCAGGGATAATAGCACTCACCTTCCATCTTTCTGAGCACTTCTTGGAGAACTCTGCAAAGTTTACAGACTGTTCTGGGTTCTTTTTACGATGTTCTTCACGACACGTCTGAACAAAGAAGGCGTACGCTGAGGTCTTCCCCTTCGGCTTATTTAGATCCTTTCGCATCATACTGGAGACAAACGATGGGGATGAGGTGAGAAAGGGCCTTTTCAGAAAGTGACACTGTTATATTACAATAATCAATGCTCAAACTTACTCTACGGGCAATAAATCTCTATTTGGACATTTTTCACCATATTCTAATTGTTGAATATAATATTTGAAACATACAGTACACATCTATATTGGTGCACTAATATTTCATACAATATTCTTACATTCAATCTCACTCGGGCATAGTCATGGTTCATGTCGTGCTCTCAGACTTTCCCTCAGTATTTTTTCTGCTAAATTAACAGCAAGAATGGCAAAATACTATGACCATTTCTATTGCTTTTAATATATACTATACTTGATAACAATTGATGATGTTTGTTTCCTTTCCCAGTGCTATAAAAATAAACATGCCTTGCCTTCTATTGAGGGAAACCTATTCAGTAGAATTATAAGAGTATTATTAACATTGATTTTATCAGTTCACTAGTTACACAATTACTCTTTGTAATTTATATACTATACTATTTTTGGATTATTGATACATCTTTCCATCCATGTATTCATTGATGAGACATCGATCACAAATTTCAACAATATAATGATGACTCATAAATTACATTAGGTCATGGCTAGACAGTGTTGAGAGAGGAGTAAACATTTATCACCAAATGTCTTACTACAACGTTCTAATGTGCATCCTAAAATGTGGTAAATCAAAGTCATTGATTCCATTGAAATCAAAGCAAGCAGCGTTCAAAAAGAGCACAAATAGATGCCAGAATAATCTATGCGTCTGTCTTGAGATAAATCAATGAGACGTGGACAGATTGGAGTCTGGGGGGAAAGGACAAAGGGTTTCTTTTTTTTTGATCAATTTTCTCTGGGACGTGCGGCCTGGGGGCTCCCTGTCCCATACGCAGACTGCATTCCCCAGGACCCCTCTACTCTGTCCCGGCATCAGCACTGCTCTCAGGCCGCATACATACAAAAACACACACACTTCGCTAGATAAAGCATCCATCTACATATAGCGTTGTTTTGTCCACTGCTGGCCACCATAGCCCCTCTGCTGCTAATGCGCTAGAACAATGGACCACCATGTTCCCGCCGTTTGAGTGCCCCTCCCCCTCTACGCAAGCTATGTAAACACCACCATCGACTACTACTACACCATTTAAACTGCTTATTCCGACGGGACCGCTCCAAGTTTGGTCGAATTGAAGAGCGTGCATCGGTTTGACCATGCCGCTATCGCAAAACACAGATAAACCCCAGAGCCTTTATCCGTTTCTCACGCCCCGTTCTCCGCGTCCATAGCTCTTTCTTTGTTAATTCACAAATTTACAAAAAATCCTATTGTTATTATCATATGCAAGACGTGAATAAAATCTATTACTAAATTAACAAAATGAGAGTTATGCTACAACCCTCCATATAATTTTGAGAAAAAAATTGTCACAAAAAAAAATAAAAGCTAAATACATGAATGATGGCACTCGGATCTTGAATGGGCAACGTTTAATGCCACAATCTCCAAAACTTAAAAAACATTATAAACATATTGGAATGCCTTTCTTTTTAGTGCATTTATCGTAAGATTTTTTTTATGACAAGATAAAAGTGACAAGGACTTTTACACCACTTGCAAAGCTGCGGTGAAATCACGCAAGACACAAAATGGGCGTTCCATGTTTACAGCCGCAGTCTATCTGTATTGCACAGTTAGTACAAAGGCCCCGGTGCAACGCGTGCAAAACGGAGCGATTTGCGAAGCGAATACAAAGCGACGCCTCAAATAAAAAAAAGTCAAATTTACGCTGCGTCTCTGGCCTTTAGCGGTGGGAAAAAGCGGCCATTTTACTACGCGCTTTTGCAGCTGCCTTTTCTCCGTTTTTGGACGCAGAGAGACCCTGAGTGGATAGCGGCGTGCAGCGTAACCATCCCGTGGGGCGAAGAGAGCCGTGGGGCGGCCTTGTACTCACGCGTCGGGAGGGTGTTTGGAGCTGCGGTAGTTAGCAGGGATGGCCCGTGGTTCTGGCCGGTGTGTGGGGCTTTGATGCGGGACTAGTGTTGTTGTTTGAGGCGCTGGAGCTGCTGCTGTGGGAGAAAGGGGGAGACACTGGAGAGGGGCGTGATCGGGCTAGAGAGCGACCGGATGTGGTGGTGGTGGTACGTGTGGCGGCCATCTTGTGATTACTGAATAGCAATCATGGATCTAAAAACAAACAAACAAAAATATCTCCGTTTTGAAAACAACTATTTCTCGAATAGTTGTATTCCTCTAGCATCTTCAACTTATTTTGTTATTGCAATCTTGAAAGGAGAGGTGAAACTTTATTTGTATGGTACAAAATAGACACAAACAAATCTTGTTAAAGAGCAAATTATTATTATCAAATACTTTTTTCAATGGCTTTTCCGTTTTTGTAAATTAACTATTCAAGCGATGCAAACTGAAAGAATAATGCAAATAGATAATTTATAAATACGTATATACGTAGAAGGTTTAATACATGTGTTACTATATCCTAATTAATAAATCCACATTCACAAGCATGGCTGCAACACCATCCTCATTATTACTTTCCTCTCACACTTCCAAATCTTTCGGGGGAATCCTGAGGCGTTCCTACTTCCCAGGCCAGGTGAGAAACATATTCCCTCCAGCGTGTCCTGGGCCTTCTCCCAGTGGGACATTCCGGAAACACCTCCAGAATGGATCTGAAATAACTACCAGAGCCACCTCAATTGGCTCCTCTTGGCGTGGAGAAGCAGTGGCTCTACTCTGAGCTCCGGTGTGTCCCAGCCTTCAGAGGAAACTCTTTCTTGGATAATTCCTCAACACCTATGATCATAGGTGGGGGTGGGAACATTGTCTGAACAGTCTTGTATGTTGTATCTATTTATCACACAATGTAAATAAGTTTTCAAAAACAGGAAATACAACATCAGTTAAGGAAGCAGATGCGGTCTCCACATTCAAGGCCAGGCTTAAAGCACTCTACTTTAATTTAGCATATAATTAGGTAATATATAATATATAATATATTATACAATATATGTATTATGTTATGTATTTTATTATGTTGTATGTTATGTTATATGTTATACTGTATGTTATGTTATGTATTGTGTATATATCATATAGTATATATGATATATAATATATAATTAGGTTTGCCTGGATCGGTTTGCACATCTGGTGTGCAATCCATGAATCTTGGTGCTGTAACCTAGACTAGCCTAGCCGTGGCTGCTGCTGTCTCGCCTCCTTTCAGATACGCTCTCTTTATTCAAGGCTAGGTTTAAAACAGTCCTCTTTAGTTTAGCATATGGCTAGGAAGGTAAGACTCAGGGAAGGCAAAACTCCTCAGACTGTAAGTCAAGCTGCATAGGGAGTCAGTTTGCTGGGAGAAGTATGGTAACTTGAGCACTATCCTCTCCTCCTTCCTACTTTATCTGTTTAGCATTATTAGGATTTTGATTGTAGTTTGTTCATTGCTATTCACCCGTTGTCCCATTGTCTGTTTCATGGTACGATGACGGGACCTCTGAGCCTGGCCTCCTCCATCTACACCTGCGGACTGCCCCGCCCGACCCGCCTGGGAGTGCTTCAGTCCTGCACCGGACCTGTCCACGTTCAGCGGCCACTGGTCCACGTTCTGTAGCTTAGGTCCTGGATCATTAGTCTGTCCGTCCGGAGGAGCGGATCCCTTTCTCAAATGGGTCTCCCCAAGTTTCTCACTTTTTCCCACTGGGTTTTTCCTTGCCGATGCAGGAAGGTCTTGTTGGACAGTTAGTGTCCAACAGAAAGGATTGGTGATGATCAGGACACTTTAACATTCTACAACATGTATGGGCATTTTCTTTTGCGTGTGCTTTACATTTTTCATGTGTTTTAACTGTTGATTCTCTGATCTGTGTTGGTGATTTCAATGGTTTTGTTAAGTCCTCTGAGATGACTTCTGTTGTGACCTATAGGGCTATACAAGAATAAATTGTATTGTATTGTATTGTATTGTAACAGTGACGACCCTGTCACCCAGCTCTATCCAAGTCACTCCCCTCAGGCAGGAGGCATTAGATAACATAACAAGTATTTAAGAGGTGTGAATATTTGAAAAATAGCAGTTTCTAATAATTTGTCTGAGTTCTACTGTAGCATTTAGCATCTGAAAGGAGCAGAGAGGTTAGCAAAGGTTACCATCGCGATGCGCTCTCTATTTTTTTGCATAAAGCTGTGGAGGCGCAGCTGTTTCCATTCAGGGGGCGGGGCTTCCTCACGCGCCCGTCTGTGATTGGTGGGGGCCGGAGTGTGGAGCTCGCGGAGGCAGGATTCAGGAAACGCACCTCTGTGATTGGCTGTTACGTGTGCGTGGCAGAGTGACAGGCCAATGTGAAGCGTGGAGGTAGAGACAGGGATTTTTATGAAAACAAATGTTACTACGTGCATGGAAATGGTATTGACGTATTATCGACGGAATGGATCAGATTCTGTGATGGAAGGAACAACGCTGAGAAACTTTTCACTGCGCACAGTCTCTGCTTCATGGTCATGAGAGGGGCTGTATTTCAGTTTAGTTATTTTAAAATTTGGTGATTAAAAAAACAATTCAAATTTGCAGTAAATATTTGTGGAACGAATAAAGCTTCTCTTACTTTCCTCAAAGCGTAACTTTCCTTTAGGCAAAAACAAATAGTTTGACTTTGAATCTAAACGCGGTATTGCAGCGCACGTAACTGACTGTTACTGACAGTAGGAAAATAAAACAAGTAGACAGTAGCCTCTATTTTGGAAACTTTTTGTGATCAAATATGGCAACTAATACAATACCACTCCTTACCCATAAAATACACAATCTATACTTTTAATTTGAATACACTATTATGGATTTATGTCAATAATCTATCAATCCATTTGAATTAACGTAAAAGTCCAGAACTAATAAAAGCCCAAAAGTCAACAAAACCGCGACTCTTGCAGACACATTGTTACCGGAAAGGTGGAGCTTAAATGTCTGTACAAAAAGCTAAAAACATATGAAGTTTAAATTAGTCCAGTTTAATTATGCACTGTTAGTAGACAAAGGCACAAGGTAAGTTTATTCACAACAGAAGACTTGTTTAAAGAACAAATTGTTCATTTCATTATTAATGTCTTTTATGTTTGCGATATCTTCAAAAACGAGGTCAAAATGTCTATCAAATGTCAAAACGGAGGCCGCTCATTGACCACTCGGTCACAGTGTGGGTGGAGCATCATCTTCCAATACCTCATTTATTTTGGCAACTAGTGCTTTAAAAGTCGGGCGCTTTTGTGGTCTCTAGAAAGAAAGAAAAACAGAGAAGGTTTTAAAGTTTGAACTATTGCTCTTAAATGTGAAAAGAAGGATAAAAGTCAAACATCTACATTGTTTATCTATGTCCACAGGCATAAGGTCAACACAGGCCTTAAATTATGAATTCAATGAAAAATGTTAAGAATTAAGACTGAAATAAAATAAATTAAAATCAAATATTTGTGAAAGCTGAATATTTTGTCAGCTGCAGACAAGATAGCAATAACCTATCTCGATTTTATAATGCATCCATGAAAATACATCAGTAAAATACGTCCTCATAAATGTCAAATATGGCGTGGTGCAATTGAAGACACATACAGTTGAGGAGGATGTTATTTGACTGGAAAGATTCAGAGATTTTACTTTCATGTCCACAGGTACATGTCCCACCTCGTGCCAGCAGGTGTTCATGATGCCGTAGATCGTCTCTGATGCCAGTTTGGGCCGGTACAGGCGGTGACCCTGCGTTACCATGGAGACTACTTCATGATTTGAGTTCTGGTCAAAGGGCATGCGGCCCTCAGTGAAGACCTCCCACATCAACACACCTGCAGCACACACAGGGACAAGGAATCAAAGAGAGCTAGAGGTCACAGTTCCAGGTATGGCTTTAAATAAATTACAACGTCACGAAGTAAATAATTTTAAACACGTTAAAGCACACAATGAATGCACTTTGTTGTAGAAATTCTGACAACTCATTTGGAGATTCTTAATTTGCTTGAAAAGGGCTAAAACATCAGAAAATCTCTCCATAATATTTGTCATTTATTAAGAACTAAACTCCTGGTTCTGTGTGAGTTCTCACCAAACGACCACACGTCTGATTTGCTGCTGTATTTGCAGAAGTTAAAAACCTCAGGAGGAGACCACTTCACCGGGAACTTGGCTCCGCATGAGCTGGTGTACTGGTCATCCAACACGTATCTAAAGGCAGATAGAGAAGTGACCAGTCAGTTAAATCCAGTCCAGACTCAGGCTAAAGGCTTAAGTACAAACCTGGTCATGCCGAAATCAGACACTTTGACCACCAGAGAGTCGTTCACCAGACAGTTCCTAGCAGCCTGAAAAAAATATATGTTGTTTTTTTGTAAATGTAGATCTAAATGAGAATGATGGTAAATAGAACAAAAAATAAGTGTGGGAAAAAAAAATATACAGTATATATATAAGGCGCTTTGTCAGAGGTCAGGCTCTTTTGATGATCAGGTCCAGGTCTCAGACAAATCTTTGTAGGCCTTAATAGTGAGAATGTTGTATGTGTTTGATTTCTTTAGAATGACAAAAAAAGTCACACATCCACACTAATTAATTTTCTGAAATTATGGAAATGCCCATTTTCTCCCAAATGCTAGTTCTGGACTGGCTCTGTACTGGTTCTGGTTCTGAGTCGGCTTGTTATTCCATCAGAATAGAGCACGTCCTAGTTACCATAGCGACACATTGTTTACTTGCAGCAGTCAGCATTTGGCAACTTTTCAACAAACTATTTTTCTGTATTTCAAGTTATATTTATCAGTTTTATCACACAGTAAACGATCTTGATAAAATACTAGGGGATTTTTTTTTTTTTAACAACATTTCATTGATCTGAATGTGAGCCAAAAAGGACTGCTCTGGGAGTTCTAGTAGTTTCAGAATTCTGCGAGTCCTAGCGTTAACATTGAGCCCAGAGTCTATGAGGATATCTGTTACAAAGTGAAAGCAGAGGAGCAGAGATGCGCAGATGTTTGCAGTGTTGCCTGATCCTCCTCACCAGGTCTCTGTGGATGAAGCAGTTCCTCTCCAGGTGCTCCATGCCCTCGCACACATCCAGGCACATGCAGAGCAGCCCGTCCCTACTCAGAGACCCTTTTCTCTGCCGCAGCACGTTCAGCAAACAGCCCAGCTCCATGAACTCTGTCACAATGTAGATGGGCGTCTGCTGGCTGCACACGCCGTACAGCTGCACCAGCCGTGGGTGCGTCAGTTTCCTGACACAGAGGAGGGTTTTATGTCAACTATTCACTTTTATCAAGGCTGAATTTCCACGTATGGAGCACAAGATTAGGCCCAACATAGGAGATTTTCAGACTTGGGACTTCAAATTCAAAGGCTGTGTTGTCTATCATCAGGAAAGTATTGAATGACCTCCAAACAATTTATGCTTTATGATGTGATTTCATATGTTTGTTATGATTTCAGAACTACTTTTGGTATTTTTTGGATCTTTGGATTACGACTATTTTTTGTCTAAATCATATGTACACAGAAAACGCAAAAAACGTATTATCTTGCTCTTGCAGATTTGGGATCTTGTACCATCAAATTTGATAAAGTAATATTAGCAGTAGCATGTATCCTGAATACATATGGATCATTTATGTGTCATTTATAATTAAAGTTTGTGTTAATGACTTAAGCCTTGGAATTGCTGTTGGAAGTAAAACAGAATGTACTATCTCACTGTTACTAATGCATTTTAACTCTTCCCCTCCATGGCAATTCCCTCTGTGTCCAGTAGATGAAATCAGTATAATTACTATTGATGTATGAGTAATGGTGAACAAAAAATAGCACAATATAAAAAGTAATGATAGAGGTCTTAGCACAAGAATAAGCAGATCCTCACATCATGACTTTGGCCTCCTCGATGAAGTCCTCCTCGTACATGGCTCCTTCTCTGATGGCTTTGATGGCCACTTTGTGCTGAGCTCTCCATTTTCCCAGTCGCACCTGTCCAAACTCCCCACTGCCCAACTCCTTCATGAACGTCAGCTCACTTGGGTTTATCTCCCACTTATCTGAAAAAAACAGCATTTAGAATGCTCAGATTAAGGGGATCAGATTATGTAAAAAAACATAAATCCTGCACAGAGGTCCTAAAAATGCACCGGCTGAAGAAAATCTACAGAGAGACGACTGCATGTCTATTGTGTGTACTTAGTGCACTTGTATATAGTAGTACCTTGAATTGTTTTATATAGATTTTGTAATCTTTCTATGCATGCCTTATTCTATTTTTACTTTTATAACTTGTTTGCACTGAGGGCCAAAGCAGTTTCCTACTTTGTGACTTCCTGTTACTCACAATGGCAATAAAATATATTCTGATTCTGTATGTTTCCAATGTGCAAAATATCACTGTCTATGGCTGTAACATGTTCAAGTGAGATGCAACTAATACTTCTGACAACTGACCGTAGCTGAAGCCGGCTGTTGAAGGAGCTGACGAGTCTTGTTTTCCGACTGGATATCTCAGTCTGGCAACAAGACCTGTGAAAAGTTTAGGATGTATTTATGTTCAGTTTTCTCATTAGTGAGTATTGTTACCTGCAGCGTTGTGCTTGTGGTACTCGATCAGGTCAGGGATGTTGCTGAACAGGTGTTTTTCTGCCAGATAATACTGCTTTGGTGAAGTCTGGGCCACCTTAATGTGGTAATGTTTGATCGCAGACCGCCCCTCTCTGCAAATATTAAGAAAGATCCTAATAACCCTTAAAAGTTCAATGCATCTTTAAACCACATCAATATTATTCTAAATCTAACTGAAGCGAAATGACCCAAGAGTAAACTGACAGTTTTAGCTTTACCATATATGGTAAAGCCCCCGCGGCCATTTTGAAACTGCCCATAGACCGCGGAAGTTGTGGCACATTAGTTAGAACGGCGGCGATAGGCGTGACTACGTCCGTTAATATATACAGTCTATGAATTGAACCCAGGACCCTCTTGTTGTGAAACATAAGCACCACAGTGCCAACCGGTTTCTCACAGAATCATTTTACATGTTAGACTTTTGGTCTGATCTAAAATGTGTAACACTGTTCTTAATATTAAGACTTAAGGACTTAATATTTAAGTCCTTAAGTCTCCTGCGATGCTGTTGGCACCGCCCATCTCTGGAATACTCTCGGCAGGACTGAAACAATCTTGTGCAGAAGATGCACAATTGAAATAATCCTAAGCAGTGCTCCCAACATACTATAATAGAAAGTGTTTAGGTTGTTTGTATTTGTATCAATAAAGACAAAAAGCCAAGTTTTATGAGTGTTCAAATCACCAGTGATGGTCATGGTTTCGCCGCGTCCTGGTAAACAAGTCATCGTTATTAGGCTTTTTTATGTTTGAAAGTATATTTTAGTTCATTTATTTAGAATAAATCAATGTGAAACAGGGTTACACAGGATTTCTCACCCCAGAGACTTGACATAAACGGACACGGTGTAAGTTGCAGCTGTGCTCGAGTCTCGGACGATGAACGCTCCCTCTTTGTTCTGCAGAGAGCAGAGTATTCATATATTACAGTTACACAAACTCTGTGTATTAACCGTCTATAAGATATTTGTATCATTTCTTCCTCACATGAAAAGGACTCACCTCTTTCCTGAGCAGCTCTTCTGCTTTGCTTCGGTTCACTTGTTTACTGTACCACCTGCAACACATGAAAGAGAGCGTTTGACCTTTTCCCCATGTAAATGATCATAACTAACAGTTGAGAGTGAACACTTTTTTCCATATTGATCTAAAACTTAATGGATTTTACGTAATAGTTTTTTATTTTGTATTTTATTGATAGTATTGCCCAACAAACTCACTCAAACTGCTCCAGGTTTCCACATTTCTTCTCCGTCACATAATTACTTGGTATGTAGCCCTCCTCCCTGTGGAATGTGCAGATACATGATTCAATATATTAGACAAATGTGTAGACGCTGAATTGAAATTGGCAATGATGACACATTTTTGATTAATGACAAATGTTTTGTGGCACATTTGATGAATTCTGTGTAAACAAATTTCAATTAAATTCAATGTTTGTTATGCTCCTTCCTCTCTCCTCCCTGTCCCCTCCTCCACAGAGACCACATATCTCTCCCTTCTCAAATAAACCAAATCAATAAATACGCTCAGTCTGGACCAGAAGTGGCAGAATATTTCACGATCAGTAGTTTGATACATTCCAACTTAAACTACAAGACTACATTATTGCTGTTTTTGTGTTTATGCACACGTAGTAAATATAGGCGCCTGGTCTATAATAACACTTTGCGCACTCTCATAGATCACTGTTGCTGACAGAGGTGTCACTCACCCGTATTTGTTGCGCGCTTTGTACCAGTTGATGTCGCACTTCTCCACGATGACGTACTCGTGTCCTTTGACCAGGCTGAGGTCGTGAGGCTCGGCTCCGGGGAAATCGTACAGCGCCACGACCACCACCTCCACCGGGTCCAGGGCAGAGTCCGGGGAGGAGGGAGCAGGGGGGGCCGGAGGGGCTTTCCGACGCTGCAATGATGAGAATTAATGAATGAATGGAGAGATCTTTATTGCATGACTGAGTGAAATAGAGAGCATAACCTGTAAAAAAAACATTCCAACTACTAAGAGGGTTAGAAAGCATTATTCCTCTTTCTCTGTCAGTGTCTTACCCTCTCTTCTCCTGGAATGGGAGGCAGCGGTTTTCGGGAAACTACAAAAAGAGGAAGAGAAACCAATATCAAACCAGACAGAAATGAGGCAGCATCACTGCTGCAGATGGAGTCACTCGAGCAGCAACTTCTGATTCGACCCAGTGATTATCATGAAAACAACCGCTTACTATTAGTTCTGGGTTAATAATCTTATGTTACTTACCATTTCTGCCTGGAACAGCATTAAAACTAATTTGGATGAAAGAAGACTCTTGAAATACTACATTTTATCACTTCACCTAAGTTTACCCTGTGATTGTAACAATGTCAATCACACTTTTCAGTGGTAGGTGAATGTCTCGTGCATGCCCCAACTGGGTTCCCAGATAGCTAAAGCTCTGTGCCCTCGTTGCAGTTCACATTCTTATAAAAAAAGTCCAACTACATTCATATCATCTGTATATTTGAACAGCTTGACACTGATGTCCATAATCTGTGGGAGATTAATGTAAAGAGGACACAAGACGGTGCACCTACATGTTATAGGTGTGTTAGATGTGTTAGGTGTGTTAGATGTGTTAGGTGTGTTAGGTGTGTTAGGTGTGTTAGATGTGTTAGGTGTGTTAGATGTGTTAGGTGTGTTAGGTGTGTTAGATGTGTTAGATGTGTTAGATGTGTTAGGTGTGTTAGATGTGTTAGATGTGTTAGGTGTGTTAGATGTGTTAGGTGTGTTAGATGTGTTAGGTGTGTTAGATGTGTTAGGTGTGTTAGATGTGTTAGGTGTGTTAGATGTGTTAGGTGTGTTAGATGTGTTAGATGTGTTAGATGTGTTAGGTGTGTTAGATGTGTTAGGTGTGTTAGATGTGTTAGGTGTGTTAGATGTGTTAGGTGTGTTAGGTGTGTTAGGTGTGTTAGGTGTGTTAGGTGTGTTAGATGTGTTAGGTGTGTTAGATGTGTTAGGTGTGTTAGATGTGTTAGATGTGTTAGGTGTGTTAGATGTGTTAGATGTGTTAGATGTGTTAGATGTGTTAGGTGTGTTAGATGTGTTAGATGTGTTAGGTGTGTTAGATGTGTTAGGTGTGTTAGATGTGTTAGATGTGTTAGGTGTGTTAGATGTGTTAGGTGTGGTGTGTTAGATGTGTTATGAGGTGTTTAGATGTGTTAGTGTTTGTGTTTAGTGTGTTAGATGTGTTAGGTGTGTTAGTGTGTTAGGTGTGTTGTGTTAGATGTGTGTGTTAGGTGTGTTAGATGTGTTAGTGTGTTAGATGTGTTAGTGTAGATTAGATGTGTTAGATGTGTTAGGTGTGTTAGATGTGTTAGATGTGTTAGATGTGTTAGATGTGTTAGGTGTGTGTGTTAGATGTGTTAGTGTGTTAGTAGGTGTGTTAGATGTGTTAGGTGTGTTAGATGTGTTAGGTGTGTTAGTGTTAGTGTGTTAGATGTGTTAGATGTTGTGTAGATGTGTTAGTGTGTTAGATGTGTTAGTGTGTTAGATGTAGTTGTTAGGTGTGTTAGATGTGTTAGATGTGTTAGATGTGTTAGTGTGTTAGTGTGTTAGATGTGTTAGTGTGTTAGATGTGTTAGGTGTGTTAGATGTGTTAGGTGTGTTAGGTGTGTTAGATGTGTTAGATGTGTTAGGTGTGTTAGATGTGTTAGGTGTGTTAGATGTGTTAGTGTTAGATGTGTTAGATGTGTTAGGTGTGTTAGATGTGTTAGGTGTGTTAGATGTGTTAGGTGTGTTAGATGTGTTAGGTGTGTTAGGTGTGTTAGGTGTGTTAGATGTGTTAGGTGTGTTAGGTGTGTTAGATGTGTTAGGTGTGTTAGATGTGTTAGGTGTGTTAGGTGTGTTAGATGTGTTAGGTGTGTTAGATGTGTTAGATGTGTTAGATGTGTTAGGTGTGTTAGATGTGTTAGGTGTGTTAGGCGTGGAAATGATCCAATAAAACCTTGATGGTCAAAATAATATGAAAAGATGATAATGTCAAGAGACTTTTTTTGTGCTTGTTTTATTTTCTACAATACACTTTGATGAGAATGACTTTGCTTTGTTGATAAAGGCTGCAGAGTTTCATGTTTGTTTCAGTTTCAGCTGGTGGACTGCCAAGTGATGGTTTTCAATGAAACAATGTTCCACGTCTCAAAGAGGTTTGGGAACACACAGTCAGAAAGTTTTCAGTCTTCTGAGAGTGAATGATTACCTCAATCAGCAGAAAGTCAGTTATCATTTTGTTTAAAGCAGAAATCTGATCCATGAATAGAATGTGTGCAAACAGTTTGCATTCCTCTGAGTTTTTTGTGATTATCCACATCGTTGACCACAGTGAGCCATTGGGGCATTCTCTACAAGTTTCTGAGGATCGAGCTGGTCCTTCACAGACTCTACTAAATATTTATTGACCACTCTCCTAGGCACATTATCAGATAACATGCGCGTGACTTTTGGTTCTTACTGTCTCCAAACAGCTGGTACTCCTCACACCCGGGGGCCGTCTTGTCGACCTGTCGGCAGCAGAGCCAGGCCCCGTCCTGCCAGAACTGAGGGTGGAACTTGTTCGCCACCAGAGAGTTCTTCTTAATCTCTGCTCACATCCAAAACATCAAGAAGTCATGAAACAGATATAGATAACAGAGATAGTTTACCCAAACATTATTTGTTTTTTTTTTTATGGTAAAAACTCAGAAGCTGGAAATGGAAAAGCTCCTATATTAATTTGGGCTTCTTAGAGCCAGCCGTTACATACAGTAGTTGAGGGCCGCTCTCAAATGTATGAGACTAAATTATTATTATTACTAAAATATTAAAACGTTTAGTACCAATCTTGAACATTTCTCCAACTACAAGAACCATGTTTTAGCACAATCTGGAGGACTACTTAATTATCTGATTATAAAAATACAAGTCAACACTGCACAGTCCTGATGTTTTATGATTGAGGCTGAAGTGAACGCACCATCCTTGAGGCTCTGCACCCACTGGCTCCGGCTGTTGTGAGTCGGAGCAAACACGTAGAGCGTTGTGTTGTCGTACACCACCTGAACGCACCACAGGTTTTGAAACATGACATCCAAGCTTACTGTAACTGTGCCATGATTTCATAAAACTACCAATCAATGTCATGTTCCATAGATATTGTGGGAACGCTTGACTAAACCAATGGCCAAATGGTCAAAAAAAAAAAAAATTGGTTACGCAATTACAAAATGTTACAGTTCAGTTCATATTCTAGTCATGGTAATTTTAGGCATTTTAGGTAAGGGTAAGCTGCTGTTGCCCTCTCTGTAACCAGCCTGACTCCCCAAGGGCCTCAACAGCTCTCTTCTTAAGCCCCGTTCCCTTCGCTAATATAACTATAATTGGATTGTTGCCATATTTTTATTTCTACCTTGATTTTTCATTATCGGGAGTGAGTAAATGTTGTATACCTGAAACGGATATTTGTTTTGACAGGGGATGATGTGGCCTCCATTCTTCACAATCTCCACACACCTGATCTGACTCAGATTGATAAAACCTTTTCTGTAGCGCCTCTGAAAATTCACAAACAACAGGACACACAAAAAATATTTACTACGCTCTCACAACATCTTTCTGGATAATCTGACAATGATAACCTCAGTTTATATCAAATTCTAGTCTCAATCCGAATTTTCTAGATCTAAATCAAAGGTGGTTCGAAAAAAAATAGTAGTGGACACATGTTCAGGTTGTTTTACATCCACAAATGAACCAGAATTGATCCAGTTAAAAAACGACTAAACACCAAATCAACTTTTTTTAACTCATTAACTGCATAAATATGTTTATTGTGGGGCTCTCTACATATCCTGGTAATTCTTTTGACATTTTAGTGCAAATTAAATAAAATCTCACTTTAGAGCCTAAAAATGTTTGTGTGGCGCCCTCTCAACCTTTTCGGTGGTACTACATTTGAATTTGGTCCTGGCCTCTCGGTCAGCACTAGATCATATACGGAATCGGGACGGAAGTAAATACAACAAACTACCTATTTATGCCTAAACTTAACCAGCCCTTCCCATAAAAGAACCCCAACCCACCCTTAACCCTAACCCTAACCATCTTACTCAGACACCTAAAACTTAACCAGTCACCATTTAAGGACTTATTAGTCTAAAACTAATTCGAAAGTAGGAGTGTTACTTCCGGTTTTGTCCCGATTCTGTATATGATCTAGTGCCTACCTTGGCCTCTCCATTGACTTAATTCTGTGTGACGTCAGTTGGTGTGTGTGACGTGCGTCTGTCTGTGCCAGTGATATAAACCCATCCAACTCTCACACACGCCCCAGCTGCAGGTTGGAGTATTCTGGCGACATCTAGTGGTTTAAAATTAAATTATATGAGTTGACAAGCACTAATGCTGAGATAATTCAGTGACTTAGGTTCAGGCATGTAGCTTTACAATTATCTTAGTGTGTAAACACGGGAGGAATGAGACTTTCTTGTGTGTAAACTATTGCTTTAAGCAGCAATGACAACTGTCTGTTTTTTTTTTGTGTGACAAGTGAGCTGTCAATCACAGCCCAGACCACGCCCAATATAAGCCCCCCTTCTTGTCCCTTGGTCCTCCAGGCAACGCCTGGCATCACCCCCTCTGACATCCTCTGACGTCCTCTGACCTCCTCTCACCCCCTCTCACCCTGTCTCACCCGCTCTCTCCCCCTCTCACCTCCACACGCCCATCGTAGTAGCTCAGCGTGCTTTTTGTCAGCACAAAGCGTCTCTCCTTGTAGTTCAGTGGAGACGTCTTCTTCTTCTGCTGCGACCGTTTAATCAGCAGCTCCTCCAATAGCGGCTCAGCGCTCATCCTGCTCCCGCCCACCGCCTTAGCCCATTGGTCCGCGTCAGCAAGCCCCGGTCTGCAGCCGAACTGGGGGGAAAGGTAATTTGCTTTTAATCTACAACTAAAATATTTCAAGTACAGCTGGTCTAAACCAAGTCTATCTTTTAAGGAAATAAATGATTGCAATACATAGTTGTCACAGTCCTTTGCACGATCCCATGTCACACTGTTGGCCGCGTGTGTGGGATACAGCTCTTTGACATCACCTTGATTTTAATGTGTTTGTTTGTGGCGTGCAAAACACCACTTCCGCCAGAGCTACTATTTTGAGCTCAGAGAAAACCTGTTTCAGCCCATTTCCTGTCAAACTGTAAAGAAGATGATTGAACCCAAGAGACTTGAGCAATGCTTACGTTATTGTCTATTCATAGATGATCTTTTCTGTAAGATCAATAAAGTATATCTTCTTCTTCCTCTTGTTTTTGATGGTCCGCTAAGGAGGTAGGAAGGGGATCAGAATCTCATCATCATATAAGGGAAAGTACCGGTTTCCTACATGGCTTTTAAAAAACATGTAGCTCAAACACCTGCTTACATTTGAAGTAATCATGAATACATCCATTCTGGAAATTATTTGTTCAATTAATCAGGTCATAACTTAGAATAGATCACAATAACAGGGGAGATAATAGACACATTACCCATTATTTAACTAGATAAAACAAGTAAGTAATGTTTATTTATATAGCGCATTTTACAGACCCAAGGGCCATCCATGATTGAACAATAATTGTTGAATCACTGATGACCGCTGCAATGTTTAACTAGAATGAATTCAAAGTTATTTCATGAATATTTATCTGTAAATAAATCATCAATAAAGATAATGGGAAAATTACATCACAATTACTGAACCTCTGCTATAATAATTTTACAACTATTGTCTCATGGCTGTTAGTGAATCAATACTAACCTTATTCTATACACACTACAGCCACAGAAACCAGCTTGTAGCGTATTTCACAATGTTTTTTGGAGTACCAATTCTTTTCCCCTTTGCCACACTCGGGATCCTCAACACAGAAATTGCCCATAACAGTAGGATTTATTACCCTGTCATTGATGTGATTGCCTCCGTGTGTCTGAAGTATTATTTATTCATGTAATTTCAGTATAATTCTTAATATGTTTAATATTGTTTTGTGTTTTAATAGTTGTCTCTGGTGAGTACTTTCATACAGTCCAATTTGTTTTTAAACTGCAAACACATATACACTGAATCACAATCTTCATCTGTATGGGCCACAAAGCAATTTCCTTTAGTCTTATCATATTCTATTGTAATGATGATAACATAACAATAACGATACAGTTGTGGTAACTATATATCAATTTAAATCATGCTATTTCTGTTTTTTCTGTATCTTGCTGTCTCTGCTTTTACACAATTCACCTGTCCCGCTTCTTTTCCAAGCCCGAAATAACCAGAAAACACGTCCGCACTGTCGCAAATAAATGTTGCTTTACACCTTTCCATTCATTTTTCAGCAAATACACAACACGGTCAGGTTGAACCCGTGCGTAAAATCAAAGGCCATACGCCTAATTATGGATAGACTTTGACCACTGCAGCACTCCTAACTAAAGTTCAAAGCATGTATTTTAACAGATTAAAAAACAATCTGCAAATCACAGACCATTATCTCACACATTGTCGCATCTTAATCCGTTTTACCTTGTTGTGGAGGCATGGCAGGTTGCGTTTGGCACGGAGCGCAGCAACTTTCGTGCGTAATGGTCACACACGCAGTAAGGAAATGAAAAGAAATGACTGAGTGGCAGACCGTGCTTCCTGGTTTAGTGTTTATAAATGTAGTGAGTATAAACGGACTGAAGAGAAAGAATTGCGCAACAAGATCTCTGCAATAACGAAGAGGGACTGGAGTCGCTTGGAATGTCACATGGGCACTACTCACCCGCAAAAATAACAGCGTCAAATCCAACAATGACAGCACAGAATATTTGTTATTTTAAAGCAAAACATAATTAGCAAATTCCTTGTCAGGCGAAAAAATAAGCTTGCAAGGAACTAATTGCATGCAGGTTTAATAGTGTATAAAAAGTATAATTATGTCTTGAATGCTAATGAATGAATGGCATGGAAAGCTTTTGTGTGCCGCAACATTTACGAAGAGGCAGTTCAAAGGTAAAGACACAACCAAGGGAATGAAAACAATAATATAAATACATAATAATATATCACCTGTTTTATTTTTTTCCCTCCATTGCATAACGTTGTATTTGTGCATATATATTTTTTCCTTTTGAAGTTGTGAGTTTTCTGAGAACATCTATAAGAACGTGCATTACTGTGAGTGGCCTTGCAGCTCCACCTGCTGATATATTTAACTTTTTTACTTCTGTTTCCATGTAATTTTGCATCGGTTTGAGCTGCTGTTTTGCTGCTGTTTAATAAATACTAATAAATGTAATTATACATCCCAACAGGATTTCGTAAGTTACTTATTTTTTTCTTTTTTTTTAATTATAAATGAATACATGCATTCCATGAGAGCTAGATAGAATGGATACACTATTATTGCGGTTTGAAAGTTATAGGCGTCCCAGATTTCAGTATTTATATTTTTATCTGTAAATTACTTCAATAGATAATTATAAAACAGTCTCCCATATCTAAGGTATCTAACAGCTGGCTAACCCAAGTTTATTTTACTCAACGGACACTGTGGTTTTGTTTACGTCATTCTTTCATTTCCTCCAAGTTTTCACACCTACCTATTGCCTTTTCCACTTTTTAACAATTAGTTGGAATGTCTTATAAAATCGGATCACCACTATCAAACTGTTCCGATATGGTCCATCTGCCTTTTTTAACTATTTTTCTTTTTCTTTTAAATGACATGAATTTATCAGTACTGTCGGTGTTCTTGACTTCCTCCTCCCACCTCCGGCTCCTCTTGGTACCAGAAACGTGTCAAATTCTCACAATACTTTTGTTCCACCGCAAAAACAGAGCAAAGAAGCAGACACCAAGACCAAGATGATACACTCAAGTGGGTAACTCAATATCATTCTGTTATCGTTTCATAGTGCATTCCCTAATCATTTTAAATTAGGGAAGGCTTGTCAAGTTGGGAAAAACCATCAAAATTCAGCTAAAAATATATATCTAGGTGAATTTGACACGAAGATAGCACAAGGGGATTTAATTCAAGGATTATTCATGTTTGATATTGTCCTTCCAGCGTTAGGAGAAGCTGTAGTTCTATTCTTCCTGATTTAGATACGAACAGACCAGACTCAATTTTGATCTTTACTTGTTTACATGCTTTAGGTTCAGAGAAGTAGATTGTATGGGTTCAGTTCAATCCTATGCTTTTAGGATTTTGATTTGCTTGTTTTTAGACTTGGCTGTTTTCGTTATAAATGGTTTGACGGCGGAACTAATGTCCATCCATCCATCCATTTTCTTCCCCTTAATCCATTTCTGGGTCGGGGGGGTGGCAGTCAGAGCTGCACCCAGTACACAGAGCACCAGCCCCTCACTGATCCTCCTGCAGGTGGTGAGTCCACAGGAGCTGAGATCTTTCAGTGGGAGCTTCAGGCAAAGTGGGGTTAAGTGTCTTGCCCAAGGACACAACGACCGCAGTCATCAGTGGGAGTCGTGAAGTAGGTCTTACGGTGGGCTTGAACCCACGACCTTCAGGCCCAAAGGACAATGCTCTACCAACTGCGCTACTGTCGCCCTAATCCGCTGTTCCCCTGTCGCGGAACTAATGTATCACTGCAAATTTGTTTGTTGCTAGTCTTTGTTTATCCATATTTTGATCAGGTTGTTTAAATATGTGTATTATGGATATTAGTCAATGTTTAGTCCCTGTTTATTTAAACCTGTTTTATTCATAAATACTGATGTTTAATTATCATTGTGGTTGAATTCAAGTTGGAGCAGAATTATATCCTGTGCTGCTTCTTCTTTCTGACTGCTTTCTAGGGAACTTGTGTAATATTTTTGCATGTAATGGAACGCAATGATTAATTTAGTAATCAACTTCTACAAATCAGTTTTGAATCCTGTTTTTGTGAAAAGAACTCAACATTGCAACCATAAATACCACTAAATAATTGCACGGCAAAGACTATAAGTACATGTTTAGAAGACAAAAGAAAAACGAGGCTTGTCTAAGGTTAGAAGGAAGTGGGTTAACCACATGGTACCTGCACTTCTGCAAAGCAACATGGGACTCAGACTCAAAGAGAGGAAATATGTTGCTTTGTCTTTAGAATTAAGTCAAGAGGTGCAATAGTGGATCTGTGATTTAGTGAGGACTGTTCATGGCTTGAACCAAACGCGCCCTTGAACCCTCTGTCTGGAGACTCCGGGAGGCTCTGTACTGAGGCAGACAGCGGTTGTTTTTGACCGTAACTATAGTTATGCTTCATCAAAAATAATCATCCAATGTTTTACTCTCCACTTGTTTCAGATCAATCAATGCTTTCCATCTTCTGCTGCTGCTGCTGTGCTCTTCATACAAGGTATACTTAAACAGATTCATGTCTGACTTTTTTTCTCCCCAAAAGCATTTTCTATAACTTGATTATTTGTCATACACAAAAATGCACTTGAAATATTAAAATTGTTTGTATTGAACTATTTGATGGTGAAATGTGTTAATGGAAACAAAATCAATGACAAATAATGTTCCTGTATTTTTTGTGTGTTTTAGAGAGTTTAGAACGAGGATGGAGCTGGAAGAAAACACCTCTCTTTGTTTTCAGAGGAGACACTATCCAGAGGCACGACGAGCAAAAGTCAGATTTGGATTAATCTATAAAATGGAATAGCTTTATTGACAAGGCAGATACACAGAGTTTTACCAATTAACATACAATTTTATAACAATGATTGGGGAGTATAATATCAAAATATTATTATCACTATCAAGTTCAGGCTCTATTGGGGCGACAGTGGCTCAGTTGTTAGAGCTTAGGCATTTGCGCCAGAAGGTTGAGGGTTTGAGCCCACCATGGAACCTTCTCCACTGACTCCCACTGATCTCTGCTGTCGTTGTGTCTTTGGGCAAGACACTTAACCCCACATTGCCTGAAGCTCCAGCTGAAAAATTAACACTGTATCATCACTGACAGAGCAGCCATCTTCCTGTGGACTCACCATCTGCAGGAGGATCAGTGAATTGAGTGCAGCTCAATTCACTGACCCAGCAATGGATTAAGGGGAAGAAGATGGATGGATGGAGTTCAGGCTGAAACTTATTTAGAACAAATCAAGCCATTTTCACAAATTCTTTCTGTCCTGTCCTTTCCTTTAAGAGTTGCGCACAAGATTTGCTGAACTACAGTGGTGTTGCTACAGTGTATTTTAAATATCATTATTATGCTTTGATTTGGTTGTGTCTAGATGGAAAGGTCGAGAAAGAAGCTGCCTCTGCCTCCACCAGCAGAGGGCGACAGCCAGGGCACAGGGAAGCTCCAGGTCGTGGCGCTGTACGATTTCTCCGCCAAAGAAGAAACAGATCTCACAATCACACAGGTGATGCCCATGTTCAGTGTTGGGAAGGAAGTAAATACGATGACTCTATTGTCAAATATACGGGTATAACTGCTTTAGCTGGTCATGAGTGGGATGGGGCTAAAGGCAACTCCAGCACTACCCAAACTAAATCAATCTTCCTAACCCAGAAACCATGTTCCCATAGAAGGCCATGGTAAAATGGCAAAAGTGTATTTGCCATTTTCAAAAAGGCCGGATTGTGTCTTATGTGTATCATAAACTTATCTATCGGTTTCTTCTGTCTATCACTCTATACACACAAAGCATCAAAGGCTTTTCTCCATGGATCTATAATAATAACTGGATAGGGTATTACTAGCTTATAGCTGTCCCACCCACGGGCACAGGGGGCGCCCGTGGTACTGCAGACTAAATTCACGAGGGATACCCAGAAAAAAGTCCCATAGATCTCAATGTAAACTAAAACAGCTCGACCTCAGCTCACAGAGAACCTGACAGAGAACCTATAGCTTTCATAAAGATTGTATTTTGTGGGGATTTTAATGTCCCTTGTCATCCTGAACTTTTTTCTTCTTAAATCCTTCGGTTTTCTTTAAATCCACACTTTACTGCCACAAACTCTGCTTGTTTCCTTCCCGCTCTGACTCCGCTCTGCTGCTGTTCTGATCAGCAGCGCTGATTGGTCGAAGCGCGTCCCAGCCCTTCTGTGCACATGCACGGGAGCCATACACACGTATTTGGGATACAACGCATCATGGGAGCTCGTCCACTGCGCAGAACCGGGAGGACCAGACGATGCCCAAATATAGGCGAGTTCTGCTAATCTCCCGGTCCCCGTGAAGTCCCATGCGCTACTGGGCACAAGCCATTCATTTGAATTTTGCGCCATCTTGGGTCATCGGGGCTTGCTTTTCTCTCACAAACCGCCATTGTCTTCAGCTCCACCGCTTGTCTTACGTTTATATGACAGGACCGGACTTTTTGACCAAACTAATAAAAAAATCAGCAACTTTCTCATGGATCTATGCTGAGAGCACTCTTGTTAACACCTTTCCAATGATGACCGTGCACTTAAGATTTTTGATTAATTCTGGAACTTGTGATGAGAAACACGATAGCGCTGCAGAAAACGAGAAACGCCTAGGTCTGGAGAGGTTAAGCACTCTGCACATGTTCGGAGGAAACTTGAGCCCCGGGTCTCAATGATGTCTGCCCGTTCAAATCAACCCTAACCCTAAATATAACCCTCGCCCTGTGCTCCGTGGCGCCTGCTCGCACCATGGCAAAACATTACCGGAAGTGAGGCATTTTGGCCAGCTTTGGTTTTCCCGGTGGTGTGCAGAAGGTGCGTAGTGGTTCTGCTTCAGCAAAAAAAAAAGTTAAAGTTGAGCTGTATGTTCACTGTCAGCAGATGATTTGTTTTAGTTTTCATTGAGGTCTATGGGAAAAATGTCCCTACATCCCATGAAAGCTACAGCGCTGCAGGTGTAAAGGTCTATGGGTTTAAGCTGCAAACACGAAATCTGATTAATTTACATTCATGCTTGAGTCAACGAATGAGGCCGGTTGTCATTACGTACATGATGTGAGTGACACATCTGTGAAAGTTTAGTGACTCAATGGAAATAGACGTGAGAAAAAGACATAAACATTTAAATGATTTGCTTGTTTACACAGAATGCCCAGACTATTTATTGTATAGTTTTATAAATAGAGTTGATGTGTTTTTACCTCGCAGGGCGAAGAGTACACCATTTTACACAAACAGGACCAGCTGTGGTGGAGGGCTCAGGACAAACACGGGTTTGTATATTGACTTTGGAAACATGAGGTCAACTTCTTAGGATAACTCATGCTAAATACAGGTCCACATTATTATTAATAGTATTGTTATGCATGTCCTAAAAATAACATAATCTGGTGAATTACATGTATTCACTGTTTAAAGATATGGATTTCAAACACATACAAAAATGTACCATTGTTTTTGTAGGAACAAAGGCTTCATTCCCAGTAACTATGTGACAGAGAAAACCAACATTGAGGCCAATTTGTAAGTGTAATACAATTATTCAAACTAGATTGAACTAGAAAGAATGTTGAATGACAGAAAGATGAATGAGATATGGTTTGGATTGTGTTACACTCATGGTAAGATCTGGTGGAACACGTAACTGTTATATGTTTTTTGAAGGTGGTATTGTAAAAACCTCAACAGGACTGAAGCTGAACAGCTCCTAAGACATGAGGTAAAGACAATTTCCAACTTTCACTTGTACATTAATTTTCAATAGTATATTATTTTGTACAGTTCTCAGCTAAAACAGCTTCAAAAACATTGACACCATTTTTGGTGTCAATTGCTCATGTGTCCAAATATTACGGTTTCTTTGTCAACTACTCAACATTTTCTCAAGACTCTCCAAAAGAATGCGTCATTAACCGCTGAAAATCATGATCGAAAAGACAAGATTATGAATTAAAGCAGTCGAAATGACTGGGGCTCCCTGAGAGATAAGATGAGTGATTGTAACATGAGAGGAGCTCAGAAAAGAGATGCTGCTCCATGACCCACAAGGACTCAGTCTGGGTCCCACAGAGAACGCCTCAGGATCCCCCTGGACGAGCTGCAGGAAGGGTGTGGAAGTCTGAGCATCTCTGGTCAGACTTCCATGTTCTCAGCGATGGATAAAATAAGAAAGTGGATGGACAGAAGATGATTGTGATTCATAATTAAAACATCCTAACATGTTTAAAGATCGATCTTATGATCAGTAATTCAACAGCTTGTTTGGGAATAACTATTGCATATTTCAGGGTAAAGAAGGCGGTTTTGTGGTTCGAGAGTCGAGTCAGAGAGGTGTCTACACTGTGTCTGTTTACTGCAAATCTCTAGGGTAAGAAATCTTATATTGAGCTTCAGCAGATGACACTATTTACAAAATTATTTTTTAGCGGGTGTTAAAACTGTTACAGAACAAATACTATGCATTATTTCAGTTTGTTTATGTGCTTGGACAATTTTTTTGCTTCCTTCAAATTGCCTTGTTCGATATTATTATAGCAAATGTAAGTCCCAATTTCTACCATTAGAGGGGGTCTTTTACATATTTTGATCATAACATCAAACTCATATAGAGTTGAGTATTTTTGAGTAATGACATTTTCTCATTTACTCTACTAAACTTGTGGTCTGATAAGATTTATTTTCTTTTATGAACAATGTTAGTTCCCCCACCTTTAATGATTGTTATATATATGTAACTTATTTGCACATTTTAAATGAATAACAGTGTGATGTGTTTTCAGCGAGAGTGGAGGCGTGAAGCATTACCAGATCAAACTCAGTGCCACAGGACAGTTTTATTTGGCTGAAAAACACGTATTTGACTCCATTCCTGAAGTGATCCGTTACCACGAACACAACGCAGCAGGTACAATTCATTCTTACATTTAATATTAAAGTTTTGAAGAAAGTCTCAGATCCTGTCTGTGTTTAGGCCTGGTGACTCGCCTGCGGTACGCTTTGGGGCCCATGGGGAGGTGTGTTCCTGCCACAGCAGGGTTCAGCTCAGGTACAATGTCCACATTTCACTAATAATTATTATCTTATGGTTTTTATTGTGTTTAAAAGTTGACAGAAATATTACAGCTGAAGCTTTTTCATCCCTTTTATGTCTGTAAAAAGGGATAAGTACTCTGTTATAAATAAAATATACTGAATTCTTCCCAATTGTCACTTATGGTTTGTGGAGAATCTAATCCACTGGGGAGGGGGCCTGTTTGGTAATCCCAGTTTTCACAACCACCAGAAGGGAATGCATCAACACAATTCTGTTAGCGGATGTTGGTGCTGACATTGGAACATTTGGTGGATCTTGCATTGGTTCTGTATTGGTTGAGCAGACCATGTAATTTATCCATTAAAACTAATCATTAGTGAATAGTAACTCAGACTGTCATAGTTTTGACTTCTATTGAACTGCTTGAAAAAGTATCAGCAGATATTGAGTAATGACATCAGTATTCATCATGCAAAGGCTGGATCCCTATTACCACAATTTGACACCCACTTTCTTTACCTTTATGATTGAACCTTACTTGGATTAAAAAATATGAATTACACAGCATTCTAATGTATTATGCTGTTGATTTCTTTCAGAGAAGTGGGAGATAAACCCGAGTGAGCTGACGTTCATGAAGGAGTTGGGCAGTGGGGAATTTGGACAGGTGCGACTGGGAAAATGGAGAGCTCAGCACAAAGTGGCCATCAAAGCCATCAGAGAAGGAGCCATGTACGAGGAGGACTTCATCGAGGAGGCCAAAGTCATGATGTGAGGATCAATAAAACATTATTAGTAATTATACTGATTTGGTGATAGCATTCCATCTATTGGCTACAAAGGGAATTGCCATGGAGAGGAATCCATGAGTAACTGTGATATAGTACATGCTTTTTTAATTGGATATAAATCTGATTTAGATTACTACCACAGTGCTATAGTCAGTTATTTGTAATATCATGCACTACACATATAACTGGCCTCTTAATGATTTCGCAGGAGGCTTTGCCACCCTCGCTTGGTGCAGTTGTACGGTGTGTGTCTGCAGCAGCGCCCCCTGTTGATTGTGGCCGAGTTCATGGAAAACGGCTGTTTGCTGAATGTTCTGCGCCAGAGGGGTGAGGCTCTGCAGGAGGAGTGGCTTCTGTCCATGTGTCAGGACGTGTGTGAGGGCATGGAGTACCTCGAGAAATGCAGCTTTATTCACAGAGACTTGGTGAGAATACATTACCAACCACAATCCAAACTGTTGGCCTCCTCCTTGTTAAACCACACCTCCCCCAGGAATCCAAAAAAGATACCAGAGTCAGCAGCTCTATCCCAAGCTCTTTGCGTGTGTGCGAGCTCCTTAGCTTAGAGACCACTTGTTTGTTTCAATCACTTGTGTCTGTGATATTTTTCTTTATCCCCAAAAGCTCATGACCATAGCTCAAGGTGGGAACATAGATCGAGCAGTTAATTGCCCTTTTCCCAAGAGTTCCATACAGTGACCACATCACTGCAGACGATGCATCTATCTGTCAATCTCATGCTCCATCCCTGAACTCCTCCAAGGGCAGGGAACATGGCCCTGGATTTGGAGTTGTTGATTTTAGTCTCAGTTGCTTCACACACAGTTTCTTATCATTTATATTGAAATTCCTGCCAACAGGACAACATTCAGAAAACAGTAAAGATTAAATAATTGAATACAATCATAAATTAATATATGAAAGTTTAAAACTGTATATGATTTGCAATTAATTTATGACTTTTCAATCAATAAACAATATGGCATAGACAAGTTTTTTGGATAGAGTCATTAGAGTTACTACATTATTATAGATCCATGGAGTACATAGAAACACATTATTATGCATTCTGTTTTATACAGTTTGGCAAAAGACTTTCCCTCTTTTCTGTTGGTTGGTTGGGAAGTTTTAGAGCAAGTGTTTTTATTTTACAGGCTGCAAGGAACTGTTTGGTGAATGATCGACACGTGGTGAAAGTTAGCGACTTCGGGATGACGAGGTACAGATTTTTTTTTAATGCATGTATTTCTGCATGATGATGAGTAGGAAGGAATGTAATGAAGAGATTTGCACAGTATGATTATGATACAATATGACTATGTATTTTGTGGTGAAGGGTTATCGAAATTATAAAAAAAATCTTAAATTATACTAAGAATAGTAATGAAACAAGAGAGGAGACTCAATACTCAATAACATGACAAAATTATGGACAAGATTTGGCATTTCTTGAGCATTTTTGGATACATTTTAAACTATATGAGACATCAGAACTTGTATAACACCTTATGGTCCTCGAATTTGAATTACTATGGTTAAGTAGTTATTGCTGTCTTCTTCAGCTGTTCAAAATCAGACCAACTGCTCAGCAACAGATTAGATCGATAGAGGCACAAGGACATTACAACTGTGTCTTGATTATTGATATTGTTGGTGTCTGATGTATGAAAAAAAAAAAAACAATTGTGTCCTGTTAGTTTTGTACTTCTCTAACCACAGACAGTAAATAAAGGAGCTAGGGCAGCACGCTCAATCACAATCAAATCGGATATATAGTGTCTGCAATTAGAAAATCAAAAACATTACAATTATTTAGAAAAAAAGTATGGGCTGTATGTAATATACGGGCTATGGAACAAAAAAATAGATGACTTAACAATGACTTTACAAACAGAAAACAATCTTGTGGTATATTATACAAATCTGGCTGTAACTATATTTCTATATAATCATGCAGCACCACAATCTGACAACACCATCAGAGGTTTATCCCTACTGTGTGGTTTTAACATGAAGCGTTACCTTGACCCGGTCCCGGCCCTGTGCGCAGGTATGTGTTGGATAACCAGTACACCAGCTCAAGTGGGTCCAAGTTCCCAGTGAAGTGGTCTCCTCCTGAAGTCCTGCACTACAGTAAATACAGCAGCAAATCAGACGTGTGGTCGTTTGGTGAGAGAAACTTGAGTAGTACTAGCAGCAGCAGCAGCAGTAGCAATAGTAAAGTCGCAGTCGTAGTAGTACTTCACTGCCTCATATCAAACTCACGATTGTGTCTGCTGCAGGAGTGGTGATATGGGAGATCTTCACTGGAGGGAAGACTCCGTTTGAGAACCGCTCCAACTCGGAGGTGGTGGATGACATCAGCAGGGGGCGGCGACTGTACCGGCCGAACAGAGCCTCACCGCTGCTTTACAACATCATGTACAAGTGCTGGAACAACGTACGCAACAACGCAAACACACACACACACACACACACACACCAATGATTCCATCAATGTGTTCAAGTTCAAAATGCGTTTCGATCCAGGAATACAGAAGAAGAGCTACATTAAAAAATAAGAAATATGCATTAAAGGAGCTATAGGAGCAAGGTTTGAATGTTTAGCCCCGCCCCCCTCTTATTCCACGGAGCCATCTTGTTGTCTTTGTGATCTATATGAAAACATTAGCATGAGCACAACTTCTTGTAAGCTGTACAACAATCACTGATGAAATGGTACAAAAGCAACGCACTGCTAACACAATATACAACTGAAAGATTACCGCTAGTTACGCGTCTGAATGTAGTCCGAGCATAGATAGTCCGAGGCGGTCCCGCAGATCTCTCCCATAGACAAGTCTCTCCCATAGACAAGTCTCTCGAGAGGATACAATGTAAGCTAGCTATGTTCACTCGGGCTTGATTTCTTCTTTGATAATTTTTTCGTTTTAGTTCCGTCTTCTCTTCCTCACTGTTGTGTTGTTCGGGCTGTTTTGCTGTGTCTGCAGTTATAGCAGGAGGAGTTATAGCCAATTCTGCTAACATGCTACTGTGTTTAGCAGCGCTGTAGAGGCTAGAGGACTCAGCCTCGTTCTGTGATTGGAGGAGAGCTGGCGGCACGCTAAGTCGCTACTCAGCACTTTTTACGGCCTGAATTCATTCACAAGCTGAATCAATGAGCTCAAGTTTTCAATGAAATTACGGATTATTATAATACAAATTGTATGTAGTAATGAGCATTTTTATGAACTCATAAAAAAAAAATCAGGTATAGTATCTTGAATGTTGGCCCAAAATAATATTTACTATTGTTGTTTCATGTTTTAGAATGTGAAATATTATCTCAAGTTGAAATTGTATGGTGAAACAAGTATGAAGGGTAAAACATGCTTTCTTCCTGCACTCCTAATGCTACCACCAGAGGGAGGTGTTAAAATGTGTTTTGTTTCCCAATTCAAAAAATACCAGATGCAAACGCAGCGATTGAACAAAGCGTCATTTCACTTGAAAAAATACAAACACTATTTGTGGTCAAAAGTTTTGTTTTAGGAGGCACAACTCTGCTTTGATCTAAATGTCATAGCGGTACAATGACATCATACCGGACTGAGACAGAAGCGTTTAGACAAAAGGGGCGGAGTCACATGTTTGTGCCAGAAGTTGTTGTTGATAATAGCGTGGATGGATCTAAAAACAACCCCAAGTCTGTTTTTGATGATGGAACAATGTAATTTTCATCAGAATACATTTTAATAATGATTGTTTTTCTCTGTATGTTTTTTAAGGAACAAAAAGTATACACATCTTTCTTTGTTATTGTAACTATTTACACTCTGGATTTGTTGTGTTTGTGTGTCACAGAAACCTCAGGATCGTCCGTCTTTCTCTGAGCTGGTGGAGGAAATCATAAAACTGTCGGAAGACTCAACGTTGTGAACTATCTACATTTATTATCTACAATTCTGTCTTTCATTTTGGCATCTTTATCGTCTTGTTCACTCTTGGAATGTTTCTGTTTATTTATTCCGTTCAAAGAAATAAAGCAACAATAATTTGAAAATATTTAAAGTGACGTCACAGTTCATACAAAATACAGCAGTTATTAGAAAAGGATTGACATAGTCATGCTTACTTGAAACTAATGTGCCACTTTTGTCTTCTATGGGGCTTTTTCAAAATGGCTGTGGGCAGCCCGTTTTGCAGTAAAATGTGAAAAAACGCATTTGAGCATGCGTTAGCCAGCACTAGCCCCATTCATTTAAAGAGTGCATTCAAAAGTGCACAGAGGCTAGACTTGTCCAAAAAAACCCTTCAGCATCGACACACATCTAGAACATAGTGTTGGGCCAAGAGCCGACTTTTGGACCAGGCTGTAAAGCCGTTTTTGAGAGAAAAGAAGGCGGCATTGGGTAAATTTTATTTCGGGGTCCACCTCCACCAGCCGGAGTGAGATTGCAACAATCAGGATGACAAGGGACACTACAATCCCCACTGTTAGGCCACTACCAGGTCGTATAGCCTCTCCTCTCAGATGGGAGCTGCGCTCATTGGTGCGTCAGACGGAGCCGCGCCTTTAAAGCTCTGGTTGCGAGCCAGACATTCTTGTTGGCTTATTCCGCTCCCATCCTACCACCTGCGTGCCCCGCCTCCTTCGGTTTGGTTTGCCTGGTTTGGTTTGGTTAGTTTTGGTTCGTTTAGGTTGTGGTCTATTTTCTACACACTATTCAACACTTACCTTCACAGCACATACACTCGCACGCACTCACTACAGACTTACACACCCCATTAAAACATTAAGTTTGGTTATTAATAAACATTATTCCAATTGGCAACGGTTTGGCGTGTTTCTGTCATTTCTATTTGAGCCGAGTTATGACACCACTAAGCTATGATTTTTATGAAAGCTGTAGGTTTTCTGTCTCTGCTGAGGTCGAGCTGTTTTAATTTACATTGAGTTCTATAGGACTTTTTCTGGGTGGCCCACGTGAGTTTAGTCTGCAGAACCAAGGGCGCCCCCTGTGGCCGCTGATGGGACAGCTATAAGCTATAGTGAGAACATGGATCTATTAAAATAGTGAGACACTATCCAGATATTATTATAGTTCCATGGATTGCCAGCATGTCAGGGCAGTGCTCATGGACCCTTTGGAGCTGAGCTGGGACCCGCTCCAACGTAAAAGACACATTAACTGTGCTGGACTTTACATATATTGTTTCACATTAAATATTTCATGCGAACATTAACTCTCATTAAAACCACAATAAGTAATTGATTACATTGGTGCTTTGCTCGTCTTATCGTAGCTATAGCGAGTTATCACACAAACTAGTAAAATAACTCTCAGCTCACACGGAAGTTCTTGATGCCACAAACCATAATCCATCACTTGTTAAGACGTGATGGCTTGATTTGTCAAGAAACATAGTATTTTAAAATCATTTTACACGGATAAATAAATACTAATCTGAGTCCCGTGCTGAAGCTTCTGTGGTTGTGGCTGACATGTCGACTGCGCAGGACTGGTGCCATAGAAATGTTTGATTGGGAGGATATTACTCACAACATAAAGCATGTTTCAGGAAGACACCATTTGTTTATTTCAATCTTAGTCATAGATAATAGTACAATTTAGTAAACCCATAACTGTCTAAAAAACGAGGTAAAACAACTGTAGCGTTAAATCCATAGACTGTAAATATTAAATCATTATAGGAACACATGAAGTCCAGCAGGGGGCGTTAAAGATTTTAATTCACAGACAAACAGCCTCAAAGCAAACCATTATTTTGGACTTTCATCAGAAGAGGTTTGTAAATGCGTGTTTTCTTTATAGTATCTGAGATTATTTGACTGTTTCCTTCTTTGAAAAGGTTTCACTTTTACTCCTCACGTTTGTAAGAGCTGCTCCTACTTGTTCATACTTGAGCTTTCTTTGGTTGCCTAATATTGCCTAATATGCTTCACGATCGGTGAAAAAAGCAATTGAAAAGATGCAGTGTTTGCTAGTGTTTAGGATTGAACAAGATTATATATGATGTAAAAACAAACAAAGCAATTCCGTTTCCCAATGAGCTTTTCACTAATATACAAGCAAATTCAGTATGTTTCAAAATACTGACATTAGGTTAAGTTTGACCCATCCAACCCAACAGGCAACCTGCAAAAGCCGATGGTCTCTGCAGTGAGGACACATAATAACTCAACATTGTGGCATATAGTTCACAATAATTTAACATGAAATACCCCAAAAGCCCTAATGTCTCATATAATATTACATCCTTTACGTTCTGCATATAAGAGGATTTGATGCGGCTGCTGGACCATCACGCAGCGCTTTTAATCTTTCCCCTTTTCCCCTCCCAGAGCCAAAAACCTCGACGTCACGTAATCTGACTATTTCCCATGATGCAGACGGAGTTTAATCCTTTGCGTCAAGGCAAACAGCAAGAAGAAGCAACATCAGGAATCAGGATGGACTTTATGTGTATTTAAGAAGACTTTTTCCTAGTTTTTTTGGGACAATTAACACACAAGCAATATATATTTTTCTTTATATAATATATTTATCACCAACATGATAGATGTTAGTCAATAGCTAAACTTAATCTATTGCTTTTAATATATTGATTTTGTCTGCATATATTTTTAAAATGCATCGAGCTTTGGATGCCTGCACTGCACTGTTCTCTTCACCTGGAGACAACACTGGACAGGTGAGGAACTGAAGCACATAATAATCACAATTTTGTAGTACCAGCTGAAGGAGCTACTAGTCAAGTGTTAAGTTTAACTTTATCTTTATTCTCATTTAACCCATTCTGCAATGCTACTATAGGACCTGCTCAGATTGATCAGAATTACCAGAGCTGGAGGATTTTACCTATTGTCCATTTGTTTTTAATAATACGGGAAACCGGAGCTCCTAGGGGAAACCTACTGTATGCAAACACGGGGAGAAAATAAAAACTGTACTCTGAAAGGCCATTCTTGCTTATATATAAAGATTACTTACTTGCTTGCTGAGAGCAGAACTCTTGCTAATAGAAGGCTGGAAGGATAATAGTATTAGCAGACTAATAGTGAGACAAGGCATGTTTTTTTATTAATAATAATTCAATGAAATAGTAATTTCACAAAACGACACATATATTGAAACAAATCAACCTCAGCTGACAAGGAGCCTACAGCTTTCACAAAGGTTGGATTTTGTGGGAATTTTGCCTGAACCTTTTTCTTTTTTAATGCATTGGTTTTCTATAAATCCACATTAGAGGATCGTTAGTCCTGACTGAGGGCTACATCTGAAATAAAACAAATGAATGAAAAACATCTCTTCTGTGGTCAGCCTCTGTCCTCTGGCGCCCCCGTGTGGCACATGTGACTTTTGCACAGTACCCAGAAAACCCAGAAGAACCACAAACTTTTGAAACAGCAAACAATGCTCAATATCCTGCCTGCTGCTTCTGCATTTGTAAACATTAGAGGCAGCAGGGATAATGTCTCTCAGAGTCAAGGTAACAGCATCATTTTACAAATTCCTGAAAATGCATTCATTTGTTTATTTATTGTTTGTTGTATTACAAAGTATACATATTTATTTTGCCTTTTTATTATTCGATTATGTGGCATTGTTTTGTATTGAGGGCAATGTGGTGAAATAGATGTACATATCCTGAGTAGTTTTACCCACGGTCAGTTGTTCTGGTCTTCATCATTACTTTATCCAGAGCAGACACTTCTCTCTGTAGAGATGTGGTTTGGGAAAAGATATAAGATACAAAACCATCTCAGTGTGCATTTTAAAACAAAAGAAAAAAGGCTGGCTTTTCAATGGATGTGGATGTAGAGAATGCCGGAGTGTATTCGCTTTGAGGGATTAACCATTTCATTCACCATATTTGTCCAATATGTTTAGTTGCGCTCAGGTTTCACACATAGGTTTTATAGAGAGAGGGTCGTGGGTTTGAACTTTGATTTCATGCTGACCCAGGCCTTTTTGTGTGTTCCGAACATGTAATCTTTTTAATAACAGGTGACATTGATTTGTAAGCTGCAGATGAAAACACTCTTCAGGGTTTGTACGATCAAAACTAGATACTCAATTAAGAAAATAAAGATACATTAAAATAACATCCCAAAACAGGACCACTTTTATTTCCTGTGCATATTTTGATTAATTTTGAACCGGTAGCCAGCCCCTGTGTTTATTCTAATGAAGTTAGGGCCTGAATATTTGTCTTCTTTTTGGATGTGTGACCACCGTTGATGAGTTTGTATATCAGCAGCTCCCTGTTTCCACTTTAAATGTTGAACTTTATTTGAAAAACAAGGAGAGCAAACTGTCATGAAAAAGTACAATATATATTTTATGAATGAATGAATTAAATAGATTATATAGCAGCAGTATTGGTAGCAGTATGACTACTTCTAAAACTACCAGTAGTCGTAGTCGTAGTAGCAGTGGTGGCTCTGGTCTCAGGAGCAGCCCTGACCCCATATGGCGGTGTTTTGTGCTTATATGGTCATTTTCCGAACAGACGAACCGTTTCAAATATAGTCAGTGTTTTGGTTTGAAGGAGTCAGAGATTCTGCAGTGACGGGTGAGCAGCAGCATGGAAACTTAACATCTTAACTGCAGAACTTTCAAGCAGTAGAATATAGTTTACTATTGAGGGTTAAAAGGTATTTTATACAAGGTCAATTATTTTTCTTTTTACTGTTTACTCCTGATTTCGATTTGGTCATGCTATAGTTTAGTCCTGGTTAAGTTGACCATAATTAGTCCTGCATTTCCCCTGCTGCATAGCCCTGCTTTAGTTCCTTTGACTCACATTCTTGCATCCTAGATTGATTTTTAAAATGGCATTTACAATTGATTTTTCTGATGTATAATTGTTTTACTTTCAGACAAGACTTTTTCGGTTTTCATCTTTCTCCATCAGAGATCTGCTCAAATCCAAGACACCAGAGTGCAACTGCCTACAGCTAAGGTAAACAAGCTCCTGCAGCAATATTATTATTATTAGTATTAGTAGTAGTTGAGGGGGCGTAGCAAAAGCTCTAAAAATGATGTATTACGGTCTCACAATGTTGGAATAAAATCACAAAGCTAATATTAAAGTATTGAATAAAGTATTGTGAATCTTACCACTATTGTGCAGAGAATGAGTGAACAATGAACTATGAAGCAGGATGTCTGGAACTATATGAATAGGTATTGTTTTCAAGGTACTTTGTTTTCAAGTTCAGTAACATCCAATTTAAGAATCAAATCAATCATATAAAATGTTGGAAAAAAAAAAAAACCTACATATTTTACAGGTCCACTCGATAGCCCAGTGACATGTCTTATTTGAATGTGGCTCTGAGGCTGACATATGATTGGCTGTTGCTGTGTTACTCAACAAGTGAACCAGGAAGTGAGCTGAGAAAACAGACTTCTCTTCCTGCTTTTCAACATGACAGCAAGTCAACTACAGGTGCGGAGAGCCGGACGGAAGGGAGCAGGGATGGCTGCTGAGGGTGTGTGGACTGGAGAGATGTCTGGAAGTGACGTGGAGGGAAGTGTTCGAGAAGCTGGGGCGGGAAATGAAAGCGATACAGATAGCGTTAAAGTCTGGCAAAACCAAAAAAAGAAACGTAAAAGGAAAAAAGAAAACCAAGGAACATCTCAATCGGAGGTAACAGACCACAGTGAAGAAGAGGTTGAAGAATTCAAAGTTGTGTTAACACTGGTTGAAGAGGGGGCGTCGTTCGGTAAGTGGAACCCGATCCATCTCACTCGGGAGGTCGACAGAGTGATTGGAACTGTCAAATATGCGAAAACGTTGAGGAACGGATCGTTGTTAATAATATGTATGAGCGCTGAGGACAGGAAGAAAGCGCTAAAACTGACTCGTATTGTGGGCCAAGAAGTCAAGGCAAGAGTTTTAGAAGACAAGCAAGTTGTGAATGGAGTTATTTCTGGTATCCCTCCGAGTGTCCCAGTGGAGGACATCAAATCGAGTTTGAAAGGAACTAACGCTAAGATTGTAGACATTAAACGTCTCAAAGCGTGGCGTAATGGCGAACGAAGTGATAGCTTCTCTGTTATGGTCAAATTCGAAGGAAAAGTACTTCCGGACAAAGTGTTCATTGACTTCATGTGCTATAATGTCAGGGCATATATCCCTCCACCACTTCGATGCTTTAAATGCCAAAAGTATGGCCATGTTGCTGCTGTGTGCAGAGGAAAACAACGATGTGGAAGATGTGCAGGGGAGCATGAATATGGAAAGTGTGAACAAGGAGCAAAGGTTAAGTGTTGTAACTGTGGGGGAGAGCACAGCTCTGCATACCGTGGATGTGAAGTTAGTAAAAGAGCTGCTGAAGTACAAAAAGTCAGAGTCTCCACTGGAGTCACCTATGCAGAAGCGGCTAAGAAGGTCCCTGCGTTGCCAAAGAAAGTAACAGCTGCAGTAGCCCCAACTACTAGTAGCTCCAAGTGTGATAACTGTAACAAAATAAATGAAGATACACTAATGATGGAAAAAGAGGATTTCCTACTCTTCATGGCGGAAGTAATAAACTGCACCCTGCAAGCAAAGGGCAGAACAGAGAAAATTGTAATTATCCTAAGTGCTGCAGAAAGACACCTTGGTATCAAAGATGTGAAACTGGAGTCGATTAACGAAAAATTAAACGTAAGGAAGAAAAACACACCAGGACAGCGATTGATACAACAATGTGGTACCTCATCCTCTTTATGTTGATTGTATTCCAATGGAATGCAAGAAGCTTAATTAGTAACGGTCAAGAATTTAAAAAGTATATTGTGGATCAGGAAGCTAAACCTCATTTGATCTGTATTCAGGAAACCTGGCTTAAGCCAGCCTTAGACTTTGTAATACCAGGATATGTGTCAATCCGTTGTGACAGGGAACAGAGGCAAGGTGGGGGTATTGCTACGTTTGTACAGAGTGGACTTAATTTCAAAGTTGAGGATATCAGTCAAGAGTTTATAATTACCAAAATATGGGCGAATGATGGTCAGTTTTCTGTGATTAATTTTTATAACCCTGGCAACAGGCTGAACTCGGAAATATTGAATAATGTGATTAGTAAAGCACAAGGGAAAGTTATTTGGTGTGGTGATTTTAATGCCCACAGCACATTATGGGGCTGTCGTAGCACTAATGCAAATGGGGTAGCTGTAGAAGAGTGTATCCAAGCTAACTCACTTGTGTGTATTAACGATGGAAGTGGTACAAGATACAATTGTTCAAATAATGTAGTGAGCACTCTGGATCTCACATTAGTTTCTAGTGTTATTGCAAGTAAGGCTTCCTGGGAGGTTGTAAAAGGCGCCCTAATGGGAAGTGACCATTTTCCAGTTATTACCAAAGTAGGAACAGAAGTCATTGAGGAAACTGACTCAAGAATTCCAAGATGGAAGCTGGACAAGGCTAACTGGGAGTTGTTCAGAAAAATAGTGAGCCGCTTGTGTCCAGAAGACTTTGGGAGAGAAATTACAGATGTTGACGTGTATAATGAGGAATTAACCTCTGTTATCCTGCAAGCAGCAGGGGACACGATCCCAAAGGTTAAAGGAAAGAAGCAGAATAAGGGTGTGCCTTGGTGGAATGATGATTGTAGTGAGGCCATTAAAAAAAGAAATAAAATGTTTAAAAGGTTACGTAAAGTTCTTACATTTGAGTCCCTCCTTAATTATAAAAGAGCTCAAGCTCAAGTTAGGAGGGTTATAAAAACCGCACGAAGAACCTTTTGGAGGAGTTACAGCAGCAAGATTGGGCGAGAAACAAAGCTGGCTGATATCTGGGGTGTCATTAGGAAAATGAGTGGAGTTAAAGGAGTTTATTCAATGCCAGTTTTGCAAAAAGAAGAGGTCACTGCAGTAAACAATAAGGACAAGGCAGAGTTACTTGCGAGTACTTTTGTTAGTGTACACAGCTCGAGTAATCTATCTGAAGACATAAAGGAATGTAGAGATAGAACTGCAAAAGAGAACCCAGGTGTCGCTAACATGAAGAATTCCTTTTGTGATGATCTTGACCTGCCTTTCACTATGTTTGAGCTTAAACGTGCAATAGCTTCTTCTAAACAGACATCCCCTGGCAAAGACGGAATCTGCTATTCCATGTTGGCGAGAATGGAGGAGGAGTCCTTGGAAGCTGTAGTGAGGTTGTTTAACTTAGTCTGGGAAACTGGGAAGATCCCTGATGCTTGGAAACAATCTGTTATAGTGCCAATCGTGAAACCTGGAAAGGAAGCATCAGACCCATCTAGCTATAGACCCATTGCATTAACATCACAACTAGGGAAAACTATGGAAAGGATGATTACAACACGGCTGAATTATTATTTGGAAAAGAAGAAACTGTTCACCCCTTTCCAAAGTGTCTTTCGGAGGGGACGAAGCACCATGGATGCACTTGTCTGCCTAGAATCTGAAATAAGAAAAGCCCAAACAAATAAAGAAGTGGTTCTGGCTGTGTTTTTCGACATAGAAAAAGCATACGATATGCTTTGGAAAGAGGGGCTGCTGATTAAATTGTCCAAACTTGGCGTTGGAGGAAGACTTTACAATTGGGTGCTAAGTTTCCTGTTTGGAAGGAAAATAGAAGTAAGAGTTGGATGTGCCTATTCTGATACTTATACAGTTGAAAATGGAACCCCACAGGGAAGTGTTTGTAGCCCTGTTCTATTTGATATAATGATAAATGATATTTTTGAGAATGTAGAAAGTTCTGTTGGGAGATCCCTCTACGCGGATGATGGGGCCCTTTGGATCAGGGGTCGTAATTTGAAATACCTACAAAGGAAAATGCAAAATGCAATAAATGAAGTAGAAATGTGGGCTGGCAGTTGGGCAATTAAAATGTCTGTTCCAAAGACACAAGTAATTTGTTTTTCAAAAAGACACAAAGAAGTTGAGCTAAATTTGTATGGACAAAAACTGGAACAAGTCGCTATGGTTAGGTTTTTGGGAATGTGGTTGGATGAGAAACTAACATGGAAAAAACATATTGAGTCAGTCAAAGATAAATGTAAAAAAGTAAATAACATATTGCGATGCCTAGCAGGCCGAGATTGGGGAGGAGCAAGAGGGGCCCTAATAAGAATTTACCAAGCACTCATGAGGTCCTCCTTGGATTATGGCTGCTTTGTGTACATGTCTGCTGTAGAGACACACCTGAAGAAGCTAGACCAAGAACAAACACAAGCACTGCGTACATGTTGTGGAGCTTTCAGGACCTCGCCACTCTCTGCCCTTCAGGTTGAAGCGGGGGAAGCCCCTCTCCGTCTGAGGAGGATCCAGCTCATGCTCGCATACTGGTTGAACCTTCAAGGCCATGACACTCTTCATCCAACGAAAGAGACATTAAAAGATTGCTGGGAGCATCAAGAATCTGAGCTTTTTAGCTTTGGGTGGGTGTGCGAAGTCAAAGCACAACACTTTGACCTAAATGGTTTTAAATATTGCCCCACAGTCCCATGTTCTCCGGTCCCTCCATGGGTTTTTGAACCTCCCAGGGTTGACCTATCTCTCCATCAAAGTATTAAGGATAAAGGAACTATACCGGAATGGCGTATTGTGCACGAATATCTTGAATGTCACTATGATAGTCTGATTCTGTACACTGATGGATCTAAGGACCCAGATAGCGGACGAACCAGTGCAGCAGTGTGCATCCCAGAGTATGGAATCAATATTAGAAGAAGAGTCTCAAACCATCTAGCAGTATACACGGTTGAGCTGATCGCCATCTTACTTTCACTTAACTGGATTTTGATGAACTCTTGTGTCAATATTTGTAAAACTGTTATTGCATCCGATAGCCAAGCAGTGCTATTGAGTCTCAAATCTGGAAAGTCGTGCAGGATGGATCTACTTTATAAGGCTTATAACCTCCTGGCACAGGTGTATAACAAGAATATTGATGTGTCACTGGTTTGGGTTCCCGCTCACGTTGGAGTAGAGGGGAATGAGCAGGCGGATATACTCGCTAAACAAGCCTTAAGATCTGACACTATTAACATAAATGTATCACTAAGTCAAGCTGAGGGAAAAGCCCTGCTGAAATCTAAAATCATGAAGCTTTGGCAAGAGTGCTGGGACGTCAGTGATACAGGAAGACATCTTTATGGAATCCAGAGTAAAGTTGGATCAAACTGCCTGTGGGCAGGTAACCGAAAGAGGAATCCATTATCACTCGTTTGAGGATCGGACACACAGGCCTAAACCACTCACTCTGGAGAATTGGAAAGCATGTGGATGGAACATGCCAGCACTGTACACATGAACCAGAGACTGTAGAACATGTCCTCCTGCACTGTGATTATTATAGAGAGCAACGAGTCTGCATGTCAACAGCTGTTGCAAAAGAAACACGCCCATTTAATTTAAAGACATTGCTAGATCAACCGTCTGTAAACATCCGCAAACGTCTAATCCATTTCATTAAAACCACCGGACTGAAAGATCGTATTTGAACTGCTGATTCTAGCTTGATTCCAATGGTCCACACACCCCAGTACAGTAGGTGGCGGTAATACTCCTTTTTTTGGTTGTCAACCGCCAAAAAACAGCAAAGAAGAAGAAGAAGAAGAAGAACATGACAGCAAAAGCAACCGGAGTAAGTCAGAAAAGTAGGTCGAATCAGCAGCAGCAGCAGAAGCAGTAGTGGTAGAATGAGTGGTAGTAGTCGTTGTCGTGGTGGTAGTAGTAGTATTTGTAGTAGTAGTAGCAGTTGTAGCAGTTGCAGTAGCAGTAGTTGAAGTAATGAGAATGACAGAGAATAAATGTTATGCACCTTGGGACATTGAATTGGAGCTTTCTTCTTCCAGGTAACAGAGTTTACAGATTATAAATGGTTTCTTATGCATGCTGTTAATACTAATCAAAAGAGTCTTGTAAAAGTAAAATGTTGTGAACAAGTAGGATTTTAATATTGTTATTATTTTAATGTAAGATAACAAGATATTACAACATGCTGTCTTCATCTTAGTAGAAAAACATGTTTCTGAGTCAATATATTTTAGTAATGTTAAGTGAGGGCGGTCGTCTCTTTTTCACTTTTCTGTCTGAAAAAAACTTATTTCAAAATAGCCAAAAATGCATGCATGTGAAAACTAGTGATAGATCCAGTTTTTTGAGCAAAGAACTATTGACATGCATCGATTTAAATTGTATTGATTTTGAATATTATGATTACTTTGACTATTAAATAGAATATGAATATGAAGACATGAACTTCAACTTTACTAAACCTAAATATAAACTCTTCTGCTCTTCTTAAAATAAGACTGACGATGCTTGTTACATTGCCGAATATTGTTGCTAATATCAGAAATTTCAACACAACCACTAGTTTTCTGTCAGAACAAAACTTTTCTTCTGTAAAATTTACTTTAATTTACTAATTCTACGATTAGATTCTCACACATGAATTGTGTTGAAACAAGTATATATTCTCAAGATCATGTTTTGGACTAAATCAACAATATTAAGAGAATATTTAACTGCACATTTCTCCCAGCATTCTGAGTAATCTAGTTTGAATGTGTATTTGGATCTGCTCTAGGCCTGTGGATGGCATCAGTGAGGCGGGAGAGCTGAATGTGTCAACGGTTCAGATGGAGGCAGAGATTGACAAAAAAAACACAGAAAATAAGGTATGTTACATGATCATTTTGATAATATAAATTTTTTTTAACCATGTATGAGTAAAGAAAATATCTGAACTATAAATCTTTGAATAGAAGTGTCAAATTGCATTTTACTTTTATAGTAAGGCCCAGGACCAGCCGTGGAGGCAGGTCTAGCTCCACATTTATTAACAGAGAAATCCTTTAGCTCCTTGTGATAAGTTAAATGCTGCTCTCTGTATATCTTCATTGCTTTTGTATGTGTGTGGCGGGGGTCCAGGTTGTTGATTTAAAAAAAGTAAAATACAGAATGGACGGTGACCTTATCGCTGTCAAGAGTCTTCGTTTCGGTTTATGTTCAGCACAATGATCTTTGAATTTCACTTCTGTTTTTTTTTTTCAGGCTCTGTGTGACTGTATCCATGGCTCTCTTCATGATAAGGAACACAGCCCACTCATGAGAGCAGGTACAAGCACTACTACTACTACTACTACTGCTTCTACTACTAATACTTAGGGCTGGGCGATATAAACGGTATAAGCGGTATGTGATAAAAATTCGGCCAACAATAGAGATTTTTGTTACACCGGCACATTGCCATAGGTCATTATGTCATCAAATTGCAACACGCTTGACCTGCTGGGACCGGCAACAACCACGAGGAGTGTGGCTGCTGGATTCGTCCGGAAGTTCAATTTGCGCATTTCATAAAGTGTAAATAAACATGTAAACAGTTTGTGTTGTTATATACAGATTATATTATTGATTTGTGCTCATATCAAGGTTTATTACGAGAAAGGTTGGGAAAAAGCTCAGAGAAAAAATACTTTTAGTAGTGCCCAGATGCGTTCAAAGTTACACGGAAATGAGGCAAATACATAGTTTAATTCTTGATTAGATTTACTGTCCTTGACTAAGAATGTACAAAAACGGGATTAATTATTACAATTGTTTATTGCAACAATGGAACTTACAAATGGTTGGTTTTTGTCAAGGAAATGTCAAAAGTATCAATTAAATAAATATCCGGCTCTAAAAAATACATTTTAAATAAGTAACAATCTTGACTATTTTATGCAAGAACCTGCTAGACCTATATTGATATTCACACTCCAAATTATACCACAATATATACCATTTACTGTCTGTGTCCCAAATTATACCACAATATGAATTTTGGGCCACATCGCCCACTACTACTCCTACTACTATTACTACTACTACTAATAATACAACTGCTGCCTCTATTTCTACTACTACATGGTCAATACAAACAAGACTAATTTTGGACCATATCTTCTTTTCAATTTATTATTTGTCTTTGGTAGTGGGATTAAAATTTCCATATGAAATATTTAAAATGTCTTAAAGTGTATATATTTTCATGGACAAGGCTCTAAACTCTGAACAATTGTAAAGCGCTTTGTAAAATGCGGTATATAAATAAACATTACTTACTTATTTACTTACTGATATTGTCTGATCGGGTTTGCGCATGTGTGTGTGTGTGTGTGTGTGTTGTGTGTCCAGTGTTGTGTGGCTCGGTGTGTAAAGTGTACCGCTTCCCCGCTGAGGACCAAAGATGGCTGCTGGTGCGGGAGCAGATGTCCGAGACTCCTCTGTCCTTCTCTCTACCGCGACAGCTTCTGGGCATGCTCAGTCTGGAGTACAGCAGCAGGTTAAACTCAAACATTTTGATGATCAGTGGTGTAAACTTCAGTAAATTGAACTTCAAAGTGTCAGGAGTGTAGTCATGCGTTATTAGAAAACATTATTTTTCACTATTCTGACACAAATACATGCATGTGGAAACTTGAGAGCTGTTTTGATGTTTTTAGATGGATTTATTTGTGCTCTGATCCATTCGGTTTCAGGGCGCAGGAGGTGATGGCACTGCATGGCCTCTCCGCTCACATGGAGGAGCTCAGGTGTGACATCATCAGCCGCTGTGATCACATGACCCGCTGCTACCAGGAAACACTCCAACAACTGGAAACACTGTCGGGTCAGAAATTAATATGATAAGAGAATAAAAACTGCAAACACATGTGAAGCTGGAATTCTTCTCAAATTAGGCCGTTACACTTATTAATATTGACCATACATTCTCTTTACAAGTTGATACAAATAAATAATGCATCTGTTTTTTTATTGCGCTTTTTGTAACCGTCAAAACATTCTGGCCTAATTCTTTCACTTTCACTGCTTGGCTGACGTTTGCAGAGATCAGACTCTCACGTGCAGGTGGCGCCACCCATCCATCCATCCATTTTCTACCCTTTAATCCATTTCTGGGTCAGGGGGGTGACAGTCAGAGATGCCACCCAAGTCTCATAGCACCAGCCCCTCACTGACCCTCTGCAGGTGGTGAGTCCACAGGAGGACGGCTGCTCTCTGAGTGTGAGCATAGCCTTGATCTTTCAGTGGGGGCTTTGGGCAAAGTGGGGATCTTGCCCAAAGACACAACGACAGCAGTCATCAGTGGGAGTCGATGGAGAAGGTGCAGAGGTGGGAATTGAACCCACGACCTTCTGGCCTTAAGGCCAATGCTCGACCAACTGAGCTACTGTCGCAAATGTTTTTTCCCTGGAATTTTCCACAGTCTTAGACATTAAATCTTTTCCATTGACATTCGTTATTTGGAGATGAGCATAATTTGGCCTTTAACCCTTCCTCACTTGTTTTACGGTTAAGTAAAGTACTTGGTTAAGCTTGGTTAAAGTTTGCTTTAGACACTTTTACCAACAAACAAAACTTAAAGTTATGTTGTGTTATTTGTGCTCCTGGATCTTTGAAAATCACCAAAAAGTTACATCGCTTTCATCAAGGAGTGAATGTTAAAAGGTTGAAATCAGGTGGAGAGGAGAGTCAACCCAGTGCTTTGCTTTTTGAGCAATAAAAACATCTGTCATCAGCAGATTTTTATCATACAGAGACACTCCAAAACAACATCCAAAATGTTCGTCCTTGTTTGTCTTAAAGCTGTTTAAAAAATATATTCAGGACTCAAACATATTTTCTTCTCAACAGCAGTGTCCAATTTCAAAGCCAGCAGCAGTAAGTCGGAGCGCCATCTACAGTTTGTCCCCACAAACCTGCACACTCAGAGGATGGAGGTGACGAGCCGTGACAGCGCAGGTAAAATTCACATACACAGAATTTGTAAATGTCACATCTTCTCCCTAAAATGAAATAAAGTCTGAATAAAAACAATCATATAATACTCATAGTTTTAGTCAATATAAGTATGACAAAAGCTAAACATAAATGCATACAAAGAGGATCCAAGATCCACATTTCAGTCATAGTTCCCCAAACCAGATCATAAAAAATGAAATGCAAGACTATTTGTCAGATAAAATGGAAAACAAATGTATTTTTGTTGAGTAGATCTGTTAAAATGTTGATGGAGAGCTTTGCATGACCTGTTTGAGTAATACGTTTTAAAATAATGTAACGCATGATTAAGTACATTTTAGGAATAATTTGTATTTGTAGGAGTTTGGTACGACGTGACCACATTCGGGGCTCCAGCCGAACATCACCAAGGCTTCAAACAGGGAGGACTGAGGAGACTGATGTCCAAAGTCAACACCAACACGTGTGTATGCTACTACTGCTACTGCTACTACTGCTACTGCTACTGCTACTACTGCTACTACTGCTACGACTACTGCTACTGCTACTCCTGCTACTGCTACTGCTGCTACTACTGATACTGCTACTGCTACTACTGCTACTGCTACTACTGCTACTACTGCTACGACTACTGCTACTGCTACTGCTGCTACTACTGATACTGCTACTACTGCTACTGCTACTACTGCTACGACTACTGCTACTGCTGCTACTGCTACTGCTACTGCTGCTACTACTGATACTGCTACAACTACTGCTGCTGATACTGCTACAACTACTACTGCTACGACTACTGCTACTTCTACTACTGCTGCTACTGCTACTGCTACTACTGCTCCTGTTACTGCTACTACTGCTCCTGTTACTGCTACTGCTTTGACTACTATTCCTACTGCTACGACTACTGCTACTTCTACTACTGCTATGACTACTACTACTACCACTACTAAAGAGAAGTTTCAGTTAAAATGTTGAAATGTGCAAAGGTCGATTTGAGGGTAAATTAAGCTTTGCCTTCAACTCAACTCTGTTTTCGCTTGAGATTTACTATCTATTGTAATCTCATATTTATAAAAAGAAAAACAATAACATTACAAATATATCACTACTTCTACGACTACACTATTACTACTACTGTACAATTGTTGAACTCATTTTTGTACAGGTATGTGTTGACTGCATTATCTTTCATCCATGTTATTCCGGTTTTACTGCTCCACTGACTCTAGTTCTCGGGTTAATCCTGTAATCTCTGCTTTTAAGGATTAGATGAGTCGGCCTCAGATTAATAACGCACAAATTCATAGTTTCAATCAATCAGGCCCGGTTCAACAATTGCGATAAATGAAAAAGACATTGCTTTCAAATATAAAGTGGAACAAATGTATAGACTGGGGTATTGTTATGTGGTAAACATGGATTATTGGTTTTTTCTATGTTCTAATCATGCTTGGTGGATTTATGATTGCTTATTTTACTTGATGTTCCATTGTATAGTAAGTAAGTAAGTAAGTAAGTAAGCTTTATTTATATAATTATAAAATAAAGCATATAAATTATAATTTATATGCTTGTATAGCATTCAAGCCACGTTAAGACTGACAATATGTTAAAGGCAAAATATGATGAAATATTTGTGACTCCAAAACAATCTTGAAAACTTACTTTCATTCATCTTTTAAGATTTAGAATGTGAAAAAAATGTCTAATGTTGAAAATATGGATAAACATGTAGAATGGGAAAGGAAGGCATCTCAGAATGTAATTTCTTCTATCACCAGATGGAGGTGTTTTTTTGTCAATATCAAACATTGCATGTGGTTGTAAAGATAATAAACACAAACAGATAAACTGCCACACCTAATTCATGGGTAATACTTTAAAGATCTGAAAACGTGACTGAAAAATCTTCATGAGAAAATTTGCATTGAGACAAGAGCCTTTAGACAGAAGATAAGATGAGATGTTTTCATACAAGTTTCTGATAATTATGCGGATGAAGTTAAAAACAACTCCATCTGTTTATCATGAGAAAACAATGTTGCCAAAAAATTAAAAGCAAAAAAGATGATATTTAGCAGACTTTTGTCACACTTTTAACAATCTCAGTATTTTAATTTGATTACATAGTTACATTTGTTGTAGTTTGAAAGAAAAGTACCCCAGCTTTAACTGCATGAGACATATTGAACTGCTAAACTACATGAACAAAAATCTGGTACTGCCACTTTCAGGAAAGAGTGTCAGTGAAAAATGTGTTTCCAGTCAGCAGGAAGCACTTTAACAGGTTTATTACAGCCTTGAGGTTCGTTTTTTCTTTCCTTGTTCTTAATAATTCTTGGCAACATTTACTAGATGAGCTGGGGAGCCTTACTTCTGCAATTTCTCGTCCTGAGATAAATTTTGTTCCATCACTAGTTTTCACATGATCAGAAAAGTGTCAAGTGACTCCCAAGGCTCCTTTTTATAAGTTGGCAAAAGATAAGATGTTTTCTCACAATAATAATAATAATAATAATAATAATAATAATGCATCGTTTTATATAGCGCTTTTTTGGACACTCAAAGACGCGTCACATGTCATCATTCATTCACTCCATACACGGTGGTGATAAACTACTACTGTAGCCACAGCTGCCCTGGGGCACACTGACAGAAGCGAGGCAACCAGTATGTGCCATCGGCCCCTCCGACCACCACCAACCATTCACACACACACCAGACTCATTCTAGGCAATGTGGGTGAAGTGTCTTGCCTAAGGACACAACGGCAATTTGGCACTTTACAGCCGCAGCCGCCCCACTGTGGCTGGTGTTCCCAGAGGTTAAGTGTCTTGCCCAAGGACACAACGACAGTAGACATCAGTGGGAGTCGATGGTGAAAGTCGGGCTCGAACCCACGCCCTTCACATGATGAAGATTTTTTTGTGTGTGCAGTTGTGCTTCGTACTCGCTGGAGGAGAGATCCAGGGCCAGGGTGCTGCTCCAGAACGTTTCCCGATTACAGCCTCTGGTTTTCGGTCTGGCAGAGGAGCTGCTGAGCCGGTCTCTGGAGCCCTGTGCCGCGCTGCTGCAGCCGGTTTTAGACGATCTCACTTCACAGGTAAACACGATTGTAGATCTTTACTGAAGAGATAAATTTACTTTTAATTTAGGTCTCATTTAAATCTCTTTTTACATTTCCTGTAGTATTTCAGAATAAATACATTAAAGGGGACATATCATGAAAAATCCGCTTTTTGTGCCTTAAATGCCTTATGTTGTGTAGTTGGAGCCTCTAGAAGTGCAAAAAAGTTGAAATCAGTCTCTTCATGGGTTGCAGAGAACACTTCATATTCTGTTTAGGTAAGATTTTTCAACCCGTTCTGATTTTGCCATTCTCTATTACGTGTTTAGAATTATTACGTCACAGTATTTGCAGCGAGACTGCCATATAAGGGCATGGGCGTCTAACAAAACACTTCGGCCCAGCCCTCCTCTACTGTGCATCACTCAATTTGTAGTCCAAGCTCAAGGATGATAGCGAACAGGGCTGGACTGGCCATCGGGTGTACCGGGCAATGCCCAAAGGGCCGATGCCCATAGGGCCGATGCCCAAAGGGCCGATGCCCAAAGGGCCGATGCCCAAAGGGCCGATGCCCATAGGGCCGATGCCCAAAGGGCCGATGCCCAAAGGGCCGATGCCCATAGGGCCGATGCCCATAGGGCCGATGCCCATAGGGCCGATGCCCATATTTGGGCCGGTCTGTCTGCCTCATACAAAACACATGTTTATGGGAAGTGTAAATCCGTTGAGAATTGTTCGAGTGGGGCGCGCGTATCCGCGGGGCACCTGCTGTATGTACTCGAACAGGATTCCGCCACCTCAGCGGCCGCAGTGTTCCGGGGCATCTGCGGCCGCTTTGTAATGAGCAGCTTCTGCGTCCAGCGGCTGCGAGAGGCTGTGAGCGTCCAGCCGCTCGCAGCCGCTCCACCGTGTTGTGGCTGAGCGCGCGTGGCCATGTACCCAACCCCATAAACGCGCACAGGACCTTTGAGCAATCTGTGCACCCAATAAATACACTGCTGCAGGAAACAGTCCGCGTCTCCCCTCTCCTCTCGAAGCGCGATTAAACACCCTAAATAAAGCTCTGATACCTACATTTTGCATTGCATTTAAATTTCATGTTTGAGCCCAAAAACAAATTAAACAGATTTAGAGCCAGCAAATGGCTGACAATATGCATATCAGTCTTTTTTGACCACTTCTCATCCCTGTAACAAACAATAGTGTTGTCTGTGTCCACCTCCCTCACTCTGAGACATGTTTATTCTCTCTTGTAATGCAGACTATTGCATTTTATTTTATTGTTGAAACTGCACATATCCTGATCCTCTACAGTATTTGCTTCCACATACTGTATAAACCAGGAGTCGGCAACCTGCGGCTCCGGAGGCGCATGTGTCTTTTTCCTTCTGTAGAAGGAAAAACGTTCTTAACGTTTTTAAATGCTGTAAAATTGTGCATAAGTAATATTCAATTAAAAAAATTCTGTCAACGTGTCTGTCAAACCGGCGTGTGAGCATCATAGACTGTGCGCATGGATCCCAAAGCTAAAAAGAGACGAGTCGATAATAAGACTGGACTAAGAATGAAAATTAACATTTGCTTTCAGTCAATGAGGAAGGCCTGCTTCATGTTTGCGATGTAATGAGAAGTTTCTATGAGATAATTGTATCTGTGCTTAGAAACTACAAAAATGGCCATTCGGGGTGGAGTTGAACCTGTGTCACCTGGATGGGGGCGTGGTCAAAAGCGCCTCATTTGCGTTTAAAGAGACAGTTCCAAAACAGGTTGCTCTCAGACGCACCTCAGAATAGGTGTAGAAGAAAGGCCTGTGGAGCTACAAATAATGTGCAGGTCTGAATACACCCTCAGACTCAGGCATTGCAGTTACGCTTCATATAGGCCACAAATTAATGATTTAGATGTAAAAATCAATTATTTGAAAACACGATATGTCCACTTTAATAAAGAAATAGTTGAATTTCTAGAATTGAGATTCAAATGTAGATTGTTATTGACAATTGATTTTTTTAATTCATTTCAGGCTTTTCACAAGTCACGTCTTGTCCATCATAGTTTCCAAAAAAAAAAAAAGTATTGCTAACATGCATAAGAGGAAAAAAATAAACCAAAATAGTTGCCTGAAAGGGAGTTGGAAGAAAACCCAAACTGATACCTTTAGCCTTTAGCTCGGCCTTCTCCGGTGGGCTAGAATATGTTGTTGAACTGTATATTCTCCCATCTTAAAGGTTATGTATGCAATGTCATTTGTATTTGCATTCTTTGACGATATGATCATGTAGTATCTTTTAGAAATAGGGTTAGGGTTACACTTCAGTCTGAACTAAAAGATGTTTTGTTTTTCGGTTTTCACAGATGGAAGAGTTTGTTCACTGCCTAAAAGACGAACTGGTGAAAGAAGCACTTGTGGCTGAACACAAACAAACTGCCGCTCGATGTATTTACACCTGCAACGGAAATCTGTCCAGCGACTCCTCAGCCAATCAGGAGAGCCGAGCGTCTGACGGACAGCTGGACGTGTCCCGGCCCAAGGAGGAGTACGATGAAGACCAGTGGGTATGTTCCACATGTCTCTCTTACAGTTTTTATTATTCAGTTTGACCCTTAAATATGATCTAGAGAATATTGTTTCAGGTTTTAGAATGTGAAACAATTCGTGAAAAAATTAGGCTTTCTTCGCTCAGGTTGGCCCAACACTCCCATCTAGTGGTAGAAGTGGGAGGCTGCAATCTGCATTTATAAACTTTGGAACCAAACTTTCATACCACAGACCAGTGTCTCCCAAAGTGGGGTCCGCGGCCCCCTGGTGGGCCGCGAGGGTACTGCAGGGGGGCCGCGGGAGGTCATAAAAAAAATAAAAAAATAATATAATTATTTAATGTTAAATTTATAATGTTTTGTTTGTAATATTAAAATATTTGTGTTCATTATTTGACTTGAATAATCCACTGTAATAATTTTTGTATTACAATGTTTGTAGCAGAGGCTATTTCCCCAAAATAAAATAACCAGAAGAGCCTATTCTTAATGTTGTCTTCAATCAATCAATCAAAGTTTATTTGTAGAGCGCCTTTCATACACAGGGCAACACAAAGCGCTTCACAGTCCACATCACAAATCATCACATAAAACAAACACCAGAATCACAATTAAAACATTAAAATCACACAAAAGATTAAAACACAATTAAAACATTAAAATCACACAAAAGAATAAAACCATTAAAACTTTCAAAATTACACAAGAAATTTAAAAAAATAAATAAATGACAGCAGTGCATTAGAAATGGAGATAAAATCCTTCAGTTGTATGCACAGGCAAACAGAACAGTCTTTAACCTGGATTTGAACATTGACAGAGTAGACGCCTCCCTCACATTTTCAGGGGAGATTGTTCCAGATCTTAGCTGCATAGATCTGAAACGCAGCCTCCCCATGTTTGGTTCTCACTCTGGGCACCAGCAGGAGGCCAGTCCCTGTGCTCCTCAGAGTCCGGGCCGGTTCATATGACACCAACATGTCACTAATGTATTCTGGTGCAAGGCCATGGAGAGACTTGTACACAAGCAGAGCTGTTTTAAAATCTATTCTTTGAGCCACAGGAAGCCAGTGCAGAGACCTGAGGACCGGACTAATATGGTCATACTTCCTGGTTCCTGTCAGGACTCTAGCTGCTGCATTTTGGATGTACTGCAGCTGCTTACAGGTCTGTTTGGACAGACCTGTAAGCAGGCCATTGCAGTAGTCTAGCCTGCTGGAGACAAATGCATGGACAAGAATCTCCAAGTCTGCCCTGGACACTATATTTCTAACTTTGGCAATGTTCTTCAGATGGTAAAAAGCTGTTGATGTTATTGATTTTATGTGGCTATTGAAATTTAGGTCTGAGTCCAGTATTACCCCCAAATTTCTGACCTTGTCTGAAGGAAGTAGGGAGAGAGACTGAAGTTGACAAATGACGCCCTCTCTTTGTTTCTGGGGACCAAAGACAATGATTTCGGGTTTGTCTGCATTTAGCTGGAGGAAATTATTTTGCATCCAGTCACTGATCTGTTGGATACAGTGAAGGAGCAAATCCAGTGGTCCATGTTCTCCTGCAGTCAGTGAGACATAGATCTGAGTGTCGTCGGCGTAATTGTGGTAGGACACTTTGTTTCTTTGTATTAACTGACCTAACGGCAGCATGTAGAGATTAAATAGGAGAGGTCCCAGGATCGACCCCTGTGGTACTCCACAGGTCAGGGCCACATGATCTGAGACGCAGTCTCCAATCTCCACAAAGTACTTCCTATCCTCCAGGTAAGACCTAAACCAGTCTAGGGCTGTGCCAGTGACACCAACCCAGTCCTCCAGTCTCTGCATGAGGATCTCATGGTCGACAGTGTCGAACGCGGCACTAAGATCTAACATGACCAAAACTGTGACTTTACCTGCATCAGTGTGAAGTCGAATGTCGTTTGTTACCTTCACTAGAGCGGTCTCAGTACTGTGGTGGGGTCTAAACCCAGACTGGAACATATCAAAAGAATTATTCATTGTTGAAAATTCAGTAAGTTGTTGGGAGGCCACTTTTTCAAGAATTTTTCCAATAAATGGTAGATTCGATATGGGGCGATAATTTTGAAGTCCCGCAGGATCCAGACTGCTCTTTTTTAGGAGAGGTCTTATGACTGCTGTTTTTAGGGCCATAGGAAATGTTCCTGACGACAGAGACATGTTTACTATTTGTGTCAGTGAAGGTAACAAACTGCTCAGGACGGACTTCAGAAATTTAGAGGGCAATATATCCAGGCTACATGTGGAGGAGCTCAGACTCATGATTATCTTTTTGACAGTTTCAGTATCCACAGGTGCAAAGTGAGTTAGCTCAACAAGCTTCTCTGGCTGTTACATTGTTATACGTGCTGTGGAGGTGATAGTGTTTTTGATTCCTTGTACTTTGTCATCGAAAAACTGTGCGAACTCATTACACCTAGATTTAGAGGAAAATTCTAGGGGCAACTTTACAGGGGGGTTCGTTAATCTACCAACTGTTGCAAACATAACACGAAAATTGTTACTGCAACCTCCAATAATGTCAGAAAAATACATTTCTCTTGTTCTACGTAGAACCCGGTTAAATTCACCCAACTCATCTTTAAAGATTTCATAATCGCCCTGGAAATTGGACTTTCGCCACTTCCGTTCGGCCCTCCGGCACTCTTGCTTCTGTGCCCTGACCGAGTCTGCCTTAGTCCATGGGGCCTTTTTCTTACTGGTAACTATTTTAACCGTCACAGGAGCAATGGCGTCCAGAACAGTCAGAACACTGGTGGTGACAGAGTTATACAATTCATCAACAGTAGAGCATGGAGTTTTCTCAAAATTTAGCATTCCCATGAACAGTTCACTTGTGTTTTCATGTATGTGTCTTCTTCTAACAATTGTAAATTCAGCTGGTGGTTTGCTAGCAAAACACATGTCAAAAAATACACAAAAATGATCTGACAAAGCAACATCAACTACATTAACATTTGATACATTAACCCCCTTTGTAATTAGCAGGTCAAGAGTGTGCCCCCTGCTGTGGGTGGGGCCACTCACGTGCTGAATGAAACCAAAGGTCTCAAATACAGAAGCCAGCTCCTTTGCATTTCTGTCATCAACATTATCAACATGTACATTAAAATCACCTGTAATAACTAAACTATCAAAATCTGTGCACACGAATGAAAGTAGTTCAGTAAAATGGTCAATAAAATCGCAACATGACTGTGGTGGCCTGTACAGGACAATGAAAAGAGTAGAAGATTGCTTTTGTTCCATTTTAAAAGAAATATACTCAAACGATGAAAAATTTCCAAGGGGCATTCTATGGGAGACAAAGTGCTCTCTAAAAACTGCAGCTATGCCTCCCCCCCTTTTGTTTTCTCGTATTTCGGATTCGAATTTAAAATTGGGTGGTGTTGCTTCTATTAGAACTGCATTTCCTGTATTTTGGTCCAGCCATGTTTCAGCCATAAGCATAAAATCAAGATCATAAGAAGTGATAAAATTATTAATTAAAAATGATTTGTTACATAGAGATCTGACATTAAGCATAGCAAGTTTAAAAATAATGTCAGAGTCGATTAATGTGGTTGATTGATTTCTACAGGGAACAGAAATTAGATTTGCAGAGTTGGACCGTCTAACTGCTGTCCTGTTTTGATTTCGTTTTTTAGAATTTAAAAATATTTTTGAGCTGGTGCGAGGAACACACACAGTCTCAATTGGCCTAAAATGTGAAAACCCTTGTTGTTCTTTAGCTCCCAGAATCAGAAGGGAGTCAGCACAGTTCAGTGTTTGGACTGGTAATACACTGCCAGACGGACAGGGAGCAGTGTTTGCACCGTTGTACTCACCCGGTGCTGGTGAGCAGGAGGCGGGGGAGTGCGGTGGGGTCCTAGGGGGCTCAGATGTAAACAGTCACGCCCCCCTCGGGGAACGCTGAACAACGTAACGCATGTAGTCCATCAACAGGCTGCTACCGTATCTGTTTGGGTGTAATCCGTCTGGACGATAGGCTTCGTAACGTTTCCAGAAAAGGGCAAAGTTATTCACAAAGACAAAGTTAAAAGAGCTGCATGTAGCCTGGATCCACATATGCAGCGCCACAACACGACTGTAGAGGCAGTCGCCTCTGCTTACAGTCGGGATTGGACCAGAAATAAAAACAGATAATCCGGAGGATTGAAGGAGGTGGAACAGATCCATAAAATGTTTCTTCGTGACTTCTGACTGCTGAAGTTTCATGTCGTTAATTCCCACATGCACGACTACCTTGGAAACGGTATCAGGCAGGGACTGAAGCAGAGGAGGGAGACGTATGAGCAGGTCTGGTACAGTAGCTCCGGGAATACAGCGAGTGACCGCGTTAAAGAAGCGGACGTGTCTCACAATGGAATCTCCAATAATCAGAGTGGTCGGGGCGAAGAGTGGACGTGGACGCGGCCTCGGAGAAGGAGCTCGGTGGACGGAACCAGCGGGTTCACCCGAAGCAGGACCCGAGCCTGAGCGCCGCTGAACACATGGAGAGGAGGAGCGGGGGTGCTGACTCTCAGCTACAGGCGACCCACGCTGTGTGCTCGGGGACGCTGGAGCGGTGAGAGGGGCTGGCTCTGGACGCTGCTGCTGACCCGGTGGAGGTGAGCGGTGGTGATGATGGCTCGCTACCCCAGTCTGAGGCTGCTGCACTGGGGTCAAAGAAGGGGAACAGGCCAACATGGCCGGTGGACCGCTCTTTCGCCTGAGGACTGCTTCCTTTAGGAGCGTTTTCCTCGCAGTGGACTTGGATCCTCGAGCAGTAGAGTACGCTGCAGTGTCCAGGGATTCTGCTGAGGGGGCCGGGATGTCAGTGGAGAGGGCTGCATAGCGGTTTGCCAGACTCAGGACATGGGCCACGGCGCAGGATGGCTCCTCGGAATCCGCGGGCTCGTTATTCGGAACCGGGCGCTTAGGCGTAGAACAGGAGGGTCCGGAGCTGACGGATCTCTCCCACACGACAGTGTCACAATATGCAGCGCTCAGTGACATAAGCCGTGAATGCTGCCCACCAGCGACTTCAAAAAGTTTGGACACTAGAGATTGTTTCTCATTCAACTCTGCGGTGAGACGAAGGACTTCTTTTCGTAGTTCTGCAATGGTGGCACGGTCGCTCTCACGGAGCTCCAAGGTGAGGCGACTAATATTGTGCATGTTTGAGCCAATTTCATTGTCACTTTCCATGTCCTCGTTAGCTTGTGTTAGCCTCTGTGCTACTAGTGGGTTTCAGTCGGGACTAAGCGCTATTTGCTGAAACCCCTGAATTAATAACATAAAACACTCAGATATATTAAAAAACTGAACAATAAAAACGCGCTAAAAAGTTGTTAAAAGTTTACTAAAAAGGTGCACAGAGCAGCCCTGCAGTACTGCTTACCGGAAGTCTCTCTGATCTTCTTGGTTATTATTTTGGGGGGCCACGCAGACCCGTCAGATTTTTAAGGGGGCCTCGGTGTTACTGAGTTTGGGAATGGCTGCCACAGACAATTTAAATTTGAAATCAAATCCATCTTGACTAGTTCCTTGCTCTCTCAAAACTTTTTCTTCTAAATATCTATTTTTGCCTTTGTCACAATTAGATTTTTCAAACGGAAAGTGAAGTCAATCTCACTAATATGAAGACAGCTTTTTGATTTTATGATTCCAGTAGTCTGTCTGTTGGGACAAACAATATGCAAAACATCCAAACTGGGCTGAGAAAGTAAAACATTTAAAGCGTGGCCTTAATGGTCCAGGTACTTTTGCGTTCAATGCATTTTCTATTTTTGAAGGAAAAAGGAAAATCAAAAAAAGGCTATTTTGCATTTTCAGGCACACAGCAATATACAAAAATTACCATTTTGTGTTGTTGTTGTTGCTTATAAGACATATATATATATATATATATATATATATGGGCTGGAAACCCCAAGGTCTAAGTGGGAAACTCCTCCAAAGGTGGTGGAAAATGAGCGTGCGAAGATCCTGTGGGACTTCCAGATACAGACCGACCGAATGGTAATGGCAAACCAACCTGACATCGTGGTGGTAGACAAAGGGCAGAGGACAGCCGTGGTGGTGGACTTGGCAATTCCAAGCGATGGTAACATCCGGAAAAAAGAACATGAAAAGCTTGAGAAATACCAAGGTCTCAGAGAGGAGCTGGAGAGGGCCTGGAGGGTAAAGGTGACAGTAGTGCCCGTGGTGATCGGTGCACTCGGGGCAGTGACCCCGAAGCTAGATGAGTGGTTACAGCGGATCCCCGGAACAACCTCGGACATCTCGGTCCAGAAATGTGCAGTGCTAGGAACAGCAAAGATACTGCGCAGAACCCTCAAGCTCCCTGGCCTCTGGTAGAGGACCCGAGCTTAGAGAGGGATAACCGCCCGCGGAGGGCCAAAGGTGAGTGGACAATTTTTTTTTTTTTTATATATATATATTATAATAACCGGATTTGGGAACTAAAAAATGCAATAATTAACCTTTTTTAATGTGTATTTAATACTTTTCGGCGTCAATCGATTACCCGGAAGTGAAACAAGTTTGTTTACTTCAGCCCTATTCGCTGTAATTTAGTATAATTTAATACAAAAATGACCTCCTGTAGTTGTCCAAACACAAACATTCTGTGATACTAATCCCGTGAGAATCTGCATGTCAGTGATTGTGATCGCGATTGCCCCTTTCGCTTTACTTTCTGCGTTGTTTTTTGTCAGTGAGCAGAGGATGAACACCTGCAGAGTCGCGGCTGCTGCTGTCTCTGTGAGGTCCATGGAGAAGTACAGAGGACAGTGTAATGTGTTCACTGACACTAAATGAATATTAAACATTATAGACAATATGGGCCAGAGAACTGTAGAGCGGTAAAATGTTTGTCCTCATGGTCTTTGCGGCAGCTGTGGTCCATAGACTGTATAACTTTGGTCAGACGCGACTCTCTGGACTGCGTGAAGCGGAGAGACCCGCGCACGTGCCGCCGTTATGTCAGATGTCAGTGAAAATAGTATTTTACAGATATTGCTTATCCGGTGTGAATGCACTGCAATATCTCAGACGTCCTCCGTGATTATCACAAATTATCAGGGGTCCACAGGTAATACTGATCCCGTGCGAGCAAACAAACTTGTTTCACTTCCGGGTAATACATTGACGCCGAAATACAATTTAAAAAGAGGTTAATTATTGCATTTTCAAGTTCCCAAACCCGGTTATTATAATATATTTATATATGTCTTATAAGCAATGAAAAAATACAAAATAGCCTTTTTTTCAATTTTCCATTTCCCTTCAAAAATAGAAAATGTATTAGGTACACGGACCCTTAATGTTGGTATAATGTTTATCAACGTAAGTCACTTTGACACTTTGAACTGTGAAAAGCCCAGTATAAACAAAGTAATTCGTCCTATAAAAATCAAACATCAGGAACTCTCTTTTTATAATGGGGGTCTTGTTGATTTTGTGCAGGACACGGTGTGGGCGAACGTTGGTAAAAGCCTGAACTGCATCATTGCGATGGTCGATCGGCTGAAAGCAAAACAGCAGAGTCCAAAACCATCAGCTCCCCCGGACACAAGCCCTCACAACAGCAGCAGTATGTGCACACTGGACTTTGTTACACCACATCACATAAAAGAGCCAGAACTTGTTATGGTCAGTTGTAGATACTGTATTATAGTGAACACAGAATGATATGTTGGGGCCGCAAACAGAAATGTGCAGATTACATTATATTACGGGGTTATATCGAGATTGTAAATATACAGAATATATACATATAATAATGAGCCATGTTTTCATTAACGTTTATGTAAACGTTTTTTCCACAGACGAACCCTCCTCTCCTTCATCGCTGGTGTCGTGGCAGGAACAGTTGCTCCCTCTTGTGGTGACGCTGCGTGACTGCGTGCGTGAGGCAGTGTCCAAAGCAAACGCTGCAATGACCTATGTGCTCCTCCGGGGGGCAGCGGCGGACACAGTGGAACAGGGCTCTGAGACCCTGGTCCAGAGACGACACGCCGTCTTCAGTCAAGCGGTGAAAGTTTTTTTAAAATTCATTTTTATATAAAAGACACAAATAGCGAGTCCAGAAGAACATGGAGAGTGAAGATTCCCTACTAATCAACAAGAACAAACCTAACAAACCTTAATCAACAAAAGCAAACCCTCCGTAGCACCGTGTATGCATGTTGGTGTTCAAAGGAATTGCATAACCACAACCTTGTGGTGAGACAGTAACTGGTCGTGAGGGGGCTTCCATCTAGTAGCAACCATCTTCTAGCTGCGTCAGTTCAGCCTTTCTGTTTGCAAACATTTCACATTTGAGTACATATCATGAAACATCATGCTTAAAAGCCAAAATTATACAAAAAAGTGAAGGCAAAATGGTACCTATCAAAGAACAGAACAGCAGACGATACAATTAATAACGTTGCTTCAGGTCTGAGTTTCCGTGGGGGCACCTTTTCTCTTTCAGACAGTGATCTTACAATACATGTTGGTTCTTGTTTCCTGTAGATCACTGCGGTCACAAATACCTTTGTTTTGAAACTCTACAACGGTTTAGAAGACGCCGACTTCCTGCAACAGCTTCACACTGTGGGGATCCTGGCTCAGTTTGAGGGTCTACTCAGCACTTTTGGTACTACTACTACTACTACTACTACTATTACTGCTGCTGCTACTGCTTCCACTATCAATAAAAAATGTTTTGCACATAGGAGATGAACTAGGCATGCTCGAGGACATGGAGATGGCCGTGGCTGATCTCAAAAAGGTTGCATTTGTTTTGATTGAAGGGAAAAGCGACCAATCAGAGGACCTTCTACCAACACTGACCGGGACATGGTGAGAAGAAAATAAATAAGTTGTGACATCCATGTTAGCTGTAATCTAGATGTATACTACTCTTTAAACTGTGCTGTGTGCAAATATAAGAAATGTGTGTAGCAACCACAATTCAAAAATGGTCTAATTTTTGTATTTCAGGGACAGTTTGGTGGTGAATGTCCCGTTGCCGCCAGAAAACTTCTCGCCGCTGCCACAGGAGCTGAGAGAAGGACGTCTGATTCAACTGCAGCCGGTTTTCTTTAACATCGGCATCAACCAACAGCAGACCCTGGCTGAGAGGTCGATACATACCATGTTTTTATTCTAAACTAGATCATGGTCAAAATGCATAGAAGTTTCAAGATTCAGTATGCTTTCAGTTTCAAAGCATTCCCACTTCTCCTTGTTTACTATTTTATTATTTTGATTATTTTTTGCAGATTTGGAGACAGTTCACTTCAAGAGATTTTGAACCAAGAGAGCTGTGAGCGCCTCAGAGCGTACTGTAACCAGCTGCAAGACAAACTGCCTCACATGGGTTCGATTCCTTCAGTTAATTGTATTATTTCTGTACTTTAGCTTATAGTTAATTGCACCTGTCATCTGTGCTCTTTTCAGCCAACTCAGAGACACTTCCACAGCTTTTGTCAGGGCTGGAATCATGTGTTGAAGCCAAAAGAAGGAAGAACGTGGAGGTTTTGTGGCTGGCTGCTACAGTAAGACTTCAATTACCTGTGATTTTAGACCATTAAAGTCAGGAGAAGCCCTCTGGTACAAATATCAAACAATACTCTTTTTGTGTTACATCAACTATCAGTCAAGAAGAGGAGAGAAATCTGCTAAAGAACAAAGACTGTATATATACTCTGGTGCTGAATTTGCAACATTACAGAGTGTATTATTTATTAATCTTGTTGCATGTGTTAATTGTCCATATCAAAAGTCTCCAATACCACTCATTGTTGTGCAGATCACAGCAGAATATACAGTCGTTGTTAGATTTGCCAGCAACAAGCAGCATGTTTGTACTCGAGGGCTCCTTGTTTTGCTTATTACTTGTCAATCAGCCACATTTGTGTTAATTTGTTCTATTCTAATATCACAATAACTGTTATATTGAGGTAAAACAGTGTTGTGAACATTGCTTTGCCTGTAGGTGTGCAGGAAAGTGAACGGCCTTCGTCTGACAAGTTGTAAAAGTGCCAAAGACAGAACAGCCATGTCTGTGACTCTGGAGCAGTGTGTCCTGCTGAAGGAGAAGCACGGACTGGACTCTCAGCACTTCAGCGCCGCCCTGGACACCATGAGGAGGTACAGGCTTTACTGGGGTAACGGCACCCTCTGCTGGCGTCCTCACAACACTGCAGTTGATAACAGCGCTCGTGATTATCCTCCAGTCTAGTGCAGTATGCCAGAGGGTATTTTTCTTTAGTGTACTTTCATTGAGCATCTTACATTTGCAGTATATTATGTATTTGTTCCTTTGCACAGGCATTTGAGCTGATGAAACCACACAATTGATAGCAATATTAAGATTTTGATATGTACTGGTGTCAACGGTTGCAGCTATACAGCAGTCTTAAACACAATGTACTCCTGAATACAAAAATCCAGCAGTGTAGGCTTTACAAAAATATGTGATTCCAATAACAAACAATCTGAAAAAATTCCTTTTACATTTTTCACTAATTTAAGTGCTTTTATTTATTTCCCTTCTCCTGAACAAAATGCTCCCACTCTTTGCGTACATTCCCCGTTTTGCGCTTCCTTTTCCTGCTCCTCCTTCCTTGGAATCCGGCTGTGCCTTCCCCCAGGGCTCGTCGGTGTTGGGGGCAGATGCTGGGCTGTTACACCCGCCCAGGGCTGTCCGTGACTGGGTCAGATCTCCGGAGTGTGGCCCCCAAAGCTCCCAGAATGCATCTGTACCCTGTGGCCTTCCTGCTGGTCTCGTCTCACGTCTTAGTGCTGTGGCTCATCTTCAGCGTGGTGGTGCTGCTCGCCAAATATCAGTGACCATGAAAGGCTTTCTCAGCATTTTCTCTTCTGTCTTTGTATGTTTATGATATCTATACTAGTCTGGTCATAATGAATGTTATAAATGACTATCCATCCATCCATCCATCCATCGATCCATCCATTTTCTTCTTACGTATTTGTTGTCAGGTCATCCAGGGGAATCCTGAGGCGTTTCCCGACCAGCTGAGAGACAGTCTCCATCCTGGGTCTCCTCCCATTGGGACATACTGTACCTGGAGAACCTCTCCAGAGAGACTTCCAGGAAGCATCTGAAGCAGATTGCCGAGCCACCTCAGCTTGCTCTTCTCCACATAGAGAAGCAGTGGCCCTACTCCAAGCTCTTCCCATGAGACTGAGCTCTTCTCCCTATCTCTAAGGGAGCTCCAAGCCTCTTTGGAAGAAACTCAGTTCTACCACTTGTATTACTCAAAGCTTATCACCATTGGTGAGGGAGGGTTGCTCAGCTCCCTCTTCACCACAACGGTCTGATACAGCGACCACATCACTGCACACGCTGCACCGACCCGCCTGTCAATCTCACTCTCCATCTTTCGCTGACTCGTGAACAAGACCCCAAGATATTTGAACTCCTCCACTTGAGGAAGGACCTATCCACCACCTGGTATTCAACTGGTGCTTTTAAATGGAATATACTGTGAGCACATTTCCAACAGTCACCGCTGTCGAGTTATTCTACATTCTTTTCGCTAGCAGTGTCAAAAGGCTAAATGATCATAAGAAGACTCTTGTGCAAGTATGTGACAAACTTAGATTTCATGGCAAACAGTTGCCTTGATGATGGTAACTTTAGACCGCAAGTTCTTTACAAATATTGGTACTTTCTTTTTTGCTTCTAAAGTCGTTCTATATACAGACTATGCTCCTGCCTCTGGACAGCTTCATGAGCCATCACATCATCCAAAATTCCTTCATCTCCACGCAGTACAATTAAGAAGATACACAGATCTTGGTTGGATCAGATTTACTTACCTTTTCCTTTGTGTGTGTGTGTTTTGTTACAGAGAGGGCTGTCGACTGGAAAACGTGCAGAAGAACATTGGGTGTAGAAAGTTTGCCTTCAGCGGCGTTCAGCTTCTGGCTTTTCCCAAACACTACAAACCCCCAGATGGCACCTATGGACACGCCCAGACGTAACATTGCATTCTCCGGACTCTCAAAGCCTGGGACAGAAGCTGGGGCAACCAACTTTCAAACCACAAAAAAACCTATGAAACTATTTTCTGCTCAAAACAATTTAGTTCTACCATGAGTTTTCACACACTTTTGGTCTCATCTGCGTCAATTAGTGACTCACGAGGCTATTTCTGTGTGCAAATATCACTAATAAGTTGAAGACAGCACGTTGTGTTCAGATTTGTTCACAACGTTATACTTTTACAGGACTCTTTCTATTGGGGTGACGTGGATTTTTTATGACAGGAACAGTTGGGTACCTCAGCTTTAAAGTGTGCATAACAGGTTGATTTATATTTTTTGACTTTGCTGAAAAACCTTTCAGAAATGTGAAACCCAAGAAGTTCTGTAGTATTTTTTAATTTGTATCTGTCAAATATTCTGTTTATGCATTGATGATGCATGATTTTGGCTTTATTGCTCTGTGTACAACTAGAATCCCTTTGTAATGCCGTTATACAAACGAAAACCACATTATAGTTCTACCGAACATGCAGTATGCACTTCAAGCCTGATGCAAATATACCAAATGGGTAATAATTTTTTTTTTTACACTTAAAGGATTCAGAGTTGGTGTTATTAGAGAGAGTGTGTATGTGTAGTGACTTCTGAAGCTGTTGTCCAGAAGTCTAAATATCTTTTAAAGGAATAGTTTAAAGGATACGTCTGTCTGGACTAAGACCAGACAGACGTATCTGTCTGGTCTTAGTCCGTGCGCTCTGTCATGCAAACGGAGCAAAAACGGGAGCACAAATGCAGCCTCCTCTGTATATTTTGTAGCACCAAAAGGTAGCTCCCGCTAGAAGCTACCAAACTCTTCCAAGTGTTCCCTATTAAATGTATATAGTTACGTGACGTGTTACACTGCAAAGTATGGTAACACAGCAATGTAACAGTCGATTTTCTCAGCGGATAAAACGGGTACTATATTGTGAGGCGTAGTAATCTGAGGTGCGCTACGTCCGCGCACTAACTTCTCTCCGGAGACTTCTCTCTCGCTCACTTCCGTCAATAGAAGCAGCGTGACTTGTAGTACGGAGAGAAGTTAGTGCGCGGACGTAGCGCTCCTCAGATTACTACGCCTCACAATATAGTACCCGTTTTATCCGCTGAGAAAATCGACTGTTACATTTCTGTGTTACTATACTTTGCAGTGTAACACGTCACGTAACTATATACATTTAATAGGGAACACTTGGAAGAGTTTGGTAGCTTCTAGCGGGAGCTACCTTTTGGTGCTACAAAATATACAGAGGAGGCTGCGTTTGTGCTCCCGTTTTTGCTCCGTTTGCATGACAGAGCACACGGACTAAGACCAGACAGGTATGTATTAACTAGTCTAAGGTAAGGTAAGAACATATGTCAGTATGTAAAAACGGTGAACTATTCCTTTAACTTCAACAGTTTAGGAGCGGATGTATCATACGTCAATTATTTAATATTTTGCTCCCTTTGAAGTAAGTTTTGATTAATGTATTTAATTTGGGTTACTGTACAGTATTATAATTGTATGCCCTTAGGGGCAGCAATGTATAAACATGTGTTTATGGTTTCTATCAACGTTCAGAAACCATGATAAAAACCATCATTCATTCCAAAAATACACTTTAATAAAAAAAAATTTTTTACATTTGTTTTCCTTTTTTCTCTCAAATACATGTATATGACCAGGTTTGTGGATATGTATTCGTTTTTGGTAAATGTTCATTTGGCAGGATGGCACAATGCTTAAATCCATGGCAATGGTTCCATGGTATTCCGTGGAACCGTGCTGATGACCTGCCTCATGTGCTGTGGCTTTTACATTATCATCTGGAGGCTGGAGAGTGTAAAATAATAAGCCTTTGGTGCATTTTAATCTTCACTGACTGTTTGATGGCACAGAAGAAAAAGTATACACACATGGTTCATGAAGCTAAAGTGAAATTTCAGACTAGAAGTCCTTCTCGTGTCCTCTCTCGCTGCACCAGTTCCCCTGCTAATCACCAATTAGCTTAGATGGCACTGGGACCCGCCTGCATTTAAACAACCTAACACCTTCAGCTCGTGGTGCAACCCTCCTCCTTCCCATCACTGCCTCAACAGTGGGACTTTCCTTCAGATCAACTCATCTCATCCACCACAAGGGTCAATTTGATGTCAGATCTGTTTGAATTCCCTGTTTCAGTCCTAAAGTCCTAAACCATATAAACACGCTACCAGCACCTGTCAATAAATTAAAATCAAATGTTTCCATGTCCGTGTGGTTTTTGGGAAACAAACAAATATAATTGTATATAGTCTATACACCACCACCATCCGTTGTTTGGCTGACACCCAGATTTGTAAGAAAGCCTCACATCAGTGGAAAAAACGACACAATGATGCAACATCCTAAGACAAGAAGGAATTGTTTAGTCTTGAAACTCGATAGTCTTCTTTAAGCACTGAACAAAGAGAGAGAGAGAGAGAGAAAAGGTCTTCCCGTTCGAACAAGTCCACACGCTGACTGCACCTGATGACTGGAAATGGAAAAGATGCGGCTTATTCCACAGGTGAGCAATATGTGGCGAAATGTAACAATATGTAGAGAAATGTTGTTGATGAGACAATACAAGCATCTTTTTAGATTTTTTTCAAGATTAGATTTTTTTTTTAAATTATGACCATACATTGCGTTACCTATAAATGATATGTAGTGATGTCCACACCATTTGTGTTTCTTTCATCAACATATCTGTACACTGATATTTGTTCACTGTTGATGATTTCTTGCGTATCACAAATTTCACGCTCCAAAATAAATGATGTATGACTCATATTTCTCAGCGATCAACTCATTTGCATTTTGACTCCTGCCATTGAAAAACACTTGTTTTGTTGTTGTTGTAATAAAAAGGAAGATTATGACACTTGGATGTGGTTCAGGGATTTCCCATCATGTGATCTCTTTCTCAATTTTAAAGAAATATTGGCGTCCGTAGTGAAGGGGGAAGTCAGAGCAGAATGAGACAAAGGGTAAGAAGGCTGTGCACTTTGGAGTAGCGTCTTCAACGGACAAGTTTAAGGTATGTTTCACACACAAGACTTCCAATAAGCTATTTATGATCTTTATTTTTGAGTCTAAAACATAATCCTAACTTTATAGTACTCTTTCATTGTGATTATTTTAGCTCAATTTCTTTACTTTTATTTCCCACAAAGGGCTTTACAATGTTTTGTGGAGAATCAATAGTTTTCCATTCACTCCCCTACCACCTGTTTTTAGTGGTAGGGGAAACCGTAGCCCCCGGAGGAAACTTACGCAGGCTTAAACCAGGACCGTCTTCCATTTGAAGTACAACTTTTCTCTATGGGAAAAAAAAATTGATACTGTATGTGCCATAATACTTAAAAATCCTTTTAAATATCTCTTAAGTTTCAGATCCCTGAATCCAGCGGCTTTGAATGATGTCTTCAAACGTGTCCAGCCCCACTGTCCGCACCTCTCTGCCTCTTTCGCCCTCAGCTCAGGGGGGAATCGCTATCTTGACCTTGGCTTTCGTCTTGGGATTCCCTGGAAACCTATTTGTGGCCTGGTCAGTCTTCTGCCGAGTAAGAAAGCGCTCCGTTACCTGCATCTTGGTCCTGAATCTGGCTCTGGCGGATGCCTTCGTCCTGCTCAGCGCCCCCTTGTTCTTACGATACCTGGCCGGGGGGAGGGGCTGGGAGTTTGGCTCAGCAGCATGTAAGCTGGTGCATTATCTGTCCAGCGTGAACATGTACGTGTCCATTTACCTGATCTGCCTGATGAGCATGGATCGCTGGCTGGCTGTGTCCAGGCCCTTCTTGTCCCAGAGGGTGAGGACAAAGCGCTCTCTGCTGCTGCTGCTGATGGGAGTCTGGATCCTGGCCTTTGTACTGTCACTGCCCATGCCCTTCTATCGCAGGTAAAGACCTTCCTAAGCTTGGTCAGGTCAAAGTTCTATTTTATTTCATTTTTGTGTGATCTGTAGTTCTGCGTGAGACTTGGAAGTTCTTACTCTGCCCATGAATTATCATCCAGGCACTTTTTACTTCCACTTTATCTGGGGCCAAGTCATGAAAGAGAAGCAGCAGTCTGAGCAGAGATGCACAGACTTTCCTTTATGCACACTTTCCTCCTCCCCAGGGCCTCCTCCAGGTTAGACATGGTAGCGTGGGTCTCTTTGACCTTGAGAAGCGATGGCTCTACTCTGAGTTTCTTTCATGTGACTGAGCATCTCACCCTTTCTACTATGGAAATGTGGTCGTCAAAAGCAGGTGTCATGACCCAGTCCTTACAATATTTAGCTGTGGGGACATAAATCAAGTATATAGTTCTTATAGGAAAGTGCCTTGCCCTCTCCAGGTGGTGGAGAGGTCATTCAAGTGGAGAGGATCTTCTACAATAAGATAAGATAACCTTTACCTTTAGATAACCTTTACTCAACCCTGAAATTTCATATTGGGGAAGAATGGAGCGTGAGATTGATAGATAGAATAGTGCAGCTTCTGCAGTGATACAGTTGCAGTATCTGTTGAAGAGGGAGCTGTGTGTTTTCAATTTACTGGACTTGAGGCATGTGATTCACTTGAATGAGAAAGGTGGTTCTAAACTGTCAAGGGCCAGATGGATGCTGTGCAGAACTCTGAGTTGCGCTCCTTGTGATGTCACAAATATTGCAAGAATTCAGCTTGCGAGCCAGATAAAGGCTTTTCATCATTCGAGTGAGAGCGGAGGAGATGCACCTTCATCAGTATTTGCCACACATACACATAGTTCAAACACATGCAGTAGTGAGTACTGAAGCATTACGTTGCCTCTGGAACAAGCTGCTTGAGCAATGTTTCTGCTCAAACCAAAAGACATCTCAGGAAATCCTGTTCCATTTCATAATCTAATAGCTCTAATGTAATCATGTGAGATCTCACCCCGTATCTAGCATTTGGTTTATTGTTGTAAAGCACTTTGACCGGTAGACAAGCAGTGTATTAATGTGACTTCATGTGTCTGTGACAGTAACATCAGGCGTCACATCTTGAACATGACGGTGCATCTGTGTGTGCCGTATCATGAGCACGTGGGCCATAAAGTCTTCCAGTACCTGTTTGAAACAGTGATGGGCTGTCTGGTGCCCTTCTCCCTCATCACCTCCTGTTACTCCTCTGTGATCCGCCGCCTGCAGTCGGCCATGTTCCAGCGCAGAGCGCAGGGCAATCGGCTCATCCTGCTCATCGTCCTCGCCTTTGCCATCTTCTGGCTGCCGTACCACATCGTCAACATCATCGAGGTAAGCCCAGGGCCGCACCTACCCACTTTCTGAGGAGCATGCAAACTGAAACCTCAGATTCAGATTAATTTATCTGGCATGGAAAAGTGTGGAAAGACCTGTTCAATGCACAAAAACCGGCACAGAACAACATGAGGTGTGCTCTAACGCTTCAAACAGATTACAGTATGAAATATATCCCACATTATCTAATACTTCATCTGTGTGGTGTTGTAGTTTTGTCTATGATCTCAACCCCTTTATGCTAAGAGTGAAGCTCTTACCGTCAGCGTTTGCATGTGCTGATCTTCCCTTTACAAAGTTGTCCTCTTAAAAATGTTTTTAAATGTAACCTTATATTGTTATTGCTCCATGTGGATAATAAACGTGCTGAAGTTCTGAGGGGCACTGCACTGTGACTTCAGAAGACTTATTTTGAAACGTTGACGTTTGCCGGCAGTGGGAAAAAGCCTTATGTCACACTAGTAAAACACAAATGATTAGATGTACGGTTAATAAAACTTTCACTCAGAGATTTAGTAGAAGTACCTTTAGTGGTATTATATTTAACACCACAAGCTATAGGAGGATCTTTGTTTACACCCGCGTGCGCCCCTCGCACGGGTGGCAAGAAGGCAGAGTGGCCCATACGGAAGCATGGATGGTGGAACAAAGGTGGAACAAGAAGCCGCGGGGATGAGCAACCAGAATGCAATGTTTAAAATTAATCATCATTCATGAATGAATGAGTGAGTGAACAAGTGTGCAGTGAAAGTAGTTGCAAAATTAAAATGTGTTTATGAATTTTAATTCCCTCATCCCCCCGGCTTCCCGTTCTACGTTTACCGTAGGTAACAGCATAGAAGGGCAACCACTTTACCACGGCCGTTTTTTGCTGTTCTTTTCCGAAATAAGTATCCAATCCAATCCACTTTATTTCTATAGCACATTTAAACAACAGAACAGTTCCAAAGTGCTGCACAAAAAAGTACACAAAAAAAACGTAATCTGTGGCCGGCGGGCCGTACAACCGACCACACAACAAGAATGGACCATTTGATTTAGTAAAACCTCTCTACAAACGTCTAAAGATAGCTAACTCTGTAGCATCCAGATAGCTTTCAATGCTATCGTGCCACCTGGCCACGTGACCGGTGCGGAAAAACTACAAACAACGACGTCACTCCAAGATCCTCCAATCTTGGGAGACATTAGTGTTTGTTGGTGCATTTGAATTGATGTGACTAAAGTACAACATTTTCTAGAGCCTAACCGACTCTACTTATAGACCATGCCTCTGTGGAAGCTAGTTTAAGATGGAACTTGCTTCAGACGGCTACAAAACGACGACAGTACAGTAGCCAACAGATAAATGAGTGAACATTGTTGTATCGTGTTAAAAGTATTATATGTCAGTATCTGTGTCTGTAAAGTAAATAAGGTAGTTACATCTACACATTAGACATGTGAATTTCTCCATTGTGAGATTAATAAAGTTTATCTTATCTTGTATTCCTCAGGTGGCTGGCGTGTTGCAGGGCAGTCAAACCACCATCAAAGCCGCTCTCACCGCTCGCCCGAACGTCACAGCCTTTGCATACTTCAGCAGCGCCGTGAACCCGCTCCTGTACGTGTTCGCGGGCAGCTCCCACATACGCAATGCCGGGCTCAGCTTCATGGGAAAACTGTTCGAGGCCACAAACTCGGAGAGCAGAAGCACCTCCACCTTCTCACGCGGCGGCCGAAGCTCCGCCACAGACGACAGCTCCGTCCTCCACACGCTGTCCACCAAACTGGGACGAGCGTGTGGAGGGAAAAGCAAAGACCTAAGAGAGAATGAGGAACAAGGAGAGAACAGACCAGAGCTCAAAACACTGGCAACAGAGCAGGTGGACTAGTTTTTAGACATTTGATTTGGTCTTTTATTGTATAACCAATACCTGGGGAGTCAAACTGGTTCTAGAAAGGGTCAATGTGGCTGCAGGGCTTAATTCCAACCCAGCAGGAGCACACAAGACTTCAGCCATTTCCTCAGGTCTTCAGGTTATGACTGGACTCACTTGAGGCAATGGTGTGTCTGGTGTGCTCCTGCTTGGTAGGAATCAAAATCTCCAGCCATACCTGCCCTGGGAGGATTGCTTTGACACCCCTGATCTGTGGCATTACTGTAAAAACTGCTGTATTAAAAAAGAAAAATGTACCTATATATAAAGCGCTTTTCAACCAACGAGGTACATCAAAGAACCCTTCACATACTCACACCGGTGAACGCAGAAAATGGGGGTGAGTTGGGTTATGTGTCTTGCCCAAGGACACATAGCAGAATCCAACAATGGAAGCTAGTTTCACACCTGCCAACCTGCAGGTAAGTCAATGACCGTTCAACCAACAATGTTTCTCAGTGGGAGGATTCCAACCGCCAACCTTAAGCTCAGACCTCTACTGTCACTCAGTATCAGATGGTCTGCTTGTGGTCTTAGAATGAGTGGACGACCTGAACATCCTGAAAATACAACAATGGATTTCTTCTTCTATCTATTCTGCCTCTGCTCTTTATGGGGCTTGATGATCAGTGCGACGTCTGCAGCGGTGCATACGTTAGAGAATCAGGCTGAGGTGAAGAGGGACCAAAGCTCTCAGGGTGAGCAGGTCTGCAATCCAGAGGAAGTTTGCAGTAGTGTCCTGGGAAGTCTTCATCGAATGGCCACTTCTGTTTCAGTGGTTTACATGGTGGTAGAAATGTAGATTGAAGCCGCAATGACGTCCTGAATACAGTAGTAAAGTATTACTCAAACATGCATTTACTCTTGATGTAGGTTGATTTTAAACAACCTACATCAACAAGGTTCAACTCTTCTTAACATACTGTATTTTTTGTTTGATGCTTGTTCAATGGTGTTTTGCGTAAACTCAATGGTGTAATAAACTGTCACCATTGAGCTGTGTGTGTGTGTGTGTGTGCGTGTGCGTGTGTGCGTGTGTATGTGTGTGTGTGTGTGGACCTCAGGACATGTTGTTCTGTTGTGTTCGTGCTGTGATCTGTTTCATCAGTGACATTTCTCAAACATCCTTCCTTTTCACTGAGCTGAAGTTTGTACCAAGGACTACAGCCTTTATGAACCCAAAGCTCCATGATCAAGACACAAACATCACACAGGACGTGCATCTTTTTACACAATTAAAAACACATTTTTAATTGAGTTAAAAATTGTTTTTTACTTGTGTAAAAAGTCCTTTTAGGTAAAGACATTGCAAATTAGCCCTGGCTATAAATGTTGTAGTGTTTCGCGTGTTGGTAGTGTACACATCAAATAAATCAATAAATAAATAAAATCTATGGGATTGGTTTTAGACACGTAACTGAACATATACATAAAAACATACATACAAACTAATGACACAGTTTCTAAGAATTGGCCATAATAAAAAAACACCAACAGATTATTACTTATATAAATGTTGGAATTTGGGCTGGGCGATATGGCAAAAAAGTTAAATCTCGATTGTATTTCTTGCTTTGGACGATTTTGATTTCAAATCAATTTCCATTAAAGTCACTGAAGAGAGACTTTGCCCTTAAAATATATTTAGCTCAATATTCAAGTTTCAAAACTATTTTTAATTTGTTTCCCCCAATACATATTATAAAAGTTGTGTACAGACTGTGCTGATATTGCAAATAAAATTCATGTGCTGCCGGAACTCTCACAATATCCTTCATTCGATTTCACATTTTTCCCAAATTCAATTTTTTCAAAAGCCGATTAATTGCCTACATTCAATTTATTGCCCAGCCCTAGTTGGAATAAAACATTTTTCAGCCTAGCTGCAAAAACCGTCTTGATAAACTGGCTCATAATAAATCAGAAAATAATGTATGAATATGTTCAAGAAAGTTCATAATTTCCTGTGTGTCCTGTTAAAAATGACCCTGTTATTGTTTGTATCATGAATCAATACCAATAAATCATCTCTTTCATTGGAATTGTTTGTAATTTAAATGCAGTAAAGACAGTATCACATCACAAAATGTTCACATTAGTTTAAATGTGGGCCTCCTGTTTCCTGCAGCTGTCCTCCTGCAGAAACATAAAACTGGTCATTACAGTAAGTTTCCGTAATTATGCAGAAGTCCTAGCTCTAATAACCTCATGACGAACACTGAAGCCGATCATGAATGAAGGCAGGAGGCTGAGATGATGTTTGATGTGGTTCTTTGTCCTCAATCCATCTAACTGCTTCAATGATTGTACGACTGGTGTTTCCCAAACTGTGGTGCGTGGCCTTAGATAAAGCCTTCTGCACAGGTTCGTAAGATAAATGTAACTGTAAAAAGTGTATTGTGTTTTATCAATGCTGTTTCCCAAACTGTGGTAAACTGGTCCTTATTCAGTTTAATATATATAAAACTAAAATGTGCCAATAAACCAAAAGCAAAAGCAATGTTTTATGTCTTGTTGTATTTTTTCTTATTAAATTAAGCAATTAAATTACATTTTCATTATTATGGAACGGGCGGCTTTTGAGAGCAGGATGTGATCTGCACCTATATTATATCTCATACAACCACAGATAATACTTGTCTCTACATTGTGTGATTCTGTGATGAATACAAGTGATTTTTTATTTTATTTATTGCACAAATAATAATCAGGGCGTCTGGAATCTCTCTGCACTAAATGTATAAAACGTATTCTATCAAAGAGATCCTCAACAGATGGGTGGAAACAAGAATGTGACTGAACTCAAAACTACTTTAAAATCAGGTGCAGTGTGTGGAGTAGGGCTGGGCAATAGATCGAATTTTGGCAATTAATCGGCTTTTGAAAGAATTGAATTCGTGAAAAATGTGAAAATCGTGAAATTGAATGAAGGATATTGTGAGAGTTCCAGCAGCACATCAATTATACTTGCGATATCAGCACAGTCTGTACATGACTTTTATAATATGTATTGGGGGAAACAAATAAAAAATAGTTTTGAAACTTGAATATTGAGTGGGAAGATAAAAATATATAAAGGGCAAAGTCAGTCTTGAGTGACTTTAATGAAAATCGATTTAACATCGACATTGTCCAAAGCAGGAAATAAAATCGAGATTTTTGACATATCGCCCAGCCCTAGTGTGGAGATACCCTTTGGACAAATGTACAGATTGTTGAAAAACTGGTTCAAACCTATTTGCATTTTCTTCATACAACCTCTTTTCAGAAATGTACTGTATGTTAGGAGGATTTCTGTTGTTCTGAAATACATAAATAACATCCCCGTCATCTAAAACAGAAAGGCCGGAACAATTTCTCCACTTTAATTCCATTGAATAGAGGTTTTAGGAGACCTGACTGGTTAAGAATGCAACTCTAAGTGCACTTGTTAAAAATAAAACTATTTTTTATGTAACTTATTAATTATAATACCATTCAAAGGTGCTTTATCTTTTTTCTTTTGTTCTTTTTGGTTTCGGGTGGGTGGCACAATGGTGGTACAATGAAACGTTATGGGTTTTTCGAGTGGTTTAATTATAGCAGCTATTAATTCAAATGCAAAGAGAGAGAGAGGTTGTAATGGAACATGAAGACACCGGTTCATTCTTACTGCAACTTTGACTTTCATTTATTAAAAAATAAATAAAAAAATATCCTTTTAGATTGCGTTGTTTTCATCTTCATTTTGTGGTTCTACAGTCTCATCTTCAGCTCGTCTTTATTGATACATAATGATCCAGTTTGACACAGATTATCAATCAATTGTATGTATAACAAATGCATACTGTAACTTCAAACAAGTTTATTCATAAAAGTAAATACATAAATAATCACACAACATTCATTTTGAAGGAGTAATTCAATATAATATACTGCATATGTATTCATTTTGTTATTTTTTTTAACCTGAATTTGTCCTATGGGGGATCGATAAAATATCTATTTATCTATTTAATTACAGGTCACATATCAGTGCACCTGAGGGGTTACCATAGCAGCACACAGCAATGAAACCATTAACTTACAGTTGTCATTTTAAAGTTACTTTAAAATGATATGTTATATATCAGCATATTGAATTAAGTTGCTAAACATGCTAAATAATTATTTTGTACAAAAAATTAAAAAATAACTAAAATGTCTTTTTCTCTTCTGCGTCTACATTTTAGTCGTGGCAACAGTTGCTATAGAGCTTTTGCTGGCTTTGCTCATAAAGTTGGCCCTCAAACTTGGATTTTAGAGGAGAAAATATATATATCTTCTAGAATAATCCTCACGTATACGCTGGTTTTTGGTCATGAATGAGATCCCAAAGACAGGCCTTTATTATGTTGTGAGGAGAGCGGAGGAGTGAGGGTCACAGGAGGGAGGGGGATAGAGGTATAAATGTCCTCAACAGAACTCATGAGGGACAACTCTGCACCTGCGACACTGCGAAGGTAAGAATCCACTCACAATATCTCCTCTTTACTAAATCATTCTTCTAGTTCATTATAATACAGACACAAGTCAATTTGAAACCATGCTTTGTGTTTCCATCGCACAATCAGAGCTGGGGTGTGCAATTTTCAGACTACAAAAAAAATTGAGCAACGAGAACTGGAACTAATAAGTGAATGAGTTTGGTTCTATTACTAGTTTTCACATGCACATACTTTTAGGCCTCTGTCACAACTTTAGATCAAGCACACTGACTCAGCCAATCAGCTTTCAGCCCAAAGTGTCAAATAGTGACGCACAAGGCTTGTTCTTACAAATATGCAAACGTTAATCTTTTTTGTTGGAACAAAGAAGAAATATTAAGGGGGAGAGTTAGGTACCCTAGCTTTAATGTCCTTAAGAAATAAAGATTGTTGGGCCTTTTTTGCTTGTGGAGTTTGTTGTCCGTGTGAGGTCCTCTAAAACTAAGCAGGACAGGGATCGATTACACTTACATTCATACACCATCCTCTTACAGTACAGTACATACAGTATAAAACCATAAACAGTATACCAGCATACACATGTTTTTGTTCATTTGTTTGTTATACATTACCAAGTGGGGCTTTAAACTTGGATTAGACTCCGCCATGTTAGATTTAGGTGTAAACGTATAGCAGAATATAATTTCTACCTCTAGATGGGAGTGTTGCTCATTCCAGACGTCTCTTGTGCAGAGTGCGGAATGGGGCAGATGACGTCCAGACGGCGGCCTCAGAGCGATCTCCCTCGGGTTCTCTTTTCCCCCGACGAGGGCCCCCCGCGGTACTCCTCCCACCACTTCAACGACCCGCCCACCATCACCGTGTCCGAAATCGACGCAAAGTAAGAACAGCCCTGCAGACATGGACCATACCACAATTTACTACGTGGCAGTACGATCACGTTTTTCTCATTCACACATGAACGGCCATGTTTTCTACAGAAATTACTTTTTGCTCAATTGCGTATATATTTTTGTCCGAATTTTCAATATGTGGCTCTCATGTTACACAATATTTTCAAAACATTTAACATTGTCGAGGTGGGCAGCTGAAAAAAATCTCCTTGTATAAATATATATATAACAGATGTTTCTAACGTTTCATGTTTTAGTTTAGAGCTATTTTATCTGTAATTCTTGGGGCAATCCATGAGAAACGTATTCTTTGTCAATACAACTGTGGTCTAATTATTTACTATTATTTAAAGGTGTCAATAAAAAAAAAGCATTAAACTGATGCTGATCAGTTGAAAGGACATTCAGACATAGAATAACATAAAATAACATCAGAACATCCGTTAAAACACTGGAAAAACATTCATCTTATTTTTCAAAGAATCTTTAAAAAATTGCTTCTTTCCCATAAAGTTGTATAGAAATCTGCCCAAAATACAGAAATAACATTTTAGAACATGAACGCAACCCATTAGTTGGTGATTGTTGTAAATTAAGTCCATATCATTTAAAAATGAATTGTAAATGCATTTCAAAACATTGTGCAAATGCAAAGTTGACACATGTACAGTATAAATGAACTACACTTGTTTTTTGGTTGTTTTGTAGCAGTCTATTGGAGCAGCCAGACTCGAGGATGGAGCTGAGGAGAGGTTCCATCTACAGCACCATGGACCTGGCCCCGCAGCTGGAGCACTACGCCAGCTCTCTGCCCCGACAGAGCCACAGCCGCCCCAGTCTGGAAGCCCTGCGCAAGGCCTACGAGGTTCCGCTCTGACCACTGTGCTGCGCGCCTGCTAGTGCGGCCACCATTCTCAAATAGGCCAGCACACTTGAGAGTTTAAAAGGCTGAAAACGTCTGCATGCATAATTTTGCTTTCACTTCACAACTTTCTACCACTTTGTCATGGTCTTTCACTAGCTTGGCAGGCCTCATTCATTGGGGGTTGGGTTAACTGGCTTGTTAGGCTAGTCTTTCACCAAAACATTTGAAATAACAACTACTGTATATGTTATCGAAAAATCCTTATCCTGAATTTCACCCAAGAATCCTCCTGCCACTACCATTATAAATATTTCCTTAGCACTCTTGTCGTGGCGTCAAAGTCGGATTTTTTTTCATAGAATGGAGAGCTGGGAATGGAAGCCACGAACGCCCAGGCAGAAGTGGACAGTCTACTCCTTGCAGAGGACGAAGCTCCAGACAGCAGCAGCGAAAAGGCCCCAGTGCGTTTTGGCTGGATCATCGGGGTCATGGTGAGGACATATTTTAGGTGAGGAGGTTTTCATATCATCGTCCATATTTGTACCCACAACCTTCACAGGTCCGGTGCATGCTGAACATTTGGGGTGTGATCTTGTTTCTGCGTCTGTCCTGGATCACCTCTCAGGCTGGAATCTGTGAGTAAAACATTGACTTTTAATGTTTGTTGTTTGTTTTTTGTCTTTTTTTGTGCATGCTCTGAAGGAAAATCTGATTTCTTTTGGTTTTTTTTCAGTGCTGACTTGGCTGATTATCTTGATGTCCTCTGTCGTAACCACTGTAACCGCTCTTTCTGTCTCCGCCATCGCCACCAACGGGAGGGTCATCTCTGGTAAACCATCTGCGTGTCCTCCCTTTTCCCGACTTAAGGCACTGCAATGCAAAAAGTGCTGAAAAATAAGTCAAATATTACTCAAATTTGGCAAGATGTCTCTCAGTTTGAACATATTTTGACTGCCTTCAAACAAAATTAGCCAATGGGAAAAGCAAAAATGAGACTAAATGGCTTTTCCCATTGACAAATCTTGTTTTAATAAATAAAAACGTATTACAGAATAAAATAAAAACGTATTACTTCATATGCTATCACTTTTTGTGGTTAGAAGTACCAACAATGTGGTGTGTTTTTTCTCCGTTCAGGCGGGGCATACTTCATGATCTCTCGCTCCCTCGGCCCAGAGATCGGGGGTCCTATAGGGATGGTCTTCTCTTTTGCGAACGCTTTGGCCTGTGCCCTGAACACTGTGGGCTTTGCAGAGGTGGTGCGGGATCTCCTCAAGGTATTCATGAAGACTGTTTTGGAACTTTTAGCTGTTACTGAACTCAAAACCGATACCCGATATGAACCCATGCCAGAAACGGGCCTCGAGAGAAAAAAGTAAGTGTTTTTCTTATATTATGCTGCAAGTAGCTACAGAACAACTTTGTTTGCAGTAAAAGTTAAAACCTCTCGGATAAAAGTGAGTTCTGCAACTTGCAAATTGTATTTCATTTATTACAGGAATATATGTTTTTGAATAATATATTTAAAGCAGCCCTTCTCCTTTGAATAACCACGAGTAAAATTTGTATGAGAGTCTCAGTTTTCCATCAAGGTTTTGCGTTTAATCCAGTCGAGGCGGATTTTGTGGGGATTTTAATTAACTTTTGGTTTTCTATACATCCACACTTTAGTGCAACAAACTCTGCTTGTTTGATCGATTTAAATAGGCCGCCATCTTGGATCACCAGGGCTTAGCTTTCATTGACCGGGCTAGCATGTTAAGCATTCGTTGAGCAAACATTATGTTGTTAGACAAGACAGACTGTATTAGACAATATGATTAATAATTTTCAGTTAATGATAACTTGACATTAAAATATTCTCATATAGCTACTTAAATGTTTTAAAAGGCTTTCAATGGGGTCTTTTTCCAAATCTTATTTTTTTTAAAATCACACATTTTGTCTCCGTCTGCAGGACTTTGACATGGTGATAGTGGATGATGTGAATGATGTGCGTATTGTGGGCGTGGTCACAGTGACGGCTCTGCTCATTATCTCATTGGCAGGAATGGAGTGGGAGTCCAAAGTAAGTGTTTTTGGTTCTGGCTGTAATGAGGTTGAGAAGGAAGAGAATCATAGTTGCTATACCTGCTTGTGAAAGCTAGATCCTGTCAGACCTCTGAAGCCAAGCAGGGCAGGCTTTATTTTACAGACTGTATTTGTAAGAAAGAACCCTGTGAGTCACTTTTTGAGGCTTCAGGCTTAAAGCAGATTGACTGAGGGAAGATGGTCCCCTCTATTAAACTATTGTCTGAAAAAACTGTTACAAAACAATGTTACAGAGGCAAAAAAATGCAAACATTTGAAAACTATTGAAGAAGATGACATAGTCTGGGATCGTGTCTTTAATTCAGACAGAAGACATGTTTTATTGTCGATGGTAGAGACAGCACGAACAACACGAACAACACGAACACAGAATGCAAGTGTATTATACAGAGCGGAGGCATGGAGACCTCCAATCAGCAGCTTCCACGGGTGCCATGTAGCTTGGCCTTCAGATAGACAAAACAAGGGAAAAGTACTGGCTCCTGCACATTGATAGAATGATGAGTTTAACTTTAACAAAAGTTGATGAAATCTCACACTATTTTAAAACCCAAAGAGTTTTATGAGTGAGGAACTAGTTTTATTACATGTTGTGATTAAATGTTGGTTACTTACACTTTAACCCTTTCTGAAATACTTTTTTTTTCTTTTAGGCCCAAATTTTGTTCTTCATGGTTTTGTTGGTGTCATTTTCCAACTACTTTGTGGGCACGTTCCTCCCAGCGCCGAAGCAGAAACAGGCCCTGGGGATCTTCAGTTATCAGAGTTTGTATCTTGTAGATTTGTGATTTAACATAAACGATGCATTTGGATGAACTTTGCTTCCCTTTTCAACACAGCGGACATCTTTGTTACAAACCTGCTGCCGAACTGGAGAGGACCAGAGGGAAACTTCTTCCAAATGTTCGCCATTTTTTTCCCATCAGCGACCGGCATTCTGTCTGGAGTCAACATCTGTGGGGATTTGAAGGTAAAACTCATTGGTTGTGAAATCATTACAAAAACACACATATTGTCATTGAAAATTAGGAGCAAAATTACAAAAAGTTTGTTGTGGTATAAAGACAATGTTTCAAATCTGAATCCTGTTTGTGATTTTAGACCAAGCACACGTTTGACTGTTTAGAATAGAGACCTTCCAATTTAATCTGTCTATTTTTAGTTGTTATAAAATGGAATTGACATGTGGAATGTCTGATCTCACATATCTCAAGTGTGTTCAGGTGCCATCTTGAAACTCTTTCCACTACGAAGCGCCGCTGTCTGATTCAGGAACATGGCTCTACAAAGTCACATAGGTCATAAGGCAAGATGTACACCTCCCTTTAACAGGCTCCAGACTCAGCGTCGACAGTCCTGCTTTTATGTTTTCTCAAATGTCCTGCAATGTCTTTATGTATTGCCGTGTTTGTGAGGGAACTGCTGTTATTGCAAGACATATTCAGACTTCATTATCTGCTGCCTGACAATAAAGTGTTTTCTTATCTTACAACTGGTAAAATGGATTTGTGCAGGACCCCATGTCTGCTATTCCCAAAGGCACTCTGATGGCCATCTTCTGGACTACATTCAGCTATCTCCTTATTGCTGTAACCGCTGGTAAGGGACACAATTATTAGTTGTACATGATATGAAAAACATGCATCACAGTATTATTTGTTTTGGACCAGCTTAGTTTAGTCGCAGTGGACTTTTGAATGCACTCATTAAATGAATGGGGCTTGAGCAGCTAACGGGAGGGGCTGCCTGTGGCCATTTGGAATCTGTGGCACATGCTTTTTAACGTCACTACGTCCATTAACTCATTGATTGCTATTTACGTACTGTATTTGTCTGAGACTGGTGATTTCTGTCAAACTTTCTTCTATTTGACTGCGGATTACAGACCGTCCAGTCTTTCAGAATCTGGTTTCAGATTCTGAAACCATAGGCTTAGCACATAACATTCTGTGGGTCTTGAAAATCAGTGAAATCATCAGAAACAGCTGACAGTTAATATTTACAGTCTATGATTCTACCTCAGCACTAAAGTCGTTAGATTCACCTTTTCACTCTAGCTTGAAGTGTGACATCATTTCATACATCTGGGTTCAAAGGTGGGACAGCAGAACACTTTTCTTTGTTTTTTGTGAAGCAAAAATTGACTCTGTTGCGTTCAAATAATTGAGAACATGATCTGTGTTGTTGTTGAGTGGCGCTTACATTATGGGATCCACGATAATCACAATTCTTCTTACCTTAACTTTACCATTTGGCTTTACACTGAGCTTTGGTCCCTGCCGCAGCTGCCTGCACAGTGCGTGACGCCTCTGGGAATGTGACGGACTTCATGACGACAAACAGCACCGACGGCTGCGTGGGTTTGGCTTGTAAATACGGATGGAACTTCACCGAATGCATTCAGTCCCAGTCCTGTAAATACGGACTGGCCAACAGCTCTAAGGTCTGTTGTGTCTTTTTCTGCATGATTTTGGTTGGTGCTCAAAATGAAAATGAAAAACCTGGATTACTGCTAAATTTCAAACCACAACAAAAGTAACTGAGGAAATCTATCTAATTAGTTGGAGGAGTTTTGTGAAAGAAAGAAAAGTGAAGTTAAGGCACTTACCTGGATTAAGATAAGAGTTCCTTTATTCGTCCCACAGTGGGGAAATTTCGATGTTGCAGCTCACAGACAGGACAGTAGTAAGAGCACACAAGGAGCACACAATATATACAAATAAGTAGTAGCTATGTTTCTTAGCTAACATAACTAGCTGTAGATGCTGAAAATGCTTCAATACCAGTCAATATATATATGTAGTAGTAAATAGTGCAAGATAATAAGTAGACAAGTAAAGTGACATAAGGTAAAGGGACATTGTTCAGGGCATTTTCTGAAGTTGCAGTATTGCACATTGCACATGATTTAAGAATTTACTTATTTACAGATTAATTAAATTTACAGGCTCAGCAGTTCTTATTGGACAGTCTGACAGCAGCAGGATTAGATTAGATTAAGAACGAGGTGCAGCCTAAATGTAAACTCCAAGCGAAACCTAAAGCCCCACGAGTGCAGCATTATTCTATAACGCCCTATTCACATAAACTTACCAAATTGTTCGCTGTTTGACTGCTACTTAACTTTTATCTTTCCATCAGCTGTTTTATCAGGACTTGGGTAAAAGGATGATAATGATAATAAATGTGGGGCCTAAAAATTCATCAGATATAAAATGAGTCCACAAACGCTTGAATACTACTTGGTTTCAGAAATCCAGATTTAGCTGAGTTTAGACAACTTGTTTAAAGGCATCAGAGTCGGGTGTGTCACTGGAGACTTTTAGAAATTATATTCTGCTTGTTGCCGTGTGCCATTCATATAAACCTCTAAGTGGGGCAGGTAAATACACTCGACAAGGAAGTAAAAAATACCTATTACCAAACCAATAATTTGTCAATGGGTTGAGCCACTCTTCAGTTCAGTGGCTTTAAAACATTGTGCATTTGTTTAAATGTTTGTCTCACAGGTGCTGGGACAGCTTTCTGGCTTTTATTACCTCATCACTGCCGGGGTTTTTGCTGCCAGTTTATCGTCTGCTCTTGGTTTCCTCGTGTCCGCCCCAAAGGTTTTCCAGGTGCTTAAACATGAAATGGTCAATAGCGTTCTTATAATTACAATGACAAATAACATGGTACATTTTCCACGGACAGTGTCTGTGCAAGGACAACCTCTACCCGTACATTGGGTTCTTTGCAAAAGGTTACGGCAAAAACAACGAGCCTCTTCGAGCTTATCTGCTGTGTTTTGTCATCGCCGTGGGATTCATTTTAATTGGTGAGGGTGGAATTTGTTAATTGTCTTCTTTGAGATTTTAACCATATTTCAGCACAGAAAGCCTGGTACTGTCAGATCTCAGGTTAGTACTGTGATGGGAGACCTCTTTTAACACCAGGGGACATTTTTATTCATTCTATGTGTTTTCTTTCAATTTTTTGTTTTTGTTTTTTAATAATATTATAAATTATATCTCAGAAAATGTAATTCACAGAAACCTTTAATCCTTTATTCACGTGTTTCCTCTACAAGCTTCTCTTTAAAAAAATATGACAAAGTGTTCATTTCTCCTCCTTCAACAGCCGAGCTCAACACCATCGCTGCTTTGATTTCAAACTTTTTCCTCTGTTCTTATGGACTCATCAACTTCAGCTGCTTCCATGCCTCCATCACAAACTCCCCTGGTGAGGCACAATCTTATGGAGAAAATATTGCGTGTTATGTAAGTTTTTTTGCACTGCATTTGACCATTTTAGTCTGTTCCAGTAGTGGTGGCGGTGATACCATTTATTTCTTTATACCTGAATATTCCCATATTTATCCAACACTGACACCAATACAGATATGTTAATGGTTAAAGTGCAGAAAAATACACAAGCCTCATGCGTCCCTGAGACTGCTTAGAATTTAACGCAATTGAGCCGCATTCATCTAGACGTTTAAAATGTTCTAAAACAAACACAAATATACTAAAATAAGTTCCTTTCACTTTCTTTGCACAATAATTTCATCCATTCCAAACTAATTTTTGCTCTTACAGTAAATTGATTATTTCATGAGGAAGGCTGCAGATAATTGGACAAAGAAAATTTACTTTTAAATCAACCTTTGGGTTTTTTATCCCTGGCTGTAGTTGATGACTAAAATGATTGTGATAGTCCTATAGTGTGGGATGTGTCCTGACTCCTGCTGAGACCGAGTCAGGACTGATGCCTGCTGTAATCCTCTTTGTGATGTGGCGGTAGGTTGGCGGCCGGCGTTCCATTACTACAGTAAGTGGACGGCGTTGTTCGGGGCGGTCATCTCTGTGGTGCTGATGTTCCTCTTCACTTGGCGGGCCGCGCTCGTCACCTTTGGAATCATTCTCTTTCTCTTCGGATACGTCAACTACAACAAGCCCAGTGGGTCTAAAGTGTTATGTCATGTTTCGTTATTCATTGAATGTGCAGCAGCGTGTGTTTTTATTAGGATGTATTTCACAACTATAGTGCATTGGTTTTCACGACGCTTTACATCCATCTCTTATCTTAAGCCTGAGCCGTTGCCGTGTGCGTGGTTGTTCTCTTCCAGAACGACACAGTGCCTCCAGCTTTTCCTGATCTTTAAACTACATTATCTGATCCCACTACCCAAAGGTTCATTAAATTAGGAATCATGTTTTGTAATTTGTAAATATATAGTGATTTATATAGGAAATAAATCACAGCTGCACTTGAAACAAGACTAAACCCTTCCATTGGCACGAGTTAAGAAGAAGAAAAAAAGATTTCAAACATTATATTTTTATTAGGGCTGTCAAACGATTAATTTTTTTTAGTTGATTAATCGCATAGTAATGATGAGTTAACTCACGATTAATCGCATTTTTAACATTCTATTTCAAAGCCCCCACTGAAAGATCAAGGCTATGCTCACACTCAGAGAGCAGCCGTCCTCCTGTGGACTCACCACCTGCAGAGGGTCAGTGAGGGGCTGGTGCTATGATACTTGGGTGGCATCTCTGATTGCCACCCCCCTGACCCAGAAATGGATTAAAGGGTAGAAAATGGATGGATGGATGGATGGGCGGGTCATTCGGACATGCGATTGACTGCCAGCCTATTTCAGAACAGGTACCCACAGAATATTGTGTACAATGACTATCTGAAATCCAAAACCAGATTCTGAAACAATGGACGGTCTACTTTCATCAGCAAAAATAATTTTGTTTCTAGCTTGTTTCGTTCCCCTGTAATCCCCAGTCGAGTAGAGGTAAGTTTTATTGAAATCACCAGAAAGTGCATCTAGCTGTTTTCAACCCATTCACAGAGCAATGCTGCCATCTGCTGGCTCGATAAAATATTGCCTCAAGCCTTACATATTTGATACAACAGACGTTCCCAGACAGACTGGGAACGTGAAAATAGCGGGAAACGCAATTATGGCAGTTAATGCGTTCATTATTTTTTAACGCGTTAATGAAAACGGTAATTAACGTGAATTAACGCGATAATTTTGACAGCCCTAATTTTTATTTATTACCTAAATTGTTGCAGTGCAGTCTCTGAAAGTTCCAAAATGTTGCATTTATAAAAAATGTTTCAGGAGGTTGAGAAATACATTTTGATAGCTTCAAAAACTTTAAATGAACATTCTATGTTATTCATGGGTTTTATGTGTGATAATATTTCAAAGATGCATTATAAAACATTTCAGAGGTGAACTGGGGCTCATCCGTTCAAGCTGGCACTTACAACATGGCTCTGTCGTACTCCATCTCCTTGTCTGGAGTGGAAGACCATGTCAAGAACTTTAGGTACGAATACAGATGCAGTGCTGCCATAAAACAACATGCATCGTTTTGATCATTTAAATAATCACATGTCACTCATTCACATTTTCTTTACAGGCCACAGTGCCTGGTGTTAACCGGACCTCCAAATCAGCGGCCTGCTCTGGTGGACTTTGTCGGCTCCTTTACTAAACACATCAGCCTCATGATCTGTGGGGACATCATTATGGTGAGTCAAGATGAGCGCATTAATCTTTCACATGAAGGACCTGCATCTTTTTCAAAAGTGTCATGTTTGTAGCCATGTTCCCTCATAAGAAACACTAACCTGCAGTTGTTTTATATTCCATCTATGTTTTTCACTCTAAAAGTCTTTTCTGCGTGTGTTTTAGGAGCAGGACAGACAGAGCCGCGCCCCTGATGCCACTGACTGGCTGGTGAAGTGGCTGCACCAGAGGAAGGTGCGCTCGTTTTACACACCCTTCAACAGCGACTGTCTCAGAGTTGGGGCGCGATACTTACTGCAGGTAAACAACACATTTGTTACCTTAACCAGAGGGCTCACTCGTTTTTTTCTTTTTTGAGACCCTGTGAGATTAAAATCATATGTTTGAATTGTAGCCAGAAAAAGGCATAATACTGGCACGGTGGCTGAGTGGATAGCACTCTCGCCTCTCAGCAAGAAGGTCCTGGGTTCGAATCCCGGTCGGACCAGGGCCTTTCTGAGTGGAGTTTGCATGTTCTCCCCGTGTCTGCGTAGGTTTCCTCCGGGTACTCTGGTTTCCCCTACCACTAAAAATATGTCCAATAGTTCTGGCATGCGCCTCCTGTACTGGTGACCCCGCTCCCATCTCTGTGTGGAGTGAGAGACAAATGCCCAAAATTAACAATTGTAAACTGCTATGAGACTCAGATCTGCAGTGAAAAGGCGGTATATAAATAAAAACGTACTTACTTACTGTATATCTCATTATGATCCCCTGAAAATTCAGGTGGAGGGGAAGACCACCGTAGACTGAAAAGAGAGGCAGGCAGGCACACATGTAGAAGGGGGGTGTAACTGGTGTTCTGGGTTGTGAGTCTGAGTTAGATAGAGTCCAGTGTCGGCCTTGAGTAGCCGGTGTAGCAGTGTGGGTGGTGGAATGTGAAGGACAAAGATAGCGCAGGTGCCTGCGAACATTAGAGACAAAACAACACATGCCTTGTGGGAAATTTGTATAAGCACTTTAGCTGATCAATGAAAGGCAGTGTAAACTACAGCCAATATGTCCAAATTATACTGGAACTGGACCCTCCGTTCACCGTTATCCGGAGTTGACCACGTCAGTACGAGGTTCCACCGTGAGGCCCAAGTCCTTCAATCAATCCTTCCACGCGTTTAAGTCCATCCAAAGATCTCACTCCCAGGTCATTAAGGGAATGTTCGATCCGACTCACACCCCGTTGTGTCCCCACTGTGCCCTCGACCACGACTCTGACCAACTCGCGGAAACTCTCCTTGTTTTCCGCGGACAGCCGCTAAATCTTCTGAGTGGACAGCCCTCCAACTTTGCGGTAGCTCAAGCCAACTCCAAATCCAATCAGGAGGAACCCTGCTGCCATAAATCCAAAAATGTATATATCCTCAATGTCCTCGATGGACAGTCCCGACAGACAAACGGGGTGCCACTTTTGCCAGTTGTCAAAAACGTACCCAGCAGCCGCCGTACCATCCGGGCAAACGGCATCTCCAGAACCGCCATCTCCAGAACCGCCTTTACGTGATGAAAAAATAGTATCAATTGCGTTGAGGGACCAGTTGATTAATTCCATCATTTTTCAAGTTGTACACAGGCAGAACTCTAGGAAAAAAGACAGTCAGGGCAAGCAGAGCAGGAGCAGGCAAGAGACACGTCTGACCTCGAGGAGAGCAGGAGGACTCCATAAACATTCTCATCTAAAGTTTAATCTCATCGCGTCTGCAGAAAAAGAGCCTTATGCTTTGTTGTACATTGTCTGCATTTAATACTGAATACATAATTAATAAAACATATTTTATTGTGAAGGTGTCTGGACTCGGAAAGCTCAAACCAAATACACTCGTACTGGGATTTAAGTCCAACTGGAGGGAGAGTTCTCCAGACAGCATTGAAGACTATATCAACACTATTTAGTAAGGCACAGATAATGTATTACTTTATGAATTATAAAACCAAATAACATTCCTTTTTTGTTTAGTGACACTTTCGACTCAAATTACTGTCTGTGCATCTTAAGGATGATGGACGGGAAGGATGTTTTGGACCAGTTTGACTCTGAAGGTACAGTAGTGGATTTAGACACAAGTCACATTCAGCTTCAGAAATACACATACCTCCTCATCACAGCCTGATTAGAAGTAAAGCAGGTCAGGACCTGGTTTGTACTGTGATGGGAGACCTCTGGGAACACCAGGTGCCACAGTGGGTCGGCTTTAGGCAAGACACTTCACCCACATTGCATGAGTCTGGTGTGTGTGTGTACATGGTAGTCAGAGGGGTTGATCAAGCCAATAAGTAGATTTGCTTCTATCAGAACACCCCAGGGCAGCTGTGGCTTCAGTAGAAGATTATCACCACTGTAGAATGAATGAATAATGCTTTGTGAAGTGTCTTTGTGTGTCAAAACAGATAATTTGCGAAGCCAATCATTGATTGAAGGACAGTGTAGAATTAAAATGTGTACAGTTTTATATCATTTTTATTTATTCAGTGAATCTGTGCTTTGAGCCCGACGAAACTGCTGAAAATGATGATCACTCTCCAGAGGTCGATTCAGGTAAAAACGAAAAAAGAAAGTAAGCATGACAAAGCAAAGTTGACTTTTCACCACAATCTTGTAAAATAGTTCCCCCAAAATCTGTCCTAATCTCATTCATCAAAATCATTGTGACATTATGAATCTGAGGACAATGGTGTCATGGACGAAGCTGCATGATGTTATTTTCTACTGTGTGCATTTTAACGCGCTACACTCGATCTAGATCTGAATCCTGCAGAATATAGTTTGTGTCGCATCTTCTACTTTGTCCTCTTGTCATCTCCTACTCTAGTTTTAAAGTTTCACATTATAAAATATGGATTGCTTCGTGTTTAAGGGACACAACTAACAGAAATGATGTATAATTGTTTCCATGCAGCAGACAACGTGTCAGACAGAGGCTGTAGTGATCAGGTCAAAACCATTTTCCAAAACGACCAGGGAAAGAAAACCATTGACGTGTATTGGATCGCTGACGATGGAGGTGAGTTCACAGTTTAATTATTGACATTTATAAGTGTGTCATAAAGTGTGATATAATCCCCATTCAAATCACAGTCAGCTTCTCTCATTATGGTTTTTCAACACTGTACATTTTGACTATTCTTTACCATTTCAAAAGATGGAGATGGCAAATCTATCAACAATATAAACATACAAAATATTCTATTCAACTTGTGGTCAACGAAAAATACCGGGAACAAACCCACTCCACTCCACTAACCATGCACCAAAAAAGTTTCAAGACGAAGTTGAGTACTGAAGAAGCAGTGTAAACTTATGTCTGCATGTGTCAGGTCTGACTCTGCTGGTGCCGTATCTGCTGACGAGGAGGAAGGGATGGCGCCACAGCAAAGTCAGAGTTTTCATTGTGGGAAACGAGCACAACATGGAGGACGGACGCAACGAGTAAGGTTCACCTGCTGATCTCAGTTTGAACCATGTCATAATGATGTAATACACATCCTGAAGAGCATTAAAGCCATCACATGAATTTTAAAGGAGCTATACCCGTTTCTGCGAGGTTTGAATGTTTAGCCCCGCCCCCAACTCGCTCACAGACTTCTAATTTCCCCTACGCTCTCATCCCACGGAACCAACTAGTTTTATTTGCGACCTGATTCTAACAATAGCATTAGCGCAACTTAAGCTGTACAACAATCACTGATGAAATTATACAAAAGAAACGCACTGCTTACAAAATATATAACTGAAAGATTACCGCTAGTTTCGCGTTCGAATGTAGCCCGAGCATAGATAGTCCGAGGCGGTCCCGCAGGTCTCTCCCATAGACAAGTCTCTCCAGAGGATACGACGTAAGCTAGCTATGTTCACCCGGGCTTGATTTCTTCTTTGATCATTTTTTCGCTTTAGTTCCCTCTTCTCTTCCTCTCTGTTGTGTCGTTTGGGCTGTTTTGCTCTGTATGCACTTATAGCAGGAGGAGTTATAGCCAATTCTGCTAACATGCTACTGTGTTTAGCAGCGCTGTAGAGGCTAGAGGACGCAGCCTCGTTCTGTGATTGGAGGAGAGCGGGCGTCACGCTAAGTCTCTACTTAGCACTTTTTACGGCCTGAATTCATACACAAGCTGAATCAATGAGCTCAAGTTTTCAATTAATTTACGGATTATAATAAGTATGTAGTAATAAGCATTTTTATGAACTCATGAAAAAAAAATCTGGTATAGCATCACTATAGTCTAACACTAAAACAGAAGCCATGAAATGCTGGTGAAACCACAGTACAGTATTTTAAATTGTTTTTTACATCAGTCGTCACCTTTTCCTCCTTCATGTCCACAGGATGTTGGCTCTGTTGAAGCAGTTTCGTCTGGATTTCAATGACGTTATTGTGATGACGGACAGTGAAAAGCGCCCACAAGCAAAAAAGTAAGTTCCAAAGCTTTACATATATCGGGGCTGTGTGCGGATGTCCACGCTGGTCCCTAACCCCTGATTGTGAATCTCCTCAAACTCAGTGGTTTATGGACAAACATTAATCAAACAAGTTTAACTCAAATATTGAAATGTACCGAAGTTTCCAGCTTTTTGCCTGATGTGGGAACTTATATCAGCTCAATCTATGGTAAACAGCTGAGGTAGTGTTTCTTTTCGGGTTCATAGTGAGTTAAAACAGCTCTTACAATATATCAACTGTCTTTCAGCCATGTCCAGTAAAACAGCTCTTCTTTGTCCACATATTTCATTTTACTGCTGTTTCTTCGGTCGGCACTAGATCATATACGGAATCGGGACGGAAGCGGAAATAACAATCCTACTTTCTAATTCGTTTTAGACTAATAATTCCTTGGGTGGTGACTGGTTAAGATTTAGGTGTCTTGAGTAAGATGTAAAGGTTAGGGTTAAGGGTGGGTTGGGGTTATTCTATGGGAATGGCTGGTTAAGTTTAGGTATGGATCTATTAGTTCAGGTAGTTGGTTATATTTACTTCCGCTTCCTTCCCGATTCCGTATATGATCTAGTGCCGACCCGATTTCTTTTTGCTTGACAGCCTGAACCGGTTTGTGAAGAGTGTGGCCCCCTTCAGGCTGTATGATGAACAGCAGGACGGAGTGTCACTGCAGGAGCAGCGGCAGGAATACCCATGGAAAATATCTGACAAGGAGTTTGAGGTTTTCAAATTTAAGGTTAGTCACTAATATGATTTTTTTTGTTTCTCTCGTCTTTTTTGATCAGGACCTTTTCGTAACAAAGCGGCACAAACAGACTTCTTTGGCTTTTTTGTCTAAATACTCATATCCAATGACAAATCCGTACAGTATGGTTTAAAAAGATAGAATTGCTCATACGGGTAATATGGGTCAAGTGTCTTGCCTAAGGACACAACGACAGTTTGGCACTTTACAGCTGCAGCCGCCCCACAGTGGGACCTGGTGTTTTCTGAGATCACCCATCACAGTACTACCAGGCCCTGTGCTGCTTAGCTTCAGAGCTCTGATCGGATCTGGCTTTCACATACAGGTGACACCACACAAACTGCAACAAACTAGAACCAAATTTCTCTAAACTTCATACACAACAGAAAGGCAGCCGCAATGTTGACAATGATGAGCGCCTCTGCAGTTTATTTATAATTTGAACTAACGGTGAATGGTGATTATTAGTACTGTCTTTATAACATGAGTTTGTGCTGCCTTCACAGTCGGAGAGAAAAGTCCGGTTGAATGAAATCATAAGGGAGAATTCTCAGCTCGCTGCTCTTGTTCTTGTGTGAGTATTAACCGACGTATAACCTCTGTATCCTCTCTTCGGTCAAAGTGTATAGAGCTCATTTTGACTTACAATTAAGGTTACTCCAATCAACATGTTTTTGTAGTTTTCTTTAGTGCATACTGTTTTTGTGTCCGTGCCAAGACCCACCACAAAAATAGGTTTCAGCCACTATTGCTCTAAAATATTTGAAGGAACTAGTCCATGTGCTTCAGTTATTCAGTCTATATATTCAGTAGATTTCACTCTACAATATGAAAGGCAGAGTTTTTCTTTACTCTGTGTGAGTTGGAGGTTGTGATTTGTTTGTTTGATGTTGTTTTGTGGACCTCTTTTCACATCAGAGAACCTCAAAACAAAACCAAAAACACAAATGTCCCACTTTGACATATGGAACAGTACATTTGACTTTTTATTTTTATTTTAGTTGTGCGTTTGTATGATTACGTATTGATCCTGGACCTGAAAGTAAAATAAGAACAATTCGTTGAAACAAACTATCACCACTGCTTCCTCTTCCTCCTTTTCCATTGTCAAATGTGTTGACTTCTGTTGAATTCTGTTGGTTCTTGAGATGTTTTGATTGGAGAGGCTCGTTTGTGATGTGTTAATTCAGCCATGGGTGAAGTCTCTCAGGTTTGAAACATGTCATGTAAAGCAAGCGTTCAGGTCAATTCTCGTAGTAGCAGGAGCACTAGCACTTTATTTCAAACATGCACAAGACATACAAATAAATATACACTGAACCTAAAAAAAAAAGCAAACAAGAGAACCTCAGCCAATACAAGGTCCTCCTCTTAAAATGCAAGTCCCTCCAAAAAAATGCAAGTCCCTCCCCATCCCATCGTCACTGTTCCGCCCCCGCCTCAGATCCACCGACTCCAAGCTCCTCACTCCCATCAGAACGAAGTGCCGAACTTTTCCCCCACTCTCTGGAACTCTCAAAACCCATCAGGAACTCAGACTCACTTCAAAACTTCAAATGCCTGCTCAAAACCCACCTCTTCAAAACTGCATACACATAACTGTGTATTTTTAGCTTTTTTATTTTGTTTCTTGTTTGTTCTTCTATAAATCATCTTTGAGTGTCCAAAAAGCGCTATGTGCATGGTTAGAAGAGTCTAATTTGAGTAACCGTAGTGGGTTCTATTGTGCCAGTATGTATGGTAAAACACAGGTTATAGGCCTCTTCTGAGCAGCATGTGTCCCCTGTACAGTGTGTGACGGTGTGATGTTCCCCTCAGGAGCCTCCCGGTCCCTCAGAGCGACTGTCCCAGTGCGCTCTACATGTCCTGGATCGACACTCTGACCTGCGGCCTGCACTGCCCCGCTGTGCTCATCCGGGGAAACCAGCAGAACGTTCTGACCTTCTACTGCCAGTGATCCAGACTAAAGGACATGTTCGCATTTATTGTTATAAAAGACTGGGTTCACTGGGCAATAACTACAGTATAGTTGTCCCTTGTTTATTGCGGGGTATTAAAAAAAATAGCAGCGAAAAGTAGCAACGATATGTTTAAAGGGTGTAACTTCACACTTTATACACTTTTATAACCATCTAAACTCACCTGAACCCAAGCATCAGAGTTGTGTGTGCCACTGGAGGTTTGTAGAAATGATATCCTGCTTGTGGCCATGGGCTATTCACATAAACCGCAACATGGGGCAGGTAAATACACAGGACAAGGATTTTTCAAGCCAAAACAAATGGTTACTGAGCAAAAGGAGTTTACTGTTCAATCACAGTACCAAAACTATTGTTTGTTACAGTGATGAGAATGGGACATTTCAAAAAAGTCAGAAATACATAATGTCAGCCTCGGGGTCTACACACACAGCTCATTCTTCTGTCTGACAGGAAACAAAAGCATGATTTGGATTATATTATTTTATTACAGGCCACAGTTCCGTTTATCAAACACAGTGACTAGATGTACATTTTTGTATATAATCTAAAACATTTCAATAAATGAGGTGAGTCACATTAAAGGCCCCTGCTTGGACCGCAGACAAATAGTGTTCTGGGATTTACCAATAATAATAAATAATAATACATTTTATTTGAAAGCGCCTTTCAGAACACCCAAGGACACTGTACAATGGACACATTAAAAACAATAAAAACAAGAGCGACAGAATAAAACAGAGTACAATATTGAGAGGGTGCGCGCATAACTAGGTGTTATAGGACTGTCTGAACAGGTGAGTTTTGAGTCTGGATTTGAAGAGTGGCAGGGAGTCTATGTTACGGAGGTCGGAGGGGAGAGAGTTCCAGAGCTGGGGAGCAGAGCGACTGAATGCTCTGTGCCCCATGGTGACGAGTTTGGCCGGTGGAACGGAGAGTTTGAGAGTGGAGGAGGAGCGGAGTGCGCGGGCAGGAATTGCGATGTGGAGGAGGTCAGATATGTACGGAGGGGCCAGGTTATGAAGTGCTTTGAATGTGATGAGGAGGATTTTGAAGTTGATTCTATGTTTTATGGGAAGCCAGTGGAGTTGTTGTAGGACAGGGGTGATGTGGTGAGAGGTAGGGGTCCGTGTGATGATTCGTGCTGCAGCGTTTTGAAGGAGCTGCAGTTTCTGGAGGGATTTGTTGGGAAGACCGAACAGAAGTGAGTTGCAGTAATCAATGCGGGAGGTAACGAGGCTGTGGACGAGGATGGCAGTGGTGTGGGGGGAGAGAGAGGGGCGGAGACGGGAGATGTTACGTAGGTGGAAATATGCAGACCGGGAGATGCTATTGATGTGAGACTGGAAGGAGAGTGTACTATCGAGGATGACACCCAGACTCTTAACCTGAGAGGAGGGAAGGACAGATGAGTTGTTGATGGGAATAGGAAAACTGTTTGATTTCGAGAGAGTGGAGGGGGTGCCTACGAGAAGGACTTCTGTTTTAGAGCTGTTCAGTTTGAGAAAGTTGGAAGAGAACCAAGAATGAATTTCTTGTAGACAGAGGGCAAGGGAGGATGGAGGAAGAGATGAAGAGGGTTTGGTAGAGAGGTAGAGCTGGGTGTCATCCGCGTAGCAATGGAAATGAATGTTGTGTTTACGAAGGATGTTACCGAGTGGGAGAATGTAGATGATGAAGAGGAGGGGCCCCAGGACAGAGCCCTGGGGCACACCAGCAGAGACAGGGAAAGTGTTGGACCTGTGGGATTTGAGTTGAATGAACTGTGTGCGGCCAGAGAGATAGGAAGTGAACCAAGCAAGGGGGGTGTGAGTTATGCCAATGGAACAGAGTCTGTCAAGGAGAGTGGAGTGAGAAATGGTGTCAAAAGCTGCGGTGAGGTCAAGGAGGATAAGAATGGAGAGCAAACCAGAGTCAGAAGCTATGAGGAGGTCGTTAGTGATTTTGAGAAGAGCTGTTTCAGTGCTGTGAAGGGGACGGAAGCCAGATTGAAACTTCTCGTAGATATTGTTTGTGATAAGATGGTTATGGAGTTGAGCGGCGACAGATTTTTTGAGTATTTTGGAGACGAAGGGAAGGTTTGAAATGGGACGGAGGTTATCAAAGTTGGTGGGGTCCAAACCGGGCTTTTTCAGGATTGGTGTGACTGTGGCGGATTTGAGTGAAGAAGGGACAGTACCAGAGATAAGAGATGAGTGGATGATATTGGTGATAAAGGGAGCAAGTGAAGGAAGGCAGGATTTAACAAGAGCTGTAGGGAGGGGGTCAAGCGGGCAGGTTGAGGGTTTGGATTTGAGGATGAAATCGGAAATGACTTGAACGGAGGGGAGGATGAAGCTGGAGAATGTAGTTGTAAGAGATGAGTGGGGGGCCGGGGAGTCTACTCCAGAAACTGCAGCTCCACATGTGAACAGGTGTTGATGGATATTGGAGATAAATGATATGGATGTTAAACTTTACAAATTACATAGCACACGGCATGGGCGGCACACTGGCTGAGTGGTTAGCACTCTCGCTTCTCAGCAAGAAAGTCCTGGGTTCGAATCCTGGTAGGAACATGGTCTTTCTGAGTGGAGCATGAGCCTCCTACCCTGCTCCCATCTCTGTGTGGAGTGAGAGGACAAATGGCCACAATTGTAAACAGCTTTGTGACTCTGGTAAACAACACAATACAATACAATACAATTCATTCTTGTGTAGCCCTAAATCACAACAGTAGTCATCTCAGAGGACTTGACAAAATCATTGAAATCCCCAACACAGATCAGACACAAAAAGAATATAGAATAAATGTCATACATGTTGTAGAATGTTAAAGTGTCCTGGATCATCACCACAGTCCTTTTTGTTGGACACTAACTGCCCAACAGACCCTCCTGCATCTGAAAAACTCAATATAAATAAAGATTACTTACTTACTTATAGTAAAGGGTACTTGTACTTTAATTAAAATAATATATTGCCTCCTTCGTAATCATAAACTGCATTTTCCATCGTATATGCAAAAGGAATGATTACGACGGCGTTCTTGTGCTTCATCTTCTTCTGTAGAAAAACAAAGTGGTTACTGTGAATATTCAAACTGTGGCATAATGAGGATTTTTTTTTTACCTCATTTGCAATATCTGCGAGAATATCCAGAAGTGATCCCCTAAAATTCTGTTGTCCTGGCGGGAATTCCCTCCTTCAGGTAGCAGACTCGCTTTCTGTTGGAGAGACATTAATCAGTTGATGATTTGATCCAAGTATTCTACAGTATTCTACTTTTGAGGTCATCAACCGAAGAAATTCTTGGTCGTCTTGGTCCAAAAAATCATGTAAAAAATCTACAAAATCTGGTCACGCCATGAGTAAAAGTTCAAGATGTATAAAAACCTTTATAGAAACTTTTGCAAACTTTTTGGATTTCTCTTTCTGTCTTGAAAACCCAAGTAAAAAAATCAAATGTTAAATTATTTTCTATATGAATCTTTGAAGTTAAAATAAAATTATTCTTGGACAACAAAAAATGTGTATTGCCTCACATCAACTGATTAATTGACTGAACAGCGAGCCCCACTCTAATAGATGCTTTCTAAATAAGCTGAAAAAATGATACAAAAGTCCAAGCACTTCCATATTTAACGTCACCAGATGGATCTATGGTCGACACTGAGAATAAAACAGCTGAACAAAGTAAACAAAAACAGTTTGCATGCGCCAGGGGTTGTTCATTTACTTGAACGTAGCTTGCATCACTGCGGGAATAGCTGAAGAATCTGCATTTGGGGTCATCGTAGCGTAGCGTACTGCAGGCCTCAGCGCTGCCCACGTTCGGAACCCGCCGGTAGTATCATCTCTGCATGTTCACGTCCCTCATCACCTTACACTGCATCGCTACAAAACACAAGCGTCTAACACAAGCGATTAACATACAGTACTAAGACTTTGACATCATGGACAGAACTGGATACTGCCTTCCTGCCAAATAAAATATTGCCCTAACCCTAAAATAGTTTTGGGAAAGCTGGGATACCTACATTTTTCGTTTTGTAAGAGTAAATGTTTGTGAAAAAATCATGCTGCGTTCTTACAGTTTTTCTCAGTCGCTTTGGTGCATTTCTCACATCAGACTTAAAGTTCTCAAAACTAATCAGTTCAACCTCCACAACATTAAGACATTTGTGGATATCATCATGGCAGTTTGTCATTCCTCTGAACACTTTACAAATGCTTTTGTTCATGTATCAGTTACTTTCATACAATTCTCTGCTGTTTTATAACTTTATCTTTTGCTTATAGTCTTTCCCTATAAAACTAATCGTCCTCATTTCATCGCTTTAGTCATCACATACAAAATTGTTGAACTAGTTTTCAACAACAAAAAATCTGTCAACCTCATTTCACACATTCCTTTAGCATTTTGTAAACAATGAAAATCTCTCTCTAAATTGAACAACTGCTCTCAGGTGAATTTCAGCTTCACTCATGAGGAGGTGTGTGTTTTATTGTTTACATTTGTCACGGTTCTTCCATAATGATATTATTTGTATGTTTGTTCTATGTATATGCATGTACAGTATGTGACTGTATTTTTGTTGCACATATGCTCTTGGTAATTGCAAAGAGCATATGCAGTAAATATGTGAAATGCCTACAGTACACAAACATACATACAGTACATACATACATACAGTAAGTAAGTAAGTATTTATATACCGCCTTTTCACTGCAGACCAGAGTCACAAAGCGGTTTACAATTGTTATTTTTTGGGCATTTGTCTCTCACTCCACACAGAGATGGGAGCGGGGTCGCCAGTCCAGGAGGCGCATGCCAGTAGGGGAAACCGGAGTACGCGGAGGAAACCTACACAGACACAGGGAGAACATTCAAACTCCACTCAGAAAGGCCCTGGTCCGACCGGGATTCGAACCCAGAACCTTACACACACAGTAAATACAGTACATGCATACAAACAATTATGTCTTGTACTCAGTT